GAGCTTCAGAGTCCTTGATGTCCTTGAATGCTTGGGAGATGCTCTGTACTGTCTTTGCCAGGTCACTTATATCCCTGTATTTATCGTCTTCAGTTGTCACCAAGGCATCCTTATCCTCAAGTTGCCGCTCCAACGCGTCGAAATCACTCTGGAGCTTCTGGCATTCGTCTTGCAATCTGGGTAGCTCGTCCTTGAGTCTTTGGTATGTTTCGTAGTCAGTCCGCACGGCGCGCAGCTTGGCGAGGGCTTCCTCCGATTGCTGCAGGTCTTTCTCCGCATCTTCCTTCGCAGTCGGGGACGTCTGCTTCATGATCTTCTCTTTCAGCTTCTGCATCTCGGCACGCTCGCGAGCAGCATCAAACCCTCTGTCGCAGAGATGGCATTTCTTGCTGCGCTCCAATGACTTGAGACATTTTTCGTAGAACTTGATCAAACTCTCCAGCAGGGAAATGTCCGACTTGTAGGTCTCCACAGCCTCCTCCTCGGTCTCCAACGCCTTGGTGTATCCGTCAATGTCCGGCTGTTCATCGCCCAGGGCGTCCGCCATCGCAGCCAAGACTCTTTTTTGGCATTTGACACTTTCTGACTTGTTTCTCGTCGCAGTTTCTTTGGCAATCTTGAGCGAGTAGTCGGACTTTTGTAGTTTTTCCCTCGTTGTCTCCCGAGTCTTGCGTGCGATCTCGACTTGCTTCGATTGACGGTCGGACACAATCTGAAACTTGCCATCCAACGTCTCGGGCTCCCAGTCTCCTCCTACCGCAGCATCCAGCTTCGACCGCCAGGTCTTAGTGATGGTTTCCAGCTTGCGCTTGCGGTCTGACAGCTCCTTTTTGCGGAAGTCGAGTTGAGCTCTTTCTGAGGCGAGACGTGTGGACTCTACGAGCTCGCGCCCCAGTTTCTCGCTGTCGTTCTCCAAGTTCCACAGCTTATCGTTTTCTTCGGCTAGCTGGCCATCCCAGCCAGCCTGTTCGAATTCGCTTTGTGCTCGTTGCAGCCGGCTGCCGATTTCTTCCAGTTGCCCATCGAGGATGGCCTTTGCGCCCTCATCAACGTCGATTCTGCTCGCTTCAAGGCTCAGAACATTGATTCTCTTCTCAATGGCACCCATCCGCTGCTTAGAGGAAACTCGGTCTTGGGTTCTGGCAGCTTTGCGCCCTTCGAGCTGTGTGATGACTGCGGTGAATTTATCAGTCTCGCCTTGATTCGCCTTTTGCAGCCGTTCGAGATCACGCTTCTTCTCGGAAAGGAGGCCTTGCAATCGCTCGTTGAATGCCGCTATTTGCTGATCGGTGAGTTGACCATCAAATCCGCGAAAGCTATACTTTTCCGCCGTTTGCTGCACCATTTCAGTGCGCGTCTTGAGCTGGCGCTCGTATTTGTCCTTGTCTGACTGATGCTTTCCCTGTTCCGACAGCTTGGCGTTGAGGTCGCGCTGGGCTGTGGCAAGTTCCTTCTGGAGCTCTCCATACTGGGCTCTGTTCTGGTCGACCTCCTCACGACATTGGTCCATGCGTGCCTGATACTGGGAGAGCTGTTCCTCTAGAGCTGCGTCGTCCTCGTGAAGCTCGTCAATAGTCTGTCGCAATTCACTGACGGCGTCCTGCCGGTACTCTAGCTGCTCCTTCTTGTTGCTGAGATTCTGTACGATTTGGAGATAGCTGTTCGCTTGAATGTGCTTCTCGCTGATCTTCTTTTGCGTCTCCTCCATCTCAGCCGTCAAAGCCTCGCACTTTTCCCGCGCTGCTTCAATTTCGCCTTGAAGCCCCGTCATGCGCTTCTCCGCCCGCTCGCCTCGGTCTTTGTTCACTTTGTTGTGGCCCTCGTCCGCTTGTAGCTTTCCCAGCTGCTCGACCTGCTTCTTGCGCAAGATTTTGAGATTCTCAATCGCCTTGGTGTATTTGAGTGCTTCGAATATCTCATCGAATCGCTTTTTGAGGGCTGCGGGCTCACTCAAGGGCCACATGGACTCTTCTTGATGGCAGAAGATGACGGCATCGAGGATTGCGGGCGAGACGCCAAGGCGTTCGGGTATCAGCTCGTCGAGCTGAGCAACTCGTGTGGAGGTAGTCAAGCGTTCGCCATTGTTCATGACCACCAGAGAGCAGTCGAGCGTCTTCTGCGACCGCGTAGTCTTTTTGGCCGTGAGCTGTAAGCTCCTAGTCGCAACATGCTGCTTGTCGTTGATCGATCGGAATTGTAGCTTGACTTGGGCCATGACTTCCTTCTCGCCACAGAGTTTCGGGTCGTGGATGAAGGCGCCGCCTTTGCTGTTCGGCGGCAGCTCACCGGTTGTGGCGTATTTGAGACATTCGATGATGGTGGTTTTGCCAGAGCCATTGTACCCAACGATGAGGGTCAGTGGTGTGTAGAATTGGATGGCCTCCCGGACATTGGGGCTGAAGGAGCGAACGCCGGATATGGAGAGCTTGTCGATTTTAGACATGATGTCGGCTGCTGCCTCGCAACAGGACTGGGCCTGGTCGACGCTGGATGGAGCTTTGGTTCTTCACGGTCGCAATTCGGGCGCAGCAGGCAGTGGCCGTGACGCGCCCTGGGCGACGATTGACGCGCACCGGCGAAGCGCGCAGTCACGTGGTGCCCAGAGCCAAAGTCATCTATCCTGGCCACGCTTACAAAGGTAATCTGCATTACACACAGCATTATCTTTTTGGCCTTTGGCAGATAATATGCTCTGACGAGTAGATAGATTCCGCGATGGCAATGTACAGGTCCTACTGAATAATTGAGCATCACCGACACACACAACCATACCCAGTGGGTAAGGGACACACAGAATGGCAGACGGGATGTGGCCATGCTCTTTCGCTATCAGAGGGCTCGAGATGGGCAGTCGGCCATCATCACGCTCCGGGGAACGTCGAAGCTTGCCCTGGAGACTGCGACCGCGCAAGCTTGTGATATGGTCGCCCTGCGGCACTACCATCGCGTGCTTCGATGCCACGGTGATGCGATCCTCCAGCTGAGACTTCAGACTCAGGTCGCCCGGCTAAGAATCTCTGTTCAGTGAGGCTTTGCCGCAGCGAGTGATACCATCACTATCATTACTGATTACGATCATGGCTATGGCCCCGTAGAAGAATAGGCGCAACGGGGAGCTTGATGGCTAGGAGTGTTGGTCTCTTTAGCCCGCGGCCAGTCTATGTTTCCGCAGAACTAACAATAGCAGGCCAGTTGAGTCATTATGACATTTAGGTGTCATTGTATACACCTAACGTACGTAAGTAAGCTTGCCGGACTAGTACGTATGTGAGAGCAAGGTCCTGCTGCTGAAGGGCTGAATACTGATCGTTGTGTATTTTCGCCCCCTTTTGAGGGACGTATATACAAATCTTCGCGAGCGGTACACATACTTTTCCGCCTTCAAAGATCAAGCTTTTCTATCGGAAGTCGCTTCAATGCGGCTTATAGAGGAGTTAGCTCGTCTGGTGGCGCGTCAGTTTGCAATTTGAGAATTTCGAGGCGGGCCGCCAAGTAGCCCGCCACCCAAGCAGTAAGTATTAATGATGAGCGGTCCCATCGCGTACAGAGTACATACGTATTGAATCATGCTCGCTGTTTGGCAGTCATGGCGAAGGTGGATGGTTCAATTGGTGATCGAGCGACCGAAAAGGCCCCTATATACGTACTTACGTAGTATTATACGTAGTATGTAACTTAAAAGGGGAGGATTCCAACACAAATCCAGTCAGCTTGAGCGGCCTTGTGAAAAGTGAAAACCCCTCTCTCGCCCCCCTCACTGCAGGGCCCTGGCGGAGTGGCGGATTGGCTTTCCTTGGCCAGCGATAAGGTACCCAATGAATGCAGCGTTGCCGCTGCCGCCGAAAGGCTTAAAAAGCTTCGTATTGGTGCAAACTGGCTACAGGTAACAGCAGTCTCCGCCGCAACGGAGCGTCTGGTCCGGGCTCCAGCAGCCTTGGAGACCAACGCCACCGTGACCCATCCCAAGTGCCTGCAGCCTACCTGCCGCCTGCGCTGCTTTTGAGATTACGTTGGACTGGACATGGAGTCGGGCAGGCAAACTCTGCTGTTCCGTTTTCGTACAGTACGTACAGTACGTACATGGAGACATCAGCGCCAAAAGGTCAGGTGAATAATCGGGGTCCAGTCGACAGGACGTTGCGCCACACAAATTTGCTGGCCTCTGGGTCGGATCCGTGACCCGTGAGGGCGCAACATGGTATTCTTGAAGGGCCGCCAGGAAATCCCATGTCTGTGACGTCTCTTCCCAACTTATCCTCTCGCATCCTACTCCACTTGCTGCTGCCCTGACGACTCACGACTGTGACCTGGCATCAACCCACGCTGCGGAAAACTTGCTGCCGTGCACACGAATGCGTACCGCCTTTCCTTTTGTCTGCATGCTTACCCGATCCATTGAAGCATTTTCTGTCTGAGACCTGAATCAGCCAGTACCGCGCATCATCATCCTCGCTGGACATTCGCAGCCTCACCAGCCGCCCCTCCCCCGTCTCTCTGACGTCGACGCCTTGGAGCGTGCAAGTCAAGCCTCGCGCTCGCGCTCACAGCCTCACACACATACATACATACTAGCAATTCACTTGCCCGTTCGTCAATTGGCAGCCTCCGCGACACCATTCGAACTGCGCGAGCCATCCGACGCTGTGCGACTCGATCGCTTCGAGTACCTTCCAACCGTGCAAAAGTTCCAAAAGGCGTTGGGTCGACCGGAGACGCCACGACTGCTCTTGTCGCCGGCAATCGTGGCTCTGGGCTCCAGATAGGTGTAGAAGTGGTTAGCTCACCAATGCAAGTACTACGTGGTCGCAACCTCCCGCCACTGCGCACAGCCGCCCCCTACACTACCAGCCGACGCAATGTCTAGCGGACCTCCACCTCATACCCATGGCCAGCATTTTGGCTATGGCGACATGGACTTTGGTTCGCTTCAGCAGAATATGCCTGGCGATCAGAACCCACACGGCGTGGACAATGTCGGCCAATACCCCGTTGTTCTGCCCATGGACGACGGCAGCGACATGCTTTTCGATAGCAACATGCTCGACGCTTTCGGGTCCATGCCGATGCACCTCGATGCCGATGACGGTTCCATGGGTCAGCAGTACAGCTCGAACAACCACAACCAACATGCGGACCAGTCTGCAACAGATCAAGCCGTCATGCACTCCGAAAGTCAATTCAACACGGCGTCCAACAATGTGCCTGGTGCAGGGCCAATGCCGCTGGGATCCTTTGGCGAGAGCGGCATGGGCCAGGGGAGCAGTACTCTGACGGAGTTCACCAAGCGCAGGAACTGGCCGGCCAAGGTTGTGGAGGAAATCAAAGACCTCCTGCAAATCCTAGACTCGAACGGCCGCATAAAATACGTATCGCCGAGCATTCTGCCAATATCGGGATACACGATCGAGGAGATGACGGACGTTTTCTTGAAAGAGCTCATCCATCCGGACGACCAGGGCCTGTTTGTCGCCGAGCTGAACGAGTCGATAGCGTCTGGGAACCCGATGCGTATGTTTTATCGGTTCCGGAAAAAGGATGGGACGTACACGATCCTCGAGACGATAGGACACGCCCATATTGCCGCGGCCAAGTTCGCGCCAAATCCCAGCAACCAGTCCCCATTCTGCCAGGCCGTCTTCATGATGGCGCGTCCGTATCCGACAAAGAACGCCGGGCTGTTGGACTCGTTCCTGGAACACAAGATTGAAAACGAGAGGTTAAAAAGACGCATAGCGGAGCTCAGACAGGAAGAGGATGCCGACCATGACGAAGCGCAGCGGCAGTGGCTGCAAAGTCAAGACTCGCAGTCCGAAATTGCGCGCACGGAGCAAAGCGGCGCTTCCGCCACGCCCTTCCACCGGGCAATGAGCCACGACGGGTCGCGATCCGAGAGGAGTGCGTTGAATGCAGCCCTGACCAGAGAGAATCTGGAGGGACAGTCAGGCGGCGCTCGGCAGGATTCGCTCAAGGACAAGATGGCGCGTTACGAGGGTACCTACACCGACACCATCGAAATGCTGACGGGGTTACGTTACAAGGACGGCGAGCGCAGCAAGGGCATCACGACGGGCAACGCCAGCCCCACCCTCATCAAAGGCGACGCCGGGATCGTCATACCCGTGGACCGCGACCCGAGGACGGGCGAAAAGAAAAAGAAGCTCAAGACTTCGGAGGAATACGTCTGCACCGACTGCGGTAGGTCCCATCCGATCGCACGGGCAGCGCCGACATCTGACATTGCTTGCAGGAACGCTCGACTCGCCCGAGTGGCGCAAAGGCCCCAACGGTCCGAAGACTTTGTGCAACGCATGCGGTCTGCGATGGGCGAAGAAGGAGAAGAAGAGAAACACCAACACCGCGACCAAGGTCCCCTCCATGCAGGCCACGCCCGGCGACTCAGGGTCTTGATACCGTGTGACAGCGGGACGGTATCATTGGTGAGGGGCGCGACAGGTGGTGGCCCCTTGTCGGAAAAAGTCGCTTTTTTCAGACAGCTGGCTGGCTGGGCTTTGTCTCACTCGCTCCTCAGCTCTGGGCGCACTGCACATATATGGTGGCCTTTGGCACCAGGAGTCTGATCGTTTTTTTTTTTTTTAATTGTCTGTCTGGTTCCATCAGACAAGGGGCGGGCGGCGTGGGACATGTACACGATTTTTATGATACCCTAGATATACGCATAAGGGACTGGACTGGATTTGGATTACAGGCGCTCAGCGATTCACTCATCTTACGTCGCTCCGTGTGCCACAGTGGTCCCCAATTGAGTTCCCTCGCGGTACGGAGGTATAATAAGCCTTCATGGACATGTTCCTAGCTGGCTGCCCACGCTAACCAAGTTTGGAGTAGCAGAGACCCTGACGGTGGCTGAAAGCCAATTCTCAGGTACCCTGGCCAACAAGAAAATTGCTGGCAGATGCCATGTAGCAAGGGATCTACCTATAATACATATCCAGTCTTTTGATATTGCTGTGATGACACTCAAGACTGAAGTCGCGCCAAGCTTCGCATGCCTGACTGTTAAGTGCTAACCACATTATCCACAGTGATTGCGTGGCATGCGTCATTGGTGCATACGTAGTACCTCAGCGTGGGACACGGAATCTGTGACCGACTTGAAGCTCCAACAGCTTCACTCCCCTCCCTCCCCTACAACCTCATAACCCTACCAAACACACCGGACAGCTATCCTACACAGTACAACTCTCATCATGGACAAACTCATCAACGCTGGCAAGGAATTCCTCGAGGAGAAGGTTAAGGGGGACGACAAGGACAACAACAACAACAGACAAGGTCGGTAAAGCCCATCACCCACCCACTAATTAGATCTGCAGCTCCCGCCAGATCAGATCAGACCCCTTTGACCCCGCCATCGCGATCTCAATGATCACCGACAAGGCACCCTTGCTGACCTGTCCCAGACTACCAGGCTGGCGGGAATCGTACGATAAATGAGCTTGCCCATTGTCAGCGCTGCCGAAACTGACGAGATGCAGAATCGCACGGAGGTAGCTACCCCGCTGGCGGGGGCTTCTCCCGCGACGACGATGACGAGAACGACCTACGCGAAGCCAGGGAGGAAGCCGAGCGTCGTGCCGGCTCGTCGGGTAGCAGCGACTTGTTCTCCACCATTGCCGGTGCCATCGGGCAGAAGAAGAGCAGCCTGCAGAACGAGGACCTCGATGAGGACTGTACGTGGACACCCCGCTGCCATACACTGGGGAAGCGCGATGCTAATAAGGGGGGAACAGATGCTGTCAAGAAGCACAAGCAGAATTACAAGGACGACGATGACGACGATGCCGATGAGAAGTCACTCGGTGCCGCGGCCGCCATCCAGGCCCTGAAGATGTTCAACCAGGGCGAGACAGGGGAGAAGCAGAGCAAGGGTGCCTTCCTCGGGCTCGCCATGTCCGAGGCCAGCAAGGTGAGCATCATTCTATCCATTTGTCCTTGCATGCCGTCCGTGGAGGGCGAGTCACGAGTGGATGCTAACATGCTTGACCAGCTTTTCGACGACAAGGCCTCCAAGCGCAAGGTCAGCTCCAACACCAGCAAGGAGAATGTCATCCAGAGCGCCGGCGAGATGGCCATGAAGATGTACTTTAAGAGCCAGGGACAGCAGCAGGGTGGTCTGATGGGTCTAGCGAGTAAGTTCATTTAAACCATGGCGACCTCGTGAATCAAGGAATAGCACAAGCTTTCAGATCAGCTCTTCTGCCACTCCAGCAGTCCTCTTTTTCCACTCCTCGTAGTCAAAGCCGAGCTCGCTGAGCGAGCGCACCTTGTGTCGCTCTTTGCCTAGGGCTCGACTTGCCAACTTAATGGCCGGGAAGCGCTCTCTCGTCCACCTCTTCTCCCCGCCCCAGTAGGGCGGCAACTTACCCTGCCCATCATTGTCCCCGCCGTCCACCCTCCCCGCCGTGACAGACCGGTCGTGCAAACGGTTGATGTACTCGACATCCTTGGGAAACATGAGATTGTGCAGTGCCTTGCCAGCGCCCTTGGACGCAACCTGCTCTTCTAGCCAGGTCGTCATCTCCGCCGCACTCGGCGGCGCAAGACGACCGGCCCATATCCGCGCAATCAACGCGCTCTGCGCTTCGGCGACGGGGAAGGGCACGATGCGCTGCGGGACGGCGAGGAATGCCACTGTCGGATCGGCCGTGTACAGCATGTGCTCCCAGAGATGCGCCGCGTGGCTGACGTCGACGACGACCGGTGGCCGTACGTCTCGCGCAAAGGGAAAGGAGTAGTGGTATCCCGTGCAGAAGAGGACGGCGTCCATGTCCGTCTCGATGTGGCCATTGGCAAAGCGCACTGCGATCTCGGGGACGTGGCGCGCCCATGGCTTCGACTCCTGGACGACGGCGCCTGGTGTTGCCTTTTCCTTCTCGGAAATGAAGACGGGAAGCTGGGCAGTGGCGGATAGTTGGACGCTCAGATCGATTCCAGAGGCAGAGTTGCCGACAACAATGACTTTCTAACTATCTTCAGCAGCTGGCAGCCGGCTTTTCTGTTTATTCCAGTCACACCTTGTCTTGGTAAGCGTCCGGTCGTCTGTAGTATTTTGAGTGGGAGATGACGCCCGGGTTTGCTTTGTTAAAGTCCTTGATGCCAGGAATGTCCGGGATAAAGGGGTCGTTGTAATGACCACTGGCCACTGCCACGGCATCGAACTCGTGTGTCTTCGTCTCCTTGGTCACCAAGTCTAGTGTCTCAATCTTCCAGCAAGGCCTGTCTCCTGATTTATTCTTACAGAGATGCTGTACTTGGGTTGAGTACGAAGCATAAGGCGCCAGGTCCTCTGCATAGCTCTGCAAGTACTCCAAGACTACCTGGTGCGTGGGGAACAGCGAGGTGCCCTCTTGAAACGGGGTCTCTGTGTAGTTCATGAGAGTATGAGGTATGTTCGTCTCCAGCATATCGTACACTGGCGACACAATCTCGGGCTTGTCCGAGTTGGCGTGGTAGACGACCTGGTCTGGGGCTGTGGTTGGTGCAATTCGAGGCACGACAAAGCCATCTTCTCGGTCTGCTGATGTGTAGTTCCACACACCGCCGGCTACTGGCCTCTGCTCGAATATTTGGATTTTCTCAAACTTCTTTTCCGCAAGGAGATATCTAGTAGTGGAGCATGTATTAGCGCGAATGTGCCCAAAGCTTCATCTTGGAGTGACATGACTTGCTTGGCCATGGCGAGACCACAGGGTCCAGCGCCGATGACAGCAGCGCGACGCAGTCAGCTTTTCGTCTAATGCTGTTGGTGACATGATGTTATTTTGCGTCTTTGCAGCGAAAATAAGATGAGGTTATATTTTTCTATGTCGTCTAGCACTTCCGGGACAGAGTCAGGTTGCGGCAGATGAGCAGATGGGGAGTGCGATGCTCCAGGACAGCAATAAATCACAGCGCTATGAGACGAGCATACGTATATATCTGTACCCATTGCCCAGCGACAAGATAATGAACGTGAAGATAAATAATTAGAACCATCCAATCGAGTGAACGTCCATGGATAGAGAGGACCCCCGGAATTTGCCGTATGCGGAAATTCGTACCGGCAATGCCGCGATAACAAGCCGGTTCCTCCCCGACGACGCCAGCAATTGTCGAGTCAAACTCAATTGCGGATATCACAGGTGGCTGACGCAGTCAATTGCTTGCGTCGGGGCGCAAGCTTTTGACGACTGGATTCGGACGTGGCAGCCTGATGAGCTGTGCTTGAACCATCCTCGCCAAGCTTCTCGTGCCTGTTCATCATCATCACCACAGAGAGGTCCGACAGTAACCAGCCGCCTGGCACTTTGCATGGACGCCCAAAAGGGAAAACTTCATTCAACAGCGTCGGACCCCACGCGACAGCATCCGTCGCGACGTGGACGGTGAGACTGAGACCCTCTCCACATCAACCATGGACTCTGCCGATATGAAGGCGTCCATCCATCGCTTCCGCCTCCGACAGACATCACCACCGGAGACCACCGGTCGGCGCCGCCCTGCTTCGCCCGTCGCGGCGCGGGACGCTGCCTCCGCCTCTGCTTTCGCTGGTGTCGGTGTTGGTGTTGGTGTTGGGGTCTCCAGTCCTCCCTCGCGCAAGGGATCTTTTGCTGGGGCTGCAGGTGGTGGTGCTGCTGCTGCTGCCGCATCAAGGCCAGGCAAAGGGCGCCAATCGATACCTGCATGTGATCGCTGCCGGTATGCATGAACTCTCCTCATGTAACTGATCTATGCGGCTGGCCGACCGGCTAGTTGCGTCGCTGACTGACTGACTGACTGACTGACGTACATCAGCTCCTTCAAGAAGAAATGCAGCAGGACATTCCCCGTGTGTGAACTGTGCAACACAGCAGGACAGAAATGTTCCTACTCCAATCCGACGAACACTGCCGAAGGCAGGGCGCTCCAGCTGGATGCCAGGGTCCAATGGCTGAGCCAGTACATCAACGACAATATCCTTTCTCATGGGTGCATCGAGGCCGTCGAGACGGGAACAGATCTCGTGCCCATCCTTGGTGCCTCTCCGGCGAGGAGGGATAGTGCCGCCCATTCTGGTAGTGTGAAGGCACGGGTCGACGAGACATCACCACTGGACCATGGGAGTGTCGGCGCGACCGCCAGCCATGCCTCCTACCAGCCGTCCATGGCCACGGACGGCTCGAAAGGATACAGCGATCAGGCGATGCCTGCGGACGCAGCGGCGCGACGGTTCGTGGACGCGTACTTTCGCAACGTCAACAGGGCGTATCCCTGTGTCCACCAGTCCAAGATCCTCGCCGACCTGGACATCCCGCAGGAGTTTATGAAACGAAGACGAGATGCGGACTCGACCTTGCTGTATCTCGTCATGGCCATTGGTGCCACCACGCTCGAGCGCGCCGGCCAGGTGCCCAGGGGTACCTCGAGACGGTTCGACGTGGCCTACTCTGACATTATACAGGAATGTCTCCATAGGGACACCATGGAGTCGATACAGATCCTCGTCCTACTGGCGCTCTACTCACTCTTCGACCCCCTGGGTTCCTCGTCGTACTCCATCGTGGGCATCGCCGCGAGACAGGCCATCCTCTCGGGCCTCACGCGTCGCCCGACGGAAGAGGTAGGGCTGACGCCAGCCGAGACTGAGCTGCGTCACCGACTGTACTGGAGCATATTTGTGCTGGATCGGATGATGTCCATCTCCCATGGGCTCCCCGTCGCCCTGACCGACGACAATGCCGACGTCCCGCTCCCAGGCCTCACCATCGAGGAGTTCGCCAGCCCAGACCGAGCCAACTATGCCCGCAACCTCCAGACGAGCCGCCACGTCATACAGTTGCGGCAGCTGGAAGATCGCATCCTCCGGCAGATTCACCTTGGCAAGCGCGCAGAGACGGCGCAGCTCGCCCCCGCAGACCGCAGAGCCATCATCGCGCAGCTCCGCGCCGAGGTCGAGGATTGGTATTCGAGCGGATGCCTGACGTCGCCCATGGACTCGGACAATGTGTCCATCCACAGCAGCATCACCTGGCTCTCCGCCCGCTACTACCATGTCCTGGTCATGCTGTACTATCCGAACCACTTCAACGCGGCGTCGGGGGCCGTGACGCGAGGCGAACTGCTGGGCTTTGCCCGGCGACAGCTCCAAAGCACATCGGCCCTCTTCCAGCAGCGACAGCTCCCGCTCAACAAGGTGTCCCTCACGCGTCTCTTCCCCGTCACGCTCATCTTGATGCACGACTACGCAGCCAGCTGCCAGGAGGTGGCGGCCGCCGCATCAGACTCGTCAGCAGGCAACTTTGGCAGCACGCCCCTGCCCTACGCGGCGCGGGACGAAGTCGCCGTCCTCATCTCGATCCTCGAGGCCTTCCCCGAATCATGGCTCCTCGCGCACCAGGCCGCGCAGGTCGTTCGCCAGTTCGCGAGCGTCATCGCGGGGGGCATCAGGAGCGGCGGCGGCGGCTCCTACTTTGGGGCCCAGCCCATCAACTACTCGCTCACCACGCCCGATCCCACGCCACCCGGTGGTGCCAAGGACCGCGTCGCGGAGGTGGTGAGGCCCTGTATCTCGGAGCTCACGAGTCTGATGAAGCAGATGCTGGGGCAGACAACGTGCTTCCAGTACATGGAGTATCCCGGGGCCGACACCACAGGCCAGTCCAAGGGCGGGCTGGGGCAGCAGGGACAGCAGCAGCAGTATCAGGAGCCCCTGATGAGCCCGGTGCCGCCGCAGAGGAGTATGATGAGCGTGCCCCAGCTGGGCGGTGCGATGAGCGAGGATGCTGTGGTGAATTTTGGGTGGGGGCTAGATTTGGACTTTTTGTAAATGGGCTTGGGATTTTGCTGTACTATTCTAGCCATCTGTATCGACAGAACGCGGCTTTGTATGATGCACTGGTCAATGTGTCTTATCTCCAGCTTGCAAGAGCTCTGCACATGTACGCTTCAGCTACCCTACACTGACTTGACACATCAATTGCAGCGCACTCAGAAGGGAATTGGGCTTTGCAATTCAACAGATGAGTTTCGTTCGGGTGCTTAGATCAGCCTAGGGTGCATTGAATGGCCCAGCTCTCGACTAACCTGCATGGGGGGTCGTGAATGTGTGTGGACTCGTGCACACTGCGTTAGCAACTACCGCTGAAGCCGAGGCTGATGCCCCTCCTGACCTTGACTTCTACATCACCAGGACCCGTCTCACGTACATGTACAGTCCTCTGCAGCTTTGACTTGTATCTGAAGACCCGCATCATCGATTAAATTCCCCTTTAGCACCCTTACACCAGGATGGCACCCAAAGATTTCATCGGCTATCCCGTGCCCCAAGAGGGGCCAAGAGCCGAGTATGAGAAGGCACCCGAGAACAACCCCGTTCTGAGGGGGACGGCGCTCACTGTTGCTGCCAACATGTGGGTTACTTGATGAGACTGATGGCCGGCGCTCATTGTAGACAGCATTGCGTACGTCCCTGGTGTTGCCAGCCTGTTCTGGAACAACGCAGGCTTCGGCACGCTCAAGGACCTACCGGAGCTGGATGGGATGCCATATCGATTCCACGTAGGATGCTGCGCCGACTCGTCTCTTGAAGCAGAATCACTGACATCAAAAGCCAATTGTCACGCCTCTGGGGGATAGCAAGATGCTCCCCATTGACGCCTCTCTGACCGAGTCGAAGAACACCCTCACATCAAGCTCATCGTCAAAGTACTACACAGCCGCCGACTACCACGCCATGTACAAGTCTGGCGCCATCACACCCCTTCAGGTTGCAGAGACCTTGATCCCCCTCACCAAGAAGGGTGCTTATGCCGATGCGTGGGCAGATACCCATGGAAAAGAGCACCTCGCGCTGGAAGCAGCCAAGGCATCTACGGAGCGTTACGCAGCGGGCAAGGACCTCGGTGTACTCGACGGTGTGCCCATTGGCGTCAAGGACGATCTCGACATCAAGGGCATGGTGAGTCACGTCGGCATGAAGTACCGACCTGATGTGAAGTGTTTCGAGCCAAAAGACAGGACCGAGTGGTTCCTCGAGAAGCTGGCCGAGGCGGGTGCCGTTTTCATCGGAAGGAACAAGATGCACGAGCTGGGCATGGACACCAATGGTCTGAATGTAGGAAAAAGAAACCCCCCATTGCATGTCACGGATACTGATCATCCCGCGATAGATCGCCCAAGGCACCCCCACGAACCATTTCAACAACGCATACTACCCAGGTGCATCGACTTCTGGTGGCGGATCCGCCCTCGGCGCAGGCATCATCCCCATCGCCATCGGCTCCGACGCGGGAGGTAGCATCCGTCTGCCCTCCGCCTTCAACAGCATGTACGGCTTGAAGACCTCGCACCACCGCACGGGCTACTACAACCTGTCTACCTGTGTGCGCGGGCCCCTTGCCGCCTCGGCCGCCGATCTGACCATCGCGTACCGACTCATGTCCCAGCCGAATCTGGATGATCCGGCCCAGACGCACTACGGCGTGTCACAACTGCCCAAGCCGGGTAGCAAGCGTGTCATGGGCATCTACCGCGACTGGTGGAACGCCGGCGATCCCGAGGTCGTCAGGCTCTGCGAAAAGGCCGTTGACTACTTTGCGACGCAGCGCGGGTACGAGGTCATCGACATCTCGCTCCCCCTCATGGGCGAGGCGCGCGTAGCCCACGCTATGCTGTGCGTCGCCGAGACGTACGAGACGACGCGTCGCAAGACGCCCGACCAGCCCAAGACCGGGTGGATGGGGCTTGTGGGCACGGTAAACAGACTGCTCATGAGCGTGGCGTCCGTGACCCGCGCCAACGACTATCTCAAGGCTAACGCCCTGCGCGAGCTGATGATGCGCCACCTGGCGTGGCTCTGGCAGCAGCACCCCGGCATGCTCATCATGACGCCCACGAGTCCCATGATCGGCTGGCCTCGCCACCCGGGCGACGAGGGCGGCTTGAGCGATACCAACACCACCGTGAAGAACATGATGTACATCTTCCTGGCCAACCTGACGGGGACGCCCGCTGTGCAGGCCCCCGTGGGTTATGCCGAGCCGAAGCAAGGTACGGGCAAGCTGCCGGTCGGTATCCAGGCCATGGGCGAGTGGGGGGCCGAGGAGCAGCTGCTGGAGTTTGCCAGGGAGGCGCAGGAGTACATTGAGGAGGCGAGCGATGGTGGCCGACGCAGGCCCGAGACCTGGTTTGATGTATTGGGCGAGACGAAGAAGGCGTTCAAGAAGGATGTGTAGGGGATTTTGGTGCCGGCTGCATTTGGCAATGAGCCTCAGTTGACATCTGCCTGTGGCCAAAAGGTCCTATGATCTTCCATCAATCATAGGGAAGATGACCTCTTCGCGTAGTCAACCTTTCATGTTGAGATACTAATCAGTCTTTGAAAGGATCAAACAATATGCGCTCTTGGGCATGCACATGCTAAGCAGTCGACTGATTCTTCACCGTTCTTGCGCCATCAATGGGCACGGAAGATGATGTTTCGCGGTGGTACTGTCGTTGGGTCGGGTCCCAATTGTCGTCACCGTCAAAGGCCTGGAATGCAATGGCACGAGGCGCGCAGAGTCTGTAGAAGTGGTTGGGCATTCCAATGACATCGCGACCTGCGTGACTGCGCGGTCCTGTCTCGGCATTTGTTTGCAAAACTGATTTCCTCAAGTTCATGCGAAGATGCTCAATGTCTTCACCAGGTGATGATGAGATGCGCCAGATGGAAGCTCACGCCATCCAGTCAGTGCAACCACCAGCGCAGACACCGTCAAACCTTGTAGATTAGCGCTGTTAAGGGTGACCGCAGAAAGAGCACTGGTCCGCTAACAGACTCCACTTATTCCCAACACTGCCGCCTCACTGGCCTCAGGCACAGCCGCACGGGCGTCTATCGTGATGCGCTTTTATTACTATTTTGGGCCACGCCGTATGTACGGCTTTCTTCTGGGCTTTTGGAGGATTCCGCGCGATGCTGGCCAAGGAGGTACGTACTTGGTATAATTAACCAGCGTCAGCGGCCGGGCAAGAAGACATGGACCCAATCACTCCCAGACGCTCCATCCAGTCTTTGCAAGGGGAGAGAGCCTGCTTGTTAGAGCTTTCTTTGAAGCAGCACCAGAAAGACGGATTAAAGAGAACGCATGACAAGGCCAACTCACGAGGCGACTAGTCTAATAAGAGAGCACGGCAAACTAGCGTCAACCCCCTGCCTCCACTCACTTGGCTTTTGACGGTCTTGTGTCGTGCGAGAGGGTGCGGTTTCAAGTTCCCGAGTGCTGAAAGACTGGACAGACCCGCTCCAAGGCCCCCAGGCCCCTCCATTTTTCGTGTCGGCCTTGCGTGTCCCATCTTCAAACCTCTATTCTCCAGTCAGCCATCCGAACAACCGTCCTTGTCTTGTCCCTGTGTATTGTCTTTCATCTTCGCCATCATCGCCCATCGCTCACACCATTCGGTCTCTCGCTCGCTCGCTTACTTCCACTACCCTCGCTACCTACCTTGATCAATCCTCTTCTTTCGACCCGCCCTCATAGCTAATCGTCCTTTTCCGTCTTCTGCGCTGGTCGCATTGCGACTTCCACCGACTTTCGAACGCCGCTTATTAGCGAGGACCATATACACGAGAATCTTCATCCATCTTAACGCGAGCTCGTCGGATTGTTGGTGACTCCACGTCGTCAGGATGGACCACCATCGCAAAAAGTCCCTGCTCGGCAACGACCTCGTATTCCAGCCAGAGAGTCAGCAGCCATATGCTCAGCAGCCGTACGACCCAACGGCACACGACAACCACACGTCCTTTGGCCAGGCCGCCTACCCGCAGTCGCCATTCCAAACATCACCCTATGCTGAGAACCACAAATTCGAGAGCCCAATGTACGAACAACCCCAGGGCTACGTGCAGAGGCAACCGGCGCCCCCTACACCGGAGCCAGCGCCTGCGCCCAAGCCCCGAAAGAACTGGTTCGGATTCATGAGCAGCAAGTGGGCAGCCATGTTCATGGCCATCACCGCCATCCAGGCCGTCATCTGCCTGTGCTGCGAAGCGTATGTGCCGATTCCCCGCGTCTGACCAAAACCAAGCCTCCATGCTAACAACATGCACAGCTACGTCTTTGCCACCACTCAGTCTAGCCTGCGTCCTCTCCAAGACAGGAATCCTGACCCTACCGCCAAGAACCCCGAAGAACTCAGCTCGCAGTACAAGACAATCCCCACCTTCTTGACTCTTTTCATCTTCGGCTTCTTGTACGAACTCATCATCGTCTGGGATGCGCTTCGCAAGAAGAACACGATTCAGATCATTGGCGTCTGCTTCGCCAATCTCGCCCTTGTGGTTTACACAGCCATCCAGGTCGACCAACTCGACATTTCCCTCGATGTCCTTGTCAAGTACAATTCGCTTGAGGCGGATCGCTCCAAGCCGGACATCTGGGGCGACATCAAGGGCTATCTGATTGCGATCCCTTCTATCATTGCCGTGGTCACTTGCATCATGGTGTTCCTGACATGGAAGCTCTACCAGGAGTTTGCATGGGATATCCTGAAGAGCATCGGCGCCGACTACAGGATGAAGAAGCGCTTTGCGTCGTACCAGATTTATATTGCCCTGCTCAAGTTCGATTTCTTCTTCTTCCTCGGATTCATCATCCAACTCGTCGTCATTGTCACCCGAACGGACGATCCCGAGTTTGGTCTCACCATCGCCACCATCCCCATCACCATCATCATCCTCCTCGCCGCCGCCTACTTCACCCGCATCGAGAACAAGCCCGGCATGGTCGTCACCATCGTCCTCTACTTTGGCGCCCTGGCCTACTTCCTCTTCAAGCTCATCCGCATCTGGACGTGGGTCGACTACTACCTGGCCGTCCAAAAGTCTCTCACCGCCTTCTCCGTCATCACCATTCTTCTCATCCTGCTCACCATCGCCAACGCCATTGTCTGCATGCGCAACTTTGACAAGGGCCTCAAGACGCACATTCTCGGCGCCAAGAACCGTGAAGAGGACCCAGAGCTCAACTCGGTGAATCTGAACGACGTCAAGCCTCAGCCTAGCCGCATGACGATCGACTAGATCAGACCGCCGTGCGAGGAAGCACATGCAGCACACGTACCATGACATTCGACTGGGTCGAGTGGGGGATACGGTTCGCTACGAATTTACGACAATCATTTAACGGCAGGGCCGAACATAGAATATGGGGAGGATGTATGAACAAGTGATACCAACTATATTCTCCGTTAGATCGGTCCCTGCTCCTCTAGGACTTGCATCTGGACATTCTTTTCGATCGACTGAGGACATTCTATTTGGGTCACTGTATACCTGGCGTTGTGGGAGCGCCTTCCCGTTCCTGGGATGCTCGCATGCCTCTCATTCTCAGGATTTGATTTTGTTTTGTTCTAAGTTTATGAGTCTTGGGTGTCTCGTTCCCATTTTTCCGGGACCGGCTACGGCTGTGACTGCTATATGCAGGTATATACGTACTAGAACTCCAACGGGGTCAGATTATTGACATGTCACGCTTCGCCATGGACGCCTTGGTCAAAACACGCCAGTCACAATACGCTATACTGCCCTGCCGTGAACCCCTGTGTACAATGATGTGATAGCCCAAACTCCGTGCCCTCGGCCAGCAAGCTGGTAACATGCAATCATGCCGGCCCCATGTTGTCAGGCGACCAATTCAGACCCTCGCCCGCTGCGCCTCCCAAACAATACCAACGCCTGCCGTACCAATGGAATTCCCGCTGCTTAGAAATGAACACGGATAGTATCTGCTGTCGTTCCCTCAGCGGGACAGTACGGACACTTGTACTTGCCCGATCTCGTCAGTTGATCGAGACTTTCCTTGCTGAGCACGTGTCCGCAGGCTAGTCGGACTGGCGGGTTCTTGTCTGTCGTCTGCTCCTTGCTGACTGGACAGACGAAGATGGGATGGTAGATCATGGATGAAGGCAACGGGGTTTCAAAAGCGAGTTCCTGCTCCGTCGTCCACTCCGTCTTCTTCTCACGCATGTAGTGGGTGTATTTGATGAGCCGGGGCAGGGCTAGCGACCCAGCCGTGACGGCAATGTAGAGGGGTGACTCAGCGGACAGCCCCAAGAGCGAGCAAAAGTCCTTGGTGAATGACTCGGCGACCTGCTCATATGTAGTGTTAATAGTAAAGATATGGCCGTACGGACTCGATGCGATGTTGGGCCCGTAGACCATGGCGGCGCAGAGCTGGTTGATCTCCTTCTGGTGGCGCCTCTGGAACTTGCCAAAGTGCTGATGTGCATAAGCAACAGCTCTGGTCTGGCGAGACAAGTCGTCCTGTAGGCCCTTGCCCATCGTCCCATTGAACAGCCAAATGAATTGCAGCTTGGTGAGGTCGAACTCCAACGAGCTGCCTTTGCTCTCCAGGAGGTCGCTGTGCGCGGCACACCACTCAATCGCAGGCTCCATATTCCTATTATCCTTGAGCTCGTCCAAGATGGAGTACATCTCCCTGAATTTCTCCGTCAGGCTCTCGTCGACCTCGTCCCTGTCGGTCATGTTCTCGTCCTCGGCGTCCATGTCCTGGTCTTCCTCGGCGTCGGCGACCTGCTGGCGCATGTACTTTTGATTCTCGTTAGGTCCAAAGTCGGCCTCCCGGAATAGTGTCTCCGCCGTGGGAAACTGCCCCTCGCGGATCAGGTGCATCACGACAGCTCTGTTCACGTAGCCGGTATGGGCCTCCATGGTGTCGATCTCTACGGGTAGCTCGCGTAGTGGCATCGCCCGATCGAGGGCCTTGCCGAACCCCTTCTGTGCCTTTGTCACATTCTTCAAATCGTCCGTGATCGCGTCGAGTCCCTGTTTTACTGGGTTTTGTAGTGTGGTCATCGCCAACGACATCCTATGTGTGTCTGCATCTAAACGGGTGGGTTGATTGATTAGTCGCCATCCTCGAGCTGCATGATCGGCGACATACCTTGCGATATTTGTGCTTTGGTGTTCTCCAAAAGCTCTATAATCTTGTCCACATCTTTGATGGCCCCGTTCAGGTTCGACTTCATCATCTTGGCCAGCTCCCCCTGCAACGGCCCAAAGGGCGAGGGGTGTTCGTTGGAAGACATCGTGGCGGCAAGGTCTGCCGGGCAACCCACGGCTGCCACCGATGGGATCGTGGGTGGGTTCGAGCAGGTGGCAGACTGGTAGGAATAAGGAACTAAAGGCGCATCTGCCAGATGGAGGAGTGATGCAGAGTAAGGACAAGATGGCGAATATGTATTGCCAACATGAAGGTAGCAGGCACGGCGGTTGGCGTTGAGCATTGAAGTCTTATCGATAAGCGCTTGCATCACCGTCCCCGGTTTGGGCGGTGGGGACTCGCGGAAGGTGCCACCGAAGGTACTTACGCAAGCTCGCGCCCTCTCACATGCCGAAACCAACTCAACTTCAAGTATTACTCGTAAATCACCGCCTTCGAGCTCCTATGGTTTAATGCGACAGCTCCTCTCGACTCGAGAATGCATTGCTGCTTCCATAACACCAGCCTGGACGGCAGGCGAGCATGAGCTTCTTCTTCGCAACTCCTCCAGATGGAGCGAGACCCTACACGTATCATCGCGAGACGTCGGAGGATCTCCTGACGGCGCCCAGGACCATTTCGACGCAGCAGACAGCGCGTTCGAGCCCGCAAAATGGATCGTCAACCGCGAATTCTGCTTCGAATCCAGTGTCGAGGGTTGAGTCTTCTTCGGCGCCGTCAATACCCAGGAGGAACATTGTGTTTCCAGACCCTGTCGCATTCAGGTAGGTACCGGAGAAAGCAGCCCAAACGCGTCGCCTCTGACAGTTTCTCAGATACCTTGAAGATGAGTCGTGTGTCGCCGTTGTCGAACGTCGGGGAATACTGCGTGGCTACGAACTCTATCTCGTCGAACAGTGGGCCTGCTCACGGCAGTCGCCCACACTGGTCATTGTCACTTATACCGGCGATGAGGAGCATTCGGTGGTAGTTGGGGTACTGTCGGTGCCTGTTGATGAGGCTCTGTGGTCTACTAAACTACGCGTCTACTTCAAAGCAACGCGACAATACCTTGCCCGCCCCAAGGGCACGCAGCTTGGGGAGGTCATGGTCACAAACCTGAGCAGCTTCCCCTCGGCTCTCACAGTCATCCCTGTTCCGGATGGCGATATCAGAAAGCACCGGCTTGAGTTCATTGTCAACGAAAACTTGAAGCGCATGGGCTGCTCGGGTCGGTCCGGGTTGACACTCAGCGAACCTGCGGAGGGCACGCGAACCAAGTTCCTGTCACTGTACAAGGTCAGCGACAAGATCCCCTTGGCCACGGCGGTCACAGAGCTTGTCAAGCTTTGCCAGGTGGCTCTGTACGTGTTCGAGAAACTAGAACCGGAGTACATTGATGGCTTGCTCTGCGACGTGACCGAGAGGGCCATTGGAAACTGGTGGACAGAGGTTGGGGCGGAGCATTACAATTTCGAGCCAAACGATGGCGTCCTGGGTCCTACGACGGTTGCTGCTCTTCTCGGGATGCTGATGGGCGCAAGAAATCGACTGTACTGGTATGGGTGTCCAGTAGCAAAGGATGCCTTCGACATTGAATGTCTGAAGCGAGGCATTGGGCACTTTCAAAAGTCGTTCAAGATTGAAAAGACACGACGACTTGATCGCCAGACGCTCGTCAAGCTTCACAATTGCACTGCCAAGGCCGCAGCTGGGGAGGGCTGGGGCGTGCAAAAGGCTGTCAAGTCGCGCATGAAAGAGATTGGCGGCAATCGCGGCGAAATCGTCATGGGAATGGTGTCTGGCAAAGACAAGGGTGGCATGGCAGATATTGAGACCTTGGATCTCGAGCGGTTCATCAGCTTTGCCTATGGTGAGCGTGCCAAATGGCTATGGTACGGGAAGCCGCGAAGAACGGCCGTGGATCACCCCGAGAGAGATTCGGAGGGTGTGAACCCCAGCTTCGGCAGGGACGTGATCAAAGATGAATCCCTCGCACGCACACAGACCATACAGGGCGATGAGGATTTAGACGTCCGGCGGCAGAACGGTTTGCTCAGCGTGCAATCCGAAATACAGTATGGCTCTGCGCTTGGCAACACAGATAACCCGGCGGAGAAGGACGCCCTGAGAAGAAACGTCCTGAAAAGCGTCGCGGGGAAGATGAGTGATGCTCGATCCGGTTTGGGCCGCATCAAGACTGCCGTGGGCGGCAGCAAGCGTGGACATGCCGCGCGAACATCAATCTCAGACCGTGAGGATCTGAGGGAGCTTCGCAGTGCGCAGAACACATCTTTTCCCAACGCAGGGAGCCAAACTGCAGTGCCAGGCACGCCGGGATTTTCGGCTCCCGGCAGGGCTTTCACCTGGCAAAAGAAGCCCGGCGATTACCTGGACGGTTACAGACGTGAGCAGCCGTCCTCGGTAGGCGACCTAGCGAACGAGACCCGCGACCACTCGTCGGCCACGAGCGGCTCCAACATTGCCAAGCGGCCACCGAAACTGGCGCTGGAGAGTGACCTTCTCAATAGGATTGGATCGGAAGTACGAAATGATATTCTACCGGCAGCACCGCCGACAGCTGAGTCCCTCGTCGGCGAAGGGGATCTGGAAGGGCCCCTGCTTGACGCTGAGCGACGGAACGAGTCACCCTACCTCAGTATTGGCCTATCTCGCCGCCACAGCTTAGAGGTCGCCCAACTCAATTTCAAGCACGAGTTGAACGAGGCCCGCTGGGCAAGACGTGTGTCGTTCAGCGAGGCGGAAGAAGCAATCCTCATGTGGGAAGAGGTTGTCAACCTCGACGAGAACGCCCAAGAACTGATTGAGGTGGAGGCTCTTGCTGAGCTCGCTCGCCATCTCAACCAGAACATTGAAGAGATCAAGGTCAATGTCAATCCATGGGTGGAAGAGAAGCTCAAGACTCTTGCTCTCCTAGACGAGCGATATGCACGCGACAAGGATGGCCTGCAAAGCCACTACCAACAACTCAATGAGGCCTGTCAGCGAGTTCGCTACAGCTCAAATGAGCTCTTGGCTGAAGAGCGCGCCAGTCTCACGGAAAGCGTCAAGGAGATTGACGTCCTCGTTGCCCGACTTGACTACGAGATCAATGCGCTTGTCTCCAAGGCTGTTGATGTGGAAGATGGCGTGCAAACGTTTGAGCGTCAGGTCGAAGACCTGGAGAAGCGCGCTGCGGTTCTGAAAACGCAGCTGGAGACGGAATCATGGGTGCATTGGTTTTTCAGGAGCCTCACTGGCGTAGGCAGTGGTCCTCACATCACAAGAGGTACAACTTGAAATTTTGTGTCTGACATCACACAGGCGAGGCGTTTGGAGCCAGCTTGAAATAAATGCATAGCGCGGGACATAATAAAAAACTACTCGTTCAACTTGCCTAATTAAATCATCATGGAGGAACCTTGAAGGTTCCATCGCTATAATCAGGTATTCCTACAATGCATCCCCCTCTATACCCAAACCATCTTTCGTAATCTCCTCCGCAATCGTACAGCCTGCTTCTATCGCACAAAGTTTGCTGGTAGCAATCCAGGTCACAGCCGTCGCGCCGCGCTCCTCTAGAAAAGACCGCCGCTGCCGCCCTGCTGCATCCCCTGCTGTTGGCCCTGCTGTTGCATGATCTCGCTGACCTTCTGGGTGGTGTCAAGGAACTTGGAGACGCAGCGGTCGAGGCACACGGACTCGCCCTTGTTGAGCTCGGCCTCGCGGAAGTCGTTGGGGATGCACTTTGCCTGGCAGTTCTTCTGGAGGCTATCCATTACGGTCAGCAAATCGCGAAATTTTTGGGGGATGGTAAGGAGAGCTTGATGGGACAACGAACCTGTTGTAGCTGGAGGCCATGGCGAGCATCTCCGCCTCGACGGCTTCGATCTTCTGCTCAGACGTAGGCTGAGGGCGACCCATTCCTAGGAAAGACATGATGGCGGTATGTAAGGTTGAGATGAAGGACTGGAGTTGGCGCAGGGGTTGCGATGTTTGATAGTCGGCTGCAGTTGATGGGAGTCGCGCGACAGCAAAGTTGACAACTGGATTGCTTATCGATAGGACATGATTACATCATCAAATTTGAAACCGCCGTGTGTGGTCTGCTTACCCTGCATCATCTCCTGCGAAGTACAATCATTTCACCATCGCTTGCTAGTTAAAGCCTTCATGCAGCAGGCGTCTTTCGACAACTTAGCAAGATACTCAATTCTTCGAATGCTACACGTTTGTTACGCCTTCTGTTCGCACTATCTAAAACTATAAGCCCGGCACAGCTTCATCCACAGACCGCGGAATGTCGCTCACGACCTCTAAAAGAAGATGTTCTTGGTCCAGGTCCATTCCAAGATGCCGGCAGTCGAGTTGAACCGCCCATGGCCACTCATTTTCGTGCCTCCATGGGGCTATCCATCGTGTCAGCAAATGTCACTAGCAGGCGCGAGGTGTACAACTTACGATGAAGGGCTCGTCATGTACCGTCATGGAGTTGATATGGACAGCGCCCGACTCGATCTGTCGAGCAAAGCGCAGCCCGCGTCTCAGGTCCTCAGTGAAGACAGCAGATGTCAGCCCGTACTCGGTATCGTTTGCAATGTCGACTGCTTGTTCTTCTGTGTCGATCTCGATAATGGACACGGTAGGACCAAACGATTCGGTCTTGTAGATGTCCATGGCAGGGGTAATGTTGCCGAGGACAACCGGCCTCATCAAGTTTGAGCGACCTTCGTCGGCAGATGGGTCACCAAAGAGGACGATGGCACCCTTTGATGTTGCGTCGTTCAGCAACGCCTTGTTCTTTTTGACCGCGGCATCGTTGATGAGCACTGGCGAGGGCCCGTCTGCGGAAAAGACTTGGTCAATGGACGCCTTCAGCTTCTCCTGGAACTGTTTGCTGACGTTCTTGTGGACCAGGATCCTTTACGTGCTCATGCAGATTTGGCCGGAATTCAAAAAGGATCCCAAAGCACACTGTAAAGCCGCTGTTTCCAGATTGGCGTCCTCCCATACAATCGCTGGTGCTTTTCCGCCGAGCTCGAGCACCACGGGCTTGAGGTTCTCGCCCGCCAGTCGCCCGATGATCCGCCCGACATTGGTGCTGCCAGTAAAGTTGATCTTCCGGACGTGCGGATTTGATATCAAGGCCGAGGTGATCTTGGGGGCAGAAGAGGGCTCACAGCAGATTGTGTTGAGAACCCCGTCTGGGAACCCGGCTTCCTGTAGGATGGACGCGATCATCCAGTGAGTGCGCGGCGAGAACTCTGAGGTCTTGAACACGACAGTATTGCCTGCAGCGATCGGGTACACCACGGAGCGCAGACCAAGGATGTACGCGGCATTCCTGGTTGCAAGTCAGTCGAAAGACGACGTTATTGTGCCAGGGCAACCACTCACCATGGAGCAATGGACAGAACCACCCCGTAAGCCTCACGCACAACCATGCAGCTTCTTTCGGGGTCCTGGGTCATGGGAATGCTCCCTTCAATCGACGTGACCCGACCGGCGACATCTCTGAGCATGTTGATCGCAGTGTCAACGTTGAAAGCGCCCCAGTCAAAAGTCCCGCCAATCTCGTCGACAGAACACTGGATCAGCTCTTCTCTACGCTTTTCCATAACATCTCCGGCTTTCAAGAAGAGATCCCGTCGCTGAGTCGGCCCTGTCTTCTTCCATTTGGGAAAAGCAGCTGCCGCCGCGTTGACAGCCTGTTCGACATCTTGATGTGCCGCACTGCCCGCTCGACCAGCAAGTTCGCCGGTCGTTGGCGAGAATACATCGAACGTCTTGTCTGGTATGTGTTCTTTGCCGTTGATACAAAAGGGTGTAACGTCATTCGCATTCATATTCGCCATGATTCGTGGATGCTGCTGTACTTGAGTGAGAGTTGGAGCAGTACTTGATACAGGAGAAGGGTCCGATGGAAGTGGCGTTCCCTACTTTATATCAAGGACCCTGGTTCAAAATCTGGATCCATATACCCACGAGCTCGCCAATACTCCCAATAGCGCTCTCCGTCTAGATACAACCCCCTGCTCCCCGAAGTGCCTGCTGGCCCTGCTCCGTTGGCAGTTTTGATAGACATATTTACGAACGCTGCTCCTCAGGCAACTAGTTCTCCCAACCACCTGTTTGACCTAAGAATCTGCTTGCTCCCCCCGGAACGGGCTCATCATCTTGGACCGAGTGATCCGCATTAATCTTTGACACTCTCGCGTGTCATACATCCTCCCGACCCCGCATTCGGGACTGAACATTGCCCGGGGTCAAGACCTCCACTCATCCGAAGGTAATTTTGGCCCTTTGGGCCTTCGGCTTTTGTTTAGCAGAGGCCAGAGACTGTTCGCATTTCAACTTGGCGGGGAAGGCTTGTCCCCATCTCTGGACCACTTGTGCTCATTGAGGCAACTCGGACGTGAGCAGGTGGGGTTCGAGAAAAGGCTGTGGAATAGCAGCCGTCTTAACATGGGTCGCATCTGGGAAGGAATCAGCCTCCATATACATTGAAGCGACTACAAACGGGATCTTTATTTGCTGCCCCTAGGAGACTTACTCGACTCGGAGGATACTCCAGCGAGAACAAAGTGGACCTCAGATCTCAGCCGAGGCTGGTGGGTGTACGAGACTGGCTTGGGGGCAGGTTTTAGGGCGCGTTTGACTGGCGCCCTTTGTGTCGTTGTGTCCGCCATGGCAATCGCGCTGTATGTGTGTATTGCGACGGAGCTGCAATGGCGCGTAGGTAGTCTGAGCGATGTTGAGGTTGTAATGATCTGCTGCGAATTTTGACGCGCGTAAACTGTGATTAATGCGCCAGGCGATTGCTCATCGCAAGGTACATCAACAACAAAAGGACAAGGACCCTGTGAAGAACCAGTCCGACGTCGGAACGCGGGGACTGGAGGCTGTCCCATTGATTTTGGAGTGCTCACGTACTTGTTGGTGGAGGGGTCAGTCACAGTGGGCTATCGTGAGAGGACGAACAAAACACTAAGGATTGGCAGACTTGGACACACAAAGTGAGGTAGAGTCACAGTGTCGAGGTGAGTCAGCCAGGAAGCTGCTCTTGGATAAAGTGATTTATTTGCCTTCGTATTGGCTTGCTCTTATAAGTTACGATTGGCCAATTCATTCTGTTCACTTGAACTAGTAGTACTCGAGACACCAGAATTCTTCTTCAAAAAGTCACTGCCTTTTTTACTTGACAATCGTTCGCTCCTGCCCAAAACGGCTCACGCGGCCTGGCCAAGGTAAGCCAAGCCGCTGATTGGTCAAGGCTGCACAGGTGACAAAGACGAACGACGGTTCCCGCTGTCTCCAGTCTCCAGTCTCCCCCCATCCGTCTGCCGCAAAAAATCAGCAGTTCTTCATTCTTTCCATGTCCGTTTCTAGGAACCCATCAACAGCGATACCGGATCGCATTCTCAATTGACTTTGTTTTGCCCGGCATCAGGTGCCACGACGGGCCCGACCTAGTCGCATCGATTGCGAGCCACCTTCCCACGTCAATTACCCCAAATCCATCGCGGTCTGGGCAGTCGAGCCCCGCAATCGGCTGCTTGTCGCACTCGGGACACGAAACGAGACACCAGTTGCTGCATGGACGGCCCTTCCATCATGACCGCCCCCGGTGCGGTCTCCATGAGCCCGACAAGCCCCATGAGCTCAAGGCAGGGCGGCGGAGCCAAGCGCAAGAGGAGCACCGGTGTTGGCGGCCTGGAAAGCAGCCCCGGCAGCTTTGTGGACGACGAGCATGGCGACGATAAGAAACGCCAGCCAGGCGTCAAGCGAGCGTGCAACGAGTGCCGCCAGCAGAAGGTGAGAATGGCAGACCAAGCTTCCAGCATTATCGCGTTTCTCAGGTCGCTGACATGGGCACGCTGCTCTAGTTGCGATGCGACGTGATCCAAGACCCTTTTCAAAGCTGCTCCAGGTGCAGGCGCCTGAAGCTGGACTGCAAGATCGAATCCAATTTCAAGCGCGTGGGCAAGCGTTCGAAGCATGCCGAGATGGAGAAGGAGATTGAACGGTTGCGCCGAAATGTGGCAAAGGCCAAGCAACAAGGCTTTGCGCTTGACGCTGCCGGCGACGACGACGACACCCTCGTGTCACCCGCGACTCAGAATACGCCGTATGCGCACACACGGAACCCATCCCTCATGGGCTCGGATGAGGCCGTCTCGTCCCTATTGCACTTGAAGAGGGGCGGGGCCTACAATGCACCACAGTATGCTTACGAACTCGACGGCATTCGGCTCACAGAGGAGGATACCGCGCACCTTTTCAACGAATTTTTCGCATTCTACCACCCCTTCTTGCCTTTCCTGAACTCGCAACAACCACCGGATCAATACTATCAGCAGCACGCCCTCTTGTTCTGGACCATTGTTGCCGTTGCCGCTCGCCGATACAGCCCGCCGAACGCACCGGACTTGCTCAACCATCTCTCCGCGCCCTTGACGCGCTATCTATGGACGACGATCGGCGAAGTGCCCAGCAGCTACTTTGTGGTCAAGGCAATGTGCCTGCTCTGCGCATGGCCTCTGCCCACGAGCACGACCGCATCCGACCCGACCCATATTCTGACCGGCGTTATGATGAAGACAGCAACTGGAATAGGACTTCATCGGCCCAATCACATACAGGACTTCTCGCGGGTCTCAGTGGAACTTAACAAGGAACAACTGAGTGATCGCGTGACAACCTGGGCGGTGTGCAACATTGTGGCCCAAAACGTTGGGACCGGGTATGGCCAGCCTGCCTCCTCTCTATATGACTGGACACTGGCCCTGAGAGCAGGAGATGACAATGTTCTCAAGTTGAGCCCGGAGCTGGAAGCGCGGCTCCAGATTGAGCGCTTCTGCGACAAAGTGTCAAAAGAGATGTACAGCAATGCAAGTGACCCGCGTGGCGTCGCTGGTGACGAGCATCGCGCTATGCTGATGAGGATATATCGCCGGGATTATGCGGAGCTCCAGGCGCTGATACTGTCACAAAGACTAGGAACAGTTGTCAACCTGCACCTCAAAGCGGCTGCGCTCCACATGAGGCTGGCGGGGTTCTTCGACTCTAGCACAACGCCAGGCTATATGGATGATCTGATGGGACTGTGGCGCACAGCGACTGCCTTCCTCGATGAGGTTCTCGAGTCGAGCCAAGCCAAAAGCCCCGGGGCGAAGCAAGGGGGCAACTTGCTGCAGTACGCAACCAACTACATCCAGCAGATGCTGGTAGCGGCAGGCTTCACGGTGCTGAAACTGATACGGTCATTCTTTGCCAAGACTGTTGATTTCCAGCGAGGTCGAAACCTGTTCCATGCGACGGTAGCAGCCATACGCCGGACCAGCGTCGTGCACAACGATCTCCAATGGCGTCTGGCGGAACTGATGGTCCAGATGTGGAACGGCGCCAGGTTGGAGCACAGCAACCCTACGCTGCATCCCCAGGACGACTCACCGGTGCATGTAGATGACAGCCTGCAGCTCAAGGTACGCTGTCGTCACAGTATGAGTCTGGTCTTTGACTCCGTGTGGCGTTGGAGGGAAGAGTATCAGGCCCAAGGTCGCGGCACCCTAGAATGTAAGTCCCCAGCTTTTTCTTGCCTCGCAACTGCCAGCTGATCAAAAGTAGCTATCAAGCAAACGAATCTGGAATCGGCAAACGAATCTTCCGAGTCATCGACTCATCTCGACAGCACGCTTATGCCTGCGCAAGCCTTGACGTCAGGCATGCTCCATGCCAATGGCAACAACACTAACAACAACAACAACAACAACAACAACAACAATGGCGGCTTGACACCGAATGCCACTGCGCTCTCCGCCACGTCGTCCGCCCCGAATAGTATGCTGGGCGGTTTGAGCTACGGCGAGACGAACTACGACTTTTTCGATCCGCAAAATTGGATGTTGGATGGATTGCTGGATTTCAACTACTCTTACGTGCCCCCGATGGAGGGCACTTGAAAAGCCTCGACTGAAGTATGTAGCAGATTTGCTTTTGATGTCTAATGTCTATTTGTGATACCTGTGGCTAGGGTCACACTGTTATGTTTACGCGGCTATGAGATTGGGATATCCCACCATAATACATTACATGACATGCAGGGCGGGGGAGGATTGCTCTTTTCGAGAATAGCGAATATATTGAGAAATGTCATTTCCATAATCTATCTTGAAGACCTAGAAACAACTCCGTTTGCTGACGAACTTGAAATAGTAACCTTCCAACGTGTGGCACACCTCACATCTGATGGCACACCACCATCACGGTATGATTGGGGTCCGAGAGCACCATGGAGGAGTGCCTCGCATGTTGGGGGCCTTTCCACCTCCCAATGGCACTGGCTTCGATGGACGGGCCTGTGATGGAGAGAGTAGTGGTGTCTTCATATGTACCATTCTTCCTCTTTGTGACCAACTCTTCATGTAGCGCACGGCCCTGGCGCGTGCGTGCAGGAGCGCACATGCCCCCGTGTCAGGTCAGGTGAGCGCTCGACCGGCTTTATCTCGCACACGCCAGAGAGGTTGTCTGCAATAGAGTCTACAACATCCGACGCAACGGTATCGTCCTGGTGGTGATGCGACCAACACTGGTGTTGGTGCAAGGCGACGCCGTGGAGGCGGCTGTGGCAGCGGATCGGACCGTGAGCGGACTCTGAAAGGGGTCGTTGGTCTCGGTAAAGAGGTGATTCAATCTTTGGCGCGGTACTTGTGCTTTGGGACGTTTTCCGATGGAGCGAGGTTCGTGGACATGGCTCTCTGTATACAGCAAAGAAGCGTTGCAGAGCAGTCAGCTTGCGTAGGGGGGGCAGTCTGGCGAGTACACAACGCGTGGCGTCGAAATTCAAAGACACTAGGATGACGCATTATTGTTACACCTCATTTCTCTTGCCTTTGTGATGAAGACAAGGCAGGGCACGCCTACATGTGCTCTGTGTCCGGTACCAGGGGGAATCACAGCGGGACACACTGGCTAGAATTTCCCGCCTGGACTCCTCATGGGACAGACTGCAGTATACTCAACTGCCTAGATTGCCAAGCAAGAGCTCCCAGACGTAGGCATGAGACTTTCAGCAACATTCATAGTGAACGAAGAGCCTTGGAGTGTGTTTCTCTGCCGGAGAGGAGAACGCCTGGCCTGCTTGGAGGCCGGCCCGCCACCCAGCCTCTGCGTGGAACGACGCCCGCACTTTTCACGATATTGCCTTTTTATCTCCGATCTATACCGTGACGAAAAGCATTTCTCTCGTCAGGTGTGGATGGACAAGGGCTTGCAGACTGTGGAAAAAAAGGCTGGCCCCTCCCTCCCGTGGTACCTCAGGAGGTCAGGCTACGTAGTTACAGTGTCCTGTAGCCTGGCAATAGTCCCACCCCCTTTTGTCTCGACCATGAAATCTTGGCCTCGAAGTATCGGTACGCTCAGCCCGCTCCAATGGATTCATAGCTGCCCCCGGTTGGTGCGCGGACGCTATGCACCGAGACTTGTCAAGCGGACCAACGCACAGGCAAGGGCGCTTGGAAGGCGAGAGTGGAAGTAATGACGGTGAGCACAAACCTCAAAAGTGCCCGTATTGGATCCGTCGTGGCCATAGGATGGGGTGGGGTCACGTTTTGTAGGTAGTACCACAGGCTTGGGAATTTGGCGGTGGCGAGGAACGGCTCAACAGGGGCCTCATTGGCATTTTACACTTGTCCCCCAGAATATCAGCGAATCTCAGCGGTCAAAACTACCTCACTGACCCATCTGGGAGGTTCAGCAAGACGTGCTGTAAGAAAGCGGCACTCTTTGACAACTTGGAATGGACAGACAGCTCTTCTTGCGTAGGCACATGCCACCCGCCAGACGAGTCATGGAAAAGGGGCAGGTTGAACAGGCCGTACAGATCAGCCCAGCATCACTCTAGTCTTGGGTGGTGTGACTGCCACTGTGGTCGAGATACAGGGCCTGAAGTGCCCAGTTTCAGGTGATTATCGTGCCTCGCGTTGCTCGAGCTGGCCTCAGTGCAATGTCGACATGGTGCTTTGTTGGAAAGGGTGGGGCGAGACGGACGACAGCAGACACATTGAAAGACTCGGCTGGGGTTAATGGTCCAGCAGAGCTAAGAACATCTCACAAGGTGGGAACAGTCTCGACCACTACTAGAGGTATGTCTTGGGCACCAGCGGTGCTTCTGAAGGAGAGGTTCACAGAGCACTTCAACAATTAGAGTTGATGATATGCCTGGACGAGAGCCTTGGCCTCTAATGCGCACTGCTTGACTCGCACGCCGCCTTGTATTAGGCCTTGGGTGCGCTTATTAGTAGTGTGCCTGGCCCAAGAGTGACGGGGCCTGTAGTCAACTGGGAAACCCCATGGCATCGGCCTGGTTTGACACGCTGCCACAGTGGATGTTCTTACCAGGGATCGGCCCACGGGAGTCACACAAGAACCTAGTCTAGCCAGGACAAGAGTCCCGTGTGTCGAATTGTCCGGAAGCTACGAGCTGCGGGGACTTGCGTATTCATCATGCGTTTTTGCCATGGCAGGCCTTCCTCGCCATCGGTACCGCAGTGTCATAACGCCGATATTGTCGGTGCTCGGACGCTGGCTACGCAGAGCTTGACTCCAGGTTGGGAGACACACAGACACACACAGGTTTCGATTAGCCTCATGTGGTAAGGTCCGAGTCGCGACAAGACCCCCATACGCAGACTCTGGCCTGCGGTATCCTGGTGCCGACTATTGTATGAGGTCGCTTAGCGATGACAGTGTGAAGCCGATTGATCCATGTTAGCAGGGTGACATCGTTCCTAATCGACTATGCGTGGCTTCGCGATCCGCGTCTAATGGCAACTTTCACAGCCGCGGGCGAGCCTAATGCGAGGCGATATGCGGCCTCGGCGCTTAATTGTGAGCGACTTGTTGGGAAGAGAGTCACCAGAATATCAGGCAGACTCGATGAAGATGCGGCCCGGCCCTCGTTGTGTGGAATGGACGTCCATAGGGCCAATCGTCGAGATGTTGGCAGGCCACTGGAGGGTCATGGTCGCATCTCTGGCCCCAAGGCTCTATGGATATCCGAGAGTAGCCCGTAACGCCCTCACCCACAAACATACATGCACCTTGAACCACAGAGATCAATGCTTGACATCCCGTAGGGCTGTACTTGAATGTGTGTTGTGCGGACAATGGTGGAACGACCCCCAAGCCCGCGTGGATAGCAACAAGCCACGCTCTCTGCCGAGCTGTGTCTAAAGGTGCGGGCTCCAACGCGACGACCAGCAGTAGCGACACTGGGCGGAAGCAGCGTCATGAACACCAACACCAACACCATGCGTCAACGCACATTGGTCGGCATATCGGGGCAATCCGTGGTTCGGCGTCTTACGGCTGAATAAAAAGGGCTGCCGCACCTCAGATCCGATCTTTTTCAGAGCAGGCGACATGCGTGCGTACGTGCGTGAGCAAGCAAGCGACGGTGCTGTGATGTGTGGAGGAGCGCGATGTGCTGGCGATGCGAGGCAGGGAAAGGCTCTGTCGGTAACCTATTGAAGTCGTCGACAAGCGCGCGCCATTTGGGGCACTTCCCAGAAGAGCCTAGCTCTGCATTGCCGAGGCAGCTGTCATTGGTGGGACGGCCGGGAGGCGTGCTGATAGCGCGTCAATCGCAGGCCGCACCCTGCTGCATTAGCGTATCCGAATACTCGGGAACGCCAAGAGCGGTAGAGCGACCAGCCGAGCTCCTGAGTGGCCAGTCTAGGGTCCTCGTGGAGACTCGTGGGGGCTGAAGTACGGGGCCGAGGTGAAGACGCTCGAGCTCTGCTCTGGCCTCTGGATCTCCCTCCGTCGCTGTCGGCGCGGAGGAGCGTAGACAGGTGATTGCCTTCCTGCAATGTCCCTTTGTCCTCTGTCGCGCCCCGCACAAACGTACAGTACGTACACGTAGCATGTGTGTTAGTTAATCAACGGGCATGCTTGTACTTGCGTAGCCTAATAGTAGGTACAGTGGGTAGCGAGCTGCGAGACGCAATGTGAGCCATGCGCGGAACCATCGTGGGCCCCTTGAGCGGCGGGATCCCCAGGCTCACGTCAAGGCTCCCACGGCTGACCATCAGGCCCATGCACTGTGCGAGAGGGGTTGCCTTGCAGCAGCCGTCGCCTCTCGAGTCTTGCAAGGACCGTTGCTCCAAAAATCCGTGCCTACTTTGGCTTTGCGACGCACGGTGCATTTTGTTCGTGGCTGCAGCGTGTGCTCATGACAGGAACGTCCATGATCGCCAGCCGATAGACTCACTGGTTCAGGTCGATGACACGGTTACAGTGTCAACGGCGTGCATTTGTCGGCGCAATATTCGATGCGCCAGGTATCGAAGCCGCACATGCTAAGCATCCAGTCCCTTTTAGCACCCGTCCGTGTCAGAGACTCAGGGCACCTTGGCCCGCCAAGCTTGTGGACACCACCACAGCCAGTACTACCTACTTACTGTGTGTTCGCACGAGGTCTCGTGTTGGACTCAGGGCCCAGGCAGGCTTCATGGGTGGGAAAGGCTGGAATCCCGGCTCTGCGGTTCAGCCAATATTGCGTTCTGGAGCCCAAGGGCCAAGTCCATGCAGCGAGACGACGTTGCAACAAAGCAAAGTGCGTGCAGTTCCGTAACAGACTCGCAAAGCCTGGCTGCGGCGCCCAAAAGAATAAAGTCGAAACACCTGACGAATAATCGTAGAAGGATGTGCAAGCTGTCAACGGGGAACGGAGCCCCGGTTCCGCGCAGCGGCTATCATGTGGATCGAATATTAGGCCCTGATGAGCGGTCCATTTGGCATTGCAAGCAGCCACTGCCGCACATCATCCGTCGTCCTTGATCGAGTTGGTTCAGTCTCTTGTCAGTCCTCGTCGAGCTCTAATTATTGGGAAGACACCAACGTAATGCGCCCTTCTGTGCGGCCAGATCTGCGCGGATAGTCCATGCGATGCCGTATCTGCGACCCTGATCTCCATGGTGCCGCTGAAAGGCTGAAAGCACCTTGCAGTCAGTCCCGCGATGCAAAGGTCGACGCGGCCTGCTGGTACCAAGAAGCGGCGCACATGCATACCAATGTCACATAGCGACTGTCGCAACCATGGACCCTAATGGCACTTTGCGCGCTGGAAACTCCCATCAATGACAGGTTGATGCTGCGGAACGAGAGAAGGGGGGGTTGAAGATGATGTAGTCCGGTGGCACGACTGGAGTCCAGTCGTCAATGTTAAGGTATCAAGGCAGGCCCAGGTCTATCGTAGCCGGAAGGTCCAGTCCATCCACGATTCACCAATTCCTCTTCCGGTGGATTTGGATGCGCCGGAAGGTGCTGCTGCCGCTCCTGCTCCTACTGTTCCGAGTGTCCAGGCTGCCGCCATGATGTACACAGTGTATGACATGCTCGGCACGGTGCGTCAATCCCTGCTCAATTCCAGCGGGCAATCTCCAAAGTCCAAACCATCATCTCGCTTCACAATCTCTCCCAGTCACATACTGTTACGACGGACCTCGTCGCCCCCGCGAACGCACCGCCAAAGTCACTTGTCAAGTTGTCATAAATGCCCCTGCATTGAACAGACTAGGGTTTCTCTCGGGAGGCTTTCGGCCCCCAGCTTAGCCCGCTCCAGCTGCTGGCCTGCAACCACTATGAGCAAAATCGGCGGAATCTAAGCCCGTCAGCCCCCATTAGCCACGTCCCTAGCAGATCTTCTCTATCTCATGATCATTCATTGGCAGGTATAATAATACTCCTCACTGCGTCGCTGTTGGTTCGGGCTCGCATGCTGCCGCGCCTATCTGTCTTCAACGACGGCAGTTCACAGGAACATCACGGCATATTGCCAACGACGGCGGTTGACAAGCCAATGGTGCTCCTCGGGCGCGCCTTGAGCGCTCGGCAGTATCATTCTACAGACACCAGCGTGACTGCCGCTTCAGTCTGACCTTGACCTCTGCGAGTCTACGGGCTTGGTTTACGAATCGAATGTCGGGATACTTCCGCTCGGGACGGTATCCCTTCGCTACACCCTTTCCCATGATACCATGAATTAAAGACAATGAGCCTGGTGCGGGTCTGCCATGCCGCGTTTCTTTGGCCTTTGGCATTCACATCGCTTAGAACTGGGGATCAGGGAGTGCTGGCGGGCGTCGTGCGCAGACGTTTACCTGTAATAGTCGACACCCACGCAAAACCCTTTGTACCGACGCTGAGGGCTCCGCATCGACCTGACACAGCCTTTTGGAGCGACCTTTCTTGAGGCCAGGCTCTCTTGTGACTGCATCGCAGCCTGGGGCATTGCCATGGAGAGCTCCTCTCACCCCCCCTCCCAGCTAGCCCTTTGATGAAGACACGCCCCCGGCCCCCGGCGGCCGCAACTCCTAAAATGTCTGGCTTTCCAGACTTGGAACTGTACTGTGGCTCGACAAGCTTTCGGGTCAGGGTACGTATCCATTTGTTCACGTCGAACGTGCTCAAAGACAATTGACGACGAGGGAACGGCTCGCCAACAAGTGTTGCTCTGAGATCTCGCCGCCGGCAATCTGAACGAGCAGTGCCAGGCCACTACAAACTGCTTGCTTTTGATCGCAGGTCTTGCGTCCCACTCAGCAGCGACCCCAAGGTCCCATTCAACCATCATCCCTGACCTACTGATGCATTCCATGCTTGGCGAGGCACGTCTTGGGCATGGACGTTTGATGCGGAGACCACTATCCTTAGTTCCCACCCGGCAATGTAGTGGTACCTCCTCACCCCCCCAGAGACCCTGGTCCCTCGTCCAGGTTCGCTTCGCGGGCAAGGAGCCGGCGATCTGCACCTACCTACCTCACGTCTATGTCGTTTTTCGATTTATACAAAGAGCCCTGGCCCACTCGTCGTCCCCAGAGGATATCTTCTCATCTTCACTATCTGGCTGTCCCCACGACGGCCTAGTACTTCACACCGGGTCGCGGCCAAGCGTGGGCTGATTTCTGCCATTCTACTTTCCTCTCTATCTGCCTTGGTGCATCATTCGATACATATACAAAGACGGGCTCGAGGTCCACGTTATCGTGTTACGAGCACAGCACAACACAACACAGCCAGCCGACACAGCAGCCAAGTCACAGAGGCTGCTCCAGCACACGTCAGATAACACTACAAGGCACCAAAGCACCAGCGTTCCTCCCGACTCGGAATCCAAGGAGACTATGGGAGAACTACAATACGCTCAGAGGACATACTCGCCACTATCGCATGGTTTGATGAGTAGTGCCTCTTTGAGCGAAGCCCCTCGCACGACTGGAGTTGGCCCGACCAACGCTGCTTTCCCTAGCGAGTACCACTCCAGCTATCCTCCTGTCAGTTCATCTCGAAATCATCTCTGGTTGCCAAACTAACACAGAGGCACAGGTTACATTCACCAAGCCACCTACGGCTGCTTCCAACCTACTGACGCCTACTTCATCGTCCATGGCCTCTCCTCCCATGCATCCAAATCAGTTACACCACGATCCGCACTACGGAAGTTCCTATCAACAGCCCGGCACCCCTCATACCCAAGGGGGCACGACACCACTCCCGCCCCAAGAATTGTACTATCACAATGCCATAGACTACAACAGCCAGACGAGCTCCCCAATGCCAAACCAAGGTGTTCTCCCACCCGAAGTCATGAGCCGTCCGTATGACATGGAGGAGCGCCGGGGCCCGCCAAGTCCTCCAGCGTTTCAGCATTTCGGCAGCTATGGCGTTTCCGGGGGCCACTCCGCTTCCGACACTCCATCATCTTACTACTACCATCACCCTGTAGTGAGGCACGAGCCAAATCTCTATCCCCTTGGTTATCCTGAGGGCTCACGCCCTCTGGTATCTCTGCCTCTGCTAGGCCAGCCGCAAGCGACCCAGTCTCGACAGCCTCGGCAACGTGGCGAAGACGTGATGGTGCTGCCAGACAACGGAGCAGCACCGAAAGCTCCATCCAGAGACACGCCCTCAAAACGAGGAGCGCAGCCCTCCAGGGTTCGGAAACGCCCTGCCCGCAAGGGCAGCAGCGGCTCACGTACTTTTGGGGTAGAAACAGCCTCCGCTGCAGACCACCTAGACTGTCATGGAGAGGAGCGCCAGCCGCTGTTGAACCCAGACACACCTGAGGAGGAGAGGCTGATCATGGACCTGCGTTGGCGTTATCGGAATTCCAAAGGACAGGACATGTGGGACTCTATCCAGAGAGAATACCACAGGGCGTTTCAAAAGGACTGCCCCAAGGAGCAACTCCAGATGAAGTACAAACGCGCTCGCGCACGGTATTTTCAGTGGCAAGAACGCGACGTAAGCTAGCCCACCTGCGGCGTAATGGGGGACATGTGCTAATAACTCTTTGCAGATCCATCTTCTTGTGGAAGCATACTTGGAGGTGGAGCGAAACCGCTACAGCATGATTCTGGAGAAATTCCTCGAACGAGGCGGATCTCGTAACATGCAGCTCAGTGCCAGCGACATTGAGGCCAAACTGGTCAACGGCCTCAAGCTCGAAGAAGGCCTCTACATTGACCATCCTGCCAAATCTTCCGTCAAGGCCCGCAGGCGACGCAAGCTCAGCGCGCGCGCACGCCAGGGCAAGCCTGGGGACAACTCGGCGGAGATGCTTCGAGAAGAAGTCTCTCTGCCGGGGTTGCGCCAAGCTACAGATCCAGAGGAGACATTTCGTCAGATCCAGGAGCGTGATGCCCAGGCAGCGACTGGATCTTGGCCCGGGGCCTCTGGCTTGAGCCCGGGGATGACGAGCTGCCATGTGCAGAATATAGGGCAGGCGGCAGTCTCTCTTCAGCATGGCGAACGTGCTGACTTCCCGGGCAAATCCAGTAAGAGAGGTCCTGCTCGACGATCGACATGAGCGGCGGGCGCAGAGGACATGTTCATGCCATCTTTCCCATTTTAAATACACTCTAACCATTCCTTTATTCATCATACATGCATAGACGACATATATGCCCAATGAAGAATTCACGAGATCGTTCCCTGGTATGCTTTACTGAATTGCCTGTGCACCTTGTTTTCGAGTAGCGTCGCGCATTGCGCCCTGCTCACCTCTGAGAGACAAGCTCTTGAAAGCACTGAGTGTCATTCATTAGACACCGTCATCTCAATGCTTGTTTCGGCATTGAAAGCCATTCCGTGGCTGCATGAGAGTTTCACGCAAGCCATCTGGTGATCCAAGGATTTGCTAGCCCCGGGCCACTTGAGATCATGATTCGACTCAGGCGAGGAAAGTCACGATGTCAGTCCTTGGCCGCCATGCTTTACGTCACGTCCCACCGAGCTAGATACTTATAAGCATGTCAGTGACGGTTGATGGATGGTTGATCTGAGGCGGCATGATGGCGCCCTGGGAGCTAACGTCAGGTGTTGATTAAGATCCACTCGCCCAAGCTGGAAATGCCCGAGGGAGGCGTGAGAGAAGCATTTGCGGCGCTTTTCCGTACTGCTCGTCAGCCGCTTCACACTGAGCGCCATACCTGTGACTGTGAGGACTCCATGATTGATCGGCCCAAGGCGTCAAGATTGCCTATTGACGTCTTTTACACGCCAATTGGAGCGGGCCAACAGGGGTGTCGGGGCGGGCTTCTTCCTCCCCTAGCGTGTGAGCCCTGGGGGGGTTCAGAGTTCTGACAGGCGCCGGGCAGCTTGGCCGAAGAGGCTAGTGATTAGTGAAAGACATCCCTGATCCTGACGGGCACTGTGGGATCTTGTTTTGCGGGACAGCAGTTTAGCTTAGCGAGCTCCGTAGCGTGCGCGGGCGAGCATACGCCGTGCCGTGAGTGCTGAGAGCACTGACGACTGGAGGTGGAAGGCAGGCAGGCGAGCGAGCGAGGCGACTTGCGGAAAAACACGGTGGTGACCCAGGAATCTGGTAAATGAAGCTGTAGGCTGATGCCACCTGCGTCAAGGGACGGCGTTAAGCGTCGGTCCGGTAGGCAAGAGAATCGGCCGATGGAAAATTTTCCTCGCCAGCCGTTTTGTTGTCCTTCTTCTGCTGTGGAAGAGAGAGAGAGCCTGGGGGCGAGCTTGGTAACGTGTACGTGTGCGAGAGTACTGTCCCATCTTGCGTGCGCTTATCTGGACAACTGCCGGCTCAGACCAACGCGCCAACAAGCGCGATACAACAAGGGTTTTTTTCTCTCGCTGCTGCGTCTGTCAAGCCTTACCGGCCAGCCTGCCGACGCGAGCGATCAAGCTCATCTTCAGGGCTCAAGAGGGGGGGAAGCCTGGGGGTGGCAGGCAGGGGGGTCACCCGTTCCGAAAGCCGCCCTCCTTAGCTCGAGTCCCTCGCTCCGTGTGATTGTCCCTGTCAGACGGTGTGATACCGTACAGTACCTAATTACCTGGGCACAGCAGGTTTGTTGGCATTACCCGGCGGAAAGGAGCAGAGGGTCAATTTTGTCCGCATCGCGACAACGTAACGTGACAAGGGGTACGTGATTCGAGTTTCTTCCTTACCACCCGTATTCACTCTGGCATTCATTTCGGTCACTGTCTCGGGCCCGTCCTCGGTGTGGCTAGATTGTTCGCCCAAGAACAATGTTCTGGAAGCTTTGACATGTGTACGGTACAGGCACGGTATCGGCCGAGTCCGTGCTGCGTTAGGGGGGGTGGGCATTGGGGCGCTTAGTGTGATGGGATGGTGTCGAACTCTGTTTGCCCACTTCTGGGGGAGGCGGCCGTCTTAAGGCCGTCTTGGAGACACGACGGGAAGACTCAAGTTAGAAGAGGGACGTGCGGAAGATAGCGTTGGGCGTCTGGGAGCGACAGAAGACCCTGGGGTTCTGAACATGCATTTCTGGCTCGAGGACGTGATAGCCAAGCCGAATTGGCCGCTGAACCATGTCGTGTGTGTCTGTCTCGACGAGGGTTGTCCATTGCTATAGGTGGTTTGTTAAGTGTACCATAGCAGATGGCCGGGGAAGTAACTGTCAAGGCTGCTACCGTAGTCTACGTACTTGTTATCTATGGTAGACTGCTATGGGTTGTCAATCTGCCACATATACGGATAACTGACTCCAGCTTCAAGTCAGCCTTTCGACTATACCACGTAATGAAAAAAAGCAGGCATCGAACACTTTATCCACGAACGGACCTACCACCAGTCATCGTCTTGAGACCACTACGTGCTACCCCTTCGAAACAATTCTCCAAGCAACTTATTGTGGTGTCAGTGGGGTCATGACGGGGCATTAGTCCACGACCAAGATATACCACGAGAAAACGTCATACAAATGACCGGGCATAGATGAGGCACTATCGACCGCAAGATACAGTACCGATGATTGCTTTTCGGCAAATGGAACCGGACAATATGTTGGAAACTGTACACCATAAGGTACTTTAGAGACGAGTTGATACAGGGTAGGCGCGGGCTGTTTCCGGAAGTAATCCACAAGCGCCACAGTCACGCGCCCACCTGTGGCTTTCCGTCTGGCTGGGCCTTGGACGTTGTCCCGAATTCAACAGCAAAGCAAGCATCGCCAGTTCAACTATCTCGTGAGCCGCAAGCTTGAGCTTGAATGGCACTTGACTAGTCGACGGTGGAACACTCAGCGTTCGCTGTTGGCGCCGGCAGACGACACCGGGCATATTTGGACACACCACAGATGACGCCCAGGCGGTCAAACTAGAGCCTTCGCTCACACAACAGGAGCCCGCGTCTGCATCGAGGGCTGGCTTAAGCATGTTCCGTCTCGCTCTGCTTGCCGTCTGTGCACTTTCGATATGGACCGCTTCAGCTATGCGCGCCGACCGCCTGGCGGAGCTCCGACAGGCCACGGTGGACGTATTCTACCATGGCTGGCGTAACTACATGGACAAGGCATTTCCGGAGGATGAGGTTGGTAGCCACAAATGCATAGTATGATCTGAGCTAATCTGAACTATCAGCTTCGTCCGCTATCGTGCACACCGCTCTCGCGAGACAATGATCCGAGCCAGTTCGGACTGAACGATCCCCTCGGAAATTACTCCCTCACCCTGCTTGACAGCCTCTCGACTCTCGCGATTTTGGCTGGCGATCCCCACCCCGAATCGAAAATTGGCCCCCAGGCGCTCGACGACTTTCAGCACGGCGTCAGCGAATTCGTCCGCTTGTACGGCGATGGGAGAAAAGGCCCGAGCGGCACCGGAAGCCGTGCCACGGGCTTCGACCTGGACAGCAAGGTGCAGGTGTTCGAAACGGTTATCAGAGGGCTCGGCGGCTTGCTTAGTGCACACTTGTTTGCTGTTGGCGAGCTGCCTATAGCCGGGTACGATGCGACCCCTATCAAGGAGACGACCAGCGACGACCCTCTCGAAGTTGCACCGATACAGTGGCCCAATGGATTCCGGTACGATGGACAGCTACTGCGGCTTGCGCTGGATCTAGGCGAACGGATCCTGCCCGCATTCTACACATCCACGGGCATTCCGTATCCTCGAGTGAACCTGCGTCATGGCATCCCATTCTACACCAAATCACCCCTGCACGGCGATGGGCCTGACGAAGATGCTTCAAAAGACCACGGTCGGCCTGAAATCACGGAGACTTGCAGCGCGGGGGCGGGCAGTCTTACGTTGGAATTCTCTGTGCTCAGTCGTTTGACGGGAGACGACCGTTTCGAGCAGGCCGCCAAACGAGCTTTCTTCGAGGTGTGGGATCGCAGAAGCTCTCTAGGTCTCATTGGAAATGGCTTAGATGCGGAGCGTGGAGTCTGGATCGGACCGCATTCGGGCATTGGTGCTGGCATGGACAGCTTTTTCGAGTACGCCGTGAAAAGCTACATCTTGTTGTCCGGGAATGACGCCCAGAACGTTTCGAAGCCCATCGCCAAGGGGCAGTCAGATCGCCTGGACCCAAACTCACTCCATCCCCCGCTACACCCCGACCGCACCTCGCCAGAGGCCTTCTTGGAGACGTGGCACCAGGCTCACTCATCTGTCAAGAAACACATCTACAACGACCGGCTGGCATACCCATACTACGCAAACAACAAGTTTGGCACCGGTGAGCAGTACACCACATGGATCGACAGCTTGGGTGCCTTTTATGCTGGTCTCCTGGTGCTAGCCGGCGAGACAGATGAGGCTGTCGAGGCGAATTTGCTATACACCGCACTTTGGACGCGATATTCCGGCATCCCCGAGCGGTGGTCGTTCAGGGATCTGGACGTGGAGGGTGGCCTTGGCTGGTGGCCCGGACGACCCGAGTTTATCGAGTCAACGTACTACATCTTCCGTGCGACCAAGGACCCATGGTATCTCTATGTTGGCGAGATGGTGCTCAGGGATATTAAGGCTCGCTGCTACGCGCCGTGCGGGTGGGCCGGTCTGCAGGATGTTCGCACAGGCCAGAAGGCAGATCGTATGGAGAGTTTCTTCCTTGGGGAGACCACTAAGTACCTGTACCTGTTGTTCGAGCCTGAGCATGCGCTGAACAAGCTGGACGCGCCATACGTCTTCTCGACCGAGGGACATCCGCTCATTATTCCAAAGGAGCGTCATCCCCGACCTCGGAAAGCGGCGAATAGCAACGACGGGAAGAAGGCACTGGCTTACTATGACGAGTCCTACACCAACTCGTGCCCCGTGCCTGTCGTCCCCGAGTCATTGACAGGGTCAGCTACCGCGGCTAGGCGCGAGCTCTTTCATGTGTCGCGCTTCACTGGCCTCTACAACACACCGAATCCGCGAGGACCACATGAGACTGTGCGTGTGTACGACAGGAAGAAGGGGCAGGTCATCAAATACCGACCGACCTCAAACCACACTCTCTTCCCTTGGACACTACCGCCGCAACTACTTCCGCCGGATGGGCAGTGCGCAGTGCCTGTGCCCCCGAAGACTCAGATCATTGAGTTCCCGGCCACCGACACCATTGGCTCCATCCTCGGCAAGTACGGCACCAACATTGAGAAACTCGAATGGGGCCCCCTCGTGAAGAACGTCGCCGGGTTGCAAATGGTCGTGGACCACACGCCCAAATCGGATGATGAGGAAACCTCATGCAGAATCACGCGCATCGGTCCCACCGAAGTCGGCCCCAACGAGCTCGTCTTCTTTCACGCGGAAGACATCAAGGGCTTTCGAGATGAAGCTTTCAGTGCTACCCGGCGCCAGGATAAGGTGCGGATCGGCGTGATTGACTCTCCCAAGTCGGAGAATGGCACCAAGATTGACGATGACTACCTCGTCGAGGATCGACACACACATCCAGAGACGGTTCTCAAGTCGCTCTTTCGCACCCTGACGTCCGTCTTCGACTCATCCCCCACTGGCGTCCCTGCGTCGCGGAACTTCCACGTGCGCGTCTGGGATGCATACACTGGCGTCGGGGCCGGCGCCTTTCCCATGCCTGAGGTGAACGGTTTCCAAAACCCACTCATCTCCAAACTGCTCGATATGCCAGACCTCCCATGGAAAACCATCTTCGTGACGGGTCAGGCGTGTAACGAGCCACTGCCCGAGGCCGCGCCACGCCATCATCAGGTCATCGTCATGCGCCGTGGCGGCTGCAACTTTGCTCGCAAGCTTGGCAATATCCCCTCGTTCCCGCAAACCCCAGACTCTCTACAACTCGTCTTGATTGTGGATGAAAGTGGCTCAAAGGAGCCCGTCCGGCCTCTGATCGAGACTGAGCAGGTGACACCGAGTGGGATGAAACGGTTGCACGGGATACCTATGGTGTTGATGACAGTCTATCCGGGCGAGCTGGAGCTGTTCAAGGAAGCAAAGGCGGTGGGGATGTCGAGGATATACGATCTAACGAGCCATGGATCACGGATAACGAACGCGATTGTGCTGTGAGCACTGGGTACATACTACTGCCGTACGAAATGATTTCGGGCAAGCGTTGCATATCAGGTTTTTAGAAGTACATGCGGATCTGCGAATACAAAAAACGTCAAAAATGTTCAAATAGTGGTCTATCTTGTGAATGGTATTATATAAAGAAATTGAGGAGGGAAAATCCAGATAACCTCCAGTGCCGTCCAACCGCTTCCTTCCATCTATAGTCATGCGAGCGATGCCTCCTCGGAATCCATGTTTTATGTTGAAAAATCACCCCAAACGCCAGATTGTGCCCCCTCCATATCGGTTCATATGGCGTCGAAGATGAATTCGTCCGTCCTGTGCGGTGCAGGTCATGAACCGCGCGTACCGCCCCGGACGACTTGGTTGCGTTACCTGAGACGCCTGGTGTGCGCAATATTGGAGAATCTTCAGTTGTCGTCCATCAGAATCGAAACGGGGGCGCCCTCGAGCTTGTCGCGTCCATTGAGACCAGGGATCTCGAGGATGAAGAGGAAGCCAGTGACATCGCCCTTGAGCTGCTTGACAAGTTCGGCAGCAGCCTTTGCGGAACCGCCTGATTCATCATGATTAGTCTCTTGAATAGTGTCAACGCCGCATTCCGGGAGCTTACCAGTAGCAATAATGTCGTCGACAATCAGGACCTTCTGACCAGGCTTGACAGCGTCTTCCTGCATTTGGAAGAAATCCGCGCCATACTCCTTAAGGTACTCGGCCGTAACACACGGACCGGGGAGCTTGCCCTTTTTGCGCACGGCGGCAAAGCCGACGCCCAGCCTCAAGGCCAGGCCGGGGCCGAAGAGGAAACCGCGGGCGTCGAGTCCGACAATGACATCTGGGCGGCCGCCGGGGAAGGCCTGCTGGATCTGAAGCTCGAGAGCGTCGACAAGGGTGTTGTGGGCGGCGGGGTTGGCGAAGAGGGGCATGATATCGACAAACTCAATGCCCGGGATGGGGAAGTCGCTGAACGACCGGAGAACCTTGCGAAGCTCTACCTTTGCACCGGTGAGTTGGGCGGCGGCGGAGGAGGCGGAGGAGGGCTGTCGTCCCGAGGCATCTTGTTGCTGGTGCTGCTGCTGCGCTGTGGTGGAGGAAGAAGCAGGAGCCTGGGCGTCCTGCGTTGACATTGTGAGGGAAAGAGAGAGGGAGGGAAGGAAGGGGGGAAGGAGAGGAGCGAGGAGGAAGCAGAAGTAAGAGGGAAAAAGGAAGGAGGGAGGAGGAGAGGAGGAGAGGAGGAGGAGGAGGTCAGGTACTGCTGTACGCTGCAAAAAATTGAGTGGGCGAAGAGTCACGGAAGGTACAGCGCAATCCGAGCTGGCGCAACGTCCGTTTGCTGGCTACTGCTGGCGTGCGTGCGGAACGACAGGGTACAAGCAGGGACCAAAAACGTCGGGACCTTGTATCGGATGGCGCGCGATGGGGATTGGTCAGGCACTGAGAGTGACTTGGGTTGCACCGAAGTGATACTAGCAAAGGGCGGCGATCTCGAAATGATTGTTGTAAGACGGGAAGTTTTGGAACTGGTATCAAGAGGGAGGAATTTTCTCAGCGTTCCCGTCTCTGTCCTACAATAAGATGATTGATAGGGCATCTGAGTTTTAATGGCGCGGACACTCCCGTGCGCGATAACAAAACTACGGTACCTACCTCCAGTCGCTGCCTGGCTATCTCCCCACGAAGTTCGGGAAGGGACCACCGCTTTTCACCACAATACCTTACACGACAAGCTCCACGATCCTTCCGTCGCTACGGTGGTGAAACCTGCCTTGGTCAAACCGCCAAAGTCTGGCACTCTTGATGTGATTACCAGCTATCCTGACACAACACCTCTGTGTGACCAGTGCATGCTATTAGTGGTGAGCAAACCACCACCACCACCACCACCCGAAAGTCACTCCACGCGGGCCACCTCGTTCCAGCGGTGAGCGTGCTCGACCACGAATGACTCTTGTCATGCATTCTGTTGCGTCGCAGCCGACCCATGAAGAGGCTTGAAGGGCAAACTTTGCCGCGGAGCATCGCGCCATCGACATAAACAAGGCAAACCGTGGCCATGGGCAAATGGTAAGCCTTGGAAGGCGCAGGTGGGATGTCTCCTTACGTGGGCGAGTCCAGCCACGCAGCGATACGAACCCCACCATGACAGCGGCGGACATGATGGCCGCCGCCGTGGCCGCGAGATAGCAACCATTCGGGGCGCACGTTGGCGTTGCGCGTCGCTAACGGCCATCGAGATTTCTACAACTACCGTGCCGCTAGGAAAAGCAAGCAGCCTCATGCCATGATGCACCATTCTCGCCCGTCTCGTGCGATGCTGTGCTGGCTTACACCAAGGAGCGTTAATTGATGATTGAATTCATTACGCGCTAACCAGGGTCCGACTCTGCCCCGCCATTTCGCCTTCGCTGTTGCAGGCGCACAGCGCACATGCAGATGCAGCGCTCACAAGTCCACATGTTCCGCGTCTGACAGGCCATGCAACGACAGGACGCGGCAATCAGGGTTGGTGAGATGAAATGGGGAAGTCCGGATACACCGATGGTTTCATTGCGACTTCTGCGACCTTTGCGACCGGCATGAGAGGAGGCCAGTCCGCCCAAGTCATGATGGTCCCGCGGTCCGTGGATGCGAGGATTGACAGGGGCATCTGGCCAAGACTTTCGGCCTTTAGGACCAACAATGCTTCTATTGACCTTCCTTTCGGCTTCTGCTCGACTTCCCTACTTGGCATAAGCTCGACCAGGCATCACGTCTCAATGCTCACCACCAATGCTCGCCACTACAGTTTCGCAAAGGGGGCTCATATTGATGCCCGAAATTCCCACAGAAACAACAGTCGCACGCGTTGTTCCGTGCGTCCGTCGGGCATCCCACTCCTCTAACACATCTTCACACCCTCTTGCATGCTCAGCTCCATCGCCAGCGGAGCGCAACCTGCTGATAAGGCTGGAAAGCTACCCCTCCAAAATTTTCTCTCTCTGTAAGTGACCCCGCCATCCATTATTGCAAACCATGATTGTTGATGCCCTGAGCAGCACGGAGCAACGATCGGTCTCATCTCGCTCCAACTGACCCAGAAGGCCCCAGTATCCTCGATAACCTGCCTTAGTTCCCGTTTCAGGCCGCTTGCGGCGGTTAGCTATCGGCATCGCTGACTGGAAGCAAGACGGCCTCCTTGGAGCTATGGCTATGCCCCTCTATGATCCACAGGGTCCCAGTGAACTCGAGAATGCTCCGTACTTCTCGCTCGATCGGCTGCTGCATGCCAATTTTCCAGCTAGACTAGGCTAGTAGTTGCCGTTGGCAAAGAGCGGCAGAGCGTCCAACAGGAGACGGTCAAGATCGAACCGGCCCGGCCCCTGTGATGGCGCGGCAAGTTGCGTAGCACATTCTGGCGGACGTCCGACGAACACACCGGTATTTTCGGGTCTGCGTACACTGCCGCCGCCAGTCTCCAGTCGGTGACTCGGTGACACGCACGCTGCGCCCCCGAGCCTGGCGCCATCTTACATAACTGGACAACCGCTTACGGATACCGAAGCAGTGATCACTGCCTGTCGATGCCGTAAAAGCTTCAGGTACAACTTATCTCATGGCGAGGCAAAAGGAACACCTGTTACACCGCCATTCGCCCACATCCCACGATGGCTTGCATCATTACCGAGCTAGTACCCCAACATTCACCGACTCCCGCCCAGATCCATACTACGTAGGTAGTCAAGTACGTACGTCTCTCCCATAGATATGCAGCCTTCTGAGGACAGGGATGACTTCCAAGTCCGATCCGCAGGCGGACTGGTCATTTCTTCCCGCTATGGTGGCATACATACATACATACATACACGATCCCGCACAGGCGGCCAGCGACGTCGTGGCTAAAGACGTTGCGCAGCCACCAAAAGGCCAAAGCAGTGTGAGAGGGTGTCATGCGGAGTCTTTCCGACGTGCCGTGGTTGCCTTGGTCTTGTGCAAAACTCTCATGCTGAGCACTGAAAAGCGATGTGGTGACTAGATAGCCCTGGCATGTCAAACTGCTTGTCTGGGTCACACGAGCTCACTAGTCTATCTTCTTGTTCAGGGGGTTAGAGCTCTCTCTATGCAGCAAGAGTCACACCAGACACTAGCTGGCAAGTCGCATTGAATCTAGATTCATAAAGCCAAACATCATCAAACTTGCTAAGGGTATCAACATGCAAAGAGTAACGCTCATGCCACTACTATAACCACCTCTCGCCACCAAACGAACAATGCAGACCAAAGCTACCTCTCAGGTTTTGAACCGCAAGCGGACAATCGAGAACAACATGTTCTGCAGCACATGCAGTGTCGCCGCAACAGAAGTCGGCAGCAATTCCGGCCACACGGCTAGATCCATCCGGCCCTCTAATCCAACGTCGACCTTGAAGAAGAAACTGATCAGTCCTCGCACCACCAGGCTCGCGACAAGCTCGCATGCCCACGTCACGCCAGACGCCCAGAAAGTCATGTCAAAGTCATAATCATCTCCGCTGTCGCTACTCTTGTCAAAGGCAAAGTAGGGATAGACATCCTTGTTGGGCCCAAAATGCAGAACGAGGATGCTGCCGAGAAAGGTAGCCATGGACGCATTCTCCGCAAGGAAGCGGATAAAGACGTTGCGTGTCTGTAGCTTCTGGTACGTTCCGAATGATAGCGTGGTCAGGCCGAGAATCGTCAAGATGCGGTGAAACAGCGATGTCATCATAATGGGCGTGAGGACAACGAGGCGCGCTGACGAGAGGATCTGAAGGATGACGAACTGCTTTGGGGAACGCAATCGGGCGTACAGAGCACGCACATAGGTCTGGTACGTGAGCATGAAATAGCTATATGCGTCAGTGGAGTCGCATCCAGCGTTGAAAAGGGGGCATCGTACAGCTTGAAAACCCAACTCAGGGGGTAGCTCCCTACACGCTCGCCCTCGCGGATACCAAGGACCCAGCCCGTCAGCGCATCCAGCAGATGCACCGTGACCACCCATCCATAGACATACACCACCGTCTCCCAACTGTCGTGGGGTAGCGTTCGCAGGTAGAGCTCAGCATACGCCTCGCCAAGCACGTACGCCATCAGCCCTATGAAGAGCGCCACGCAGAACCAGAGGAAGCGGACGAAACTGGCAGGGAACCACCGCGTCCGTGCGGACCTGCCTCGAGGGCGTGCGAGACCCCCACTTGGTGCGATCGTCGGGTCGAACAGGTCGTCAGTGACGGGCGCACGCCTTCTGTCCCTTCTAGCGAACGTCTCCGTGTCACTGGTCCACCACGACGATGTGAAGATCCTCTGCGTTTCCGATAACGAGTTGCGCAAACCCAGATGGCGTTCGTTATTCCTCAGGATCAGAAAGGCAATAGCCACCGGTAAGGCCATGATGAGGAAAGTCCAAGAGATCCATGACGTGTTATGTATCGTCAGGAAGCGCGTCTTGTCGATGTAATAAATCGGAATGGGTCCCGCAACCGACAGCATGGCAATGATCGAGACCGTGAGGGGGAACCCAAGGGACGAAGGCCACCAGTTGAGGCTGTACAGGTTGAAGATCTTGGTAATCCAGAAGAGCGCCGTGACATTGTAGAGTCCGTAGTAGACGAAGACGAAGAACCAGAAATTCACCAGCACCCTGGCCTTTCCATGACCGGGCGTCTTGTCCTCGGGCGCATGCAAGTGATCGTCGTCATCCCCCTCCTCGGGAATGGAGTATTGCGGAAACGGTAGCGAGCACCAGGCGACCGTCAACGCCGCCGGAAGAAACACCAGGAAGCCGTACCGCATGTACCACTTGCCCACGACGCGCCTCACAGCTGCCTGCCTGGGATTCACCCACAGATCCATGATCCATCGCTGCCACCATCTCTGCCACGCATTCAGCCCATCTTCGATATCTCCATTCTCCTCATCCTCATCGTCGTCGTCGTCGCTGTCGGACACGAGGAGCGCGCCATATCCGACGTGTACACTACCCCTGCCACTGTTCGCCAGCAGGCCGAGTTGACTCGTCTTCCGTCGCGGTCCACGCTGTTGAGGGAGCACGGCGCGATAGCGGCCTAGTAGAGGCGAGGAATCGCTATTGTTGACGCGAACGCGGGACTCGGTGCCTTGTGTGAACTGGAAGAAGCTCGGCATGGCTCGGGTACTACTGCGTGAAACATCCGCGGGCTACATTGGGCGTGGCATCTGCCGGATGTGCCTACGTAGTGTCAATCGCGGCTTGGAAACTTGCAACCAAGTCCCATGGGGGAAAAAAGAGAGGAGGAAAAGGGAGAGTGAGGAAGAACGGGAAGATGCGGGATGACGAGGGCGTGGCAGGTCCCTGCAGGCGCCAATGGCGGTGTAGCTCGATTGGGTTATCCGTCAGTCAGGCATTGATCACCCGAATCATTAGATTCCGCTGTCCAACAAATTGCGCATACGGCGTCAATGGCCCTTGGAATCTGAAGGTAATTTTTTCCTCTTCCCCAGCCTTGAAAGTCATGAAAGCGCACAAGGGGTCGGGAGAGGGATAGTTGTTTACATTTTGGCGAGTAAACAAACCACACCCAAGTGCCAGGCAATTTGGTATCTGTCCCAAGTACATCAGCAAGTGGATTCCGATTAAGCTGTCTAGAAGCTAAAGTAATAGCCTCGCTGGATATGTATGCTCGTCGCATGGCAATAAGGTATAATGGCCAGTGAATAGGGCCGCCCGAACGCGTCATTTGTTACCCCTTCGCTCCGTTTCCTCCCCAACCATATGCCTCTGCATCATCTAAACACAGTCCTCGGTGCCAGCATTGGCCCGTATACATCATGCTTGCTTCCCGCATGTACTGATGCATCATTGAGCGAAGCACTGGCGCTCAGCACGGCACCGGCATCATAATTGTGAGGTCTCCAGGGGCCGCTTTGTACAGAACGCAAGTCGCCCTTCGGCAACCAGCCGTAGGGGTACAGATACGATGGGTTCCCAGGCCTTGCCGGTGTGCTAGTCAGTACGCAAGGGGACGTTGCCGAAGTGACCATTGGCACCGAGTGCAGCATCTGACACTGATCATGTTTCTGCATTGGCGGAAATGGAGGCGCCTCTGATCTGGTATCATCAGTCCCGTGTCGCGTCTGACGCCGGTCGCGTTGGGACTTTACAGTTTGGCCCGCCTGTTCGACTTGAAACAATGATGCCTCGCCTGCCTGGGATTCCTAATTCCGCATCACATTCGCGTACACTGTGAAAATCTCCAATTCGGTGTCCGGACCCCCGGGAATGCGCTCATGCTTTGGAATCGCGGCGATGAGATGCACCTCGATCACATTCAGGCCTTGATGTAGCATGGCCTCAAAAACGCGATCACCATAAGCTTGCTGCGGATCGTAAGGTGTCGAGCACTTGAGGTTATGACGATCAAACATGGCCCAAAGGCTATAATGGCGTTCTTGGAGGAGCGCTGGAAGCGTAATTGTCATGGTCATGCGGTTGCTGTCAGCTGGTAGGTTGACTGTAGCAGACTGCTGCATCTCCTTGCGGTCTGGCATGACTGTGGTCGCTGTTGGTTCGCCGCCACTGCTTCGGTGAAAAAGCAGACGCATCTGAGAGATCAGCGCATCGGCTTGACCTGTTCCAAGTTAGCGGTGGTCTGCAACGAAGCCTATGTGAAGCCATACCCTTTCCTGGAAGTCTCAACCGCTTCTGCTCCATGGGTGGAGCTGGCAAGGGTTGGAACTGAGGCTGGGCAGGCACTTGTGGGTGCGGCCCTGGCCTGGGTGGCCCTGGTGTCGCGTACGCTGGCGTCGCACTGGGAGGGCGGACGGACGGTGACATGCGCGGTTCTTCGCCTTTGAAAGTCGGGGGCACGGATGGACTGGGCGAAGGAGCCGCCGCCACTGAGACACTTCGAGCCTTCTCAGGTGCTGCCACTGATGGTTGTGCTTGTCCTGTGCCGTTGACTTCCGGCACAGGAGCTGGAGAAGCGGTCGCGTTAGGCACAGGTGAGTCGGTCGAGACGCCTCGGCTGTTGCCTACGTTCAGCGTAATCTTCCTGTTGGATGGCGGCTCCGGCTGCTGATTCCCAACCTTGAGCTTGATCTTGGGCTGCGCGGGTTCCGGGGCATTGGCCTTGGCCTCTTTGATTTCTTTTTTCAGAAACGTTTCGAGCTCTTGCGCGAGCACAAAGATATCGCTGCCGTCCTCGTTGTAGTAGTATGCATTTGTCCACAGCAGCTTGGCTTTTTCCTCAAACTGCGCCCAGCTCTTGAGTTCGGTCACGCCTGTCACGTCATTTCGGCCTTGAACACCCCTGACGAGCTTTTGGAGCTTTTTGAGGCACATGGGCTCCTTGATCATCGAGTAATAATCCTTGAGGGACCGCGGGGGCAAGTTGATGAACGGCTCAAAATAGGGGCCGTCGTAACTGCTTCTGTTAGCTTGTCGACCACGCTCAAGTCCTTCAGGGCATCCTACTCTTCGGTGCTGTGGCGCAGACCCTCCTCGACGATCTTCTCTTGTGCTTGTTGGAAGTTCAGTCCCTTGTATGGCACGTCTTCGTACTGGTGATCGGGTTTCGCAGGTGGTAATTTTCGAGGTGTTTCTTGTTGCGGTGTTGAGATGGAGCTTCTACTCGAACGGGCGGTCACGCGCCGTTTGAGGATTATAGACCTTCGCTTCGAACCTGTGCCGTTCTCCTCGCCATCGTCCGCGTCGTCTTCGACATCATCCGCAGCTCCTTCCGTGTCCGCTACTGCCGGCTCGTTTTTGAGAGGAGTTGTCGACACTGCGCCATCTGCAGGCAGAGGCGTTGCCACCGCCTGATAGTTCCTATTCTGATACGCGGGATTGTTCCTTGTCATGTAGTTGCTGACCGCCTTGCGAACACGCTCTGCGTCGTCAAATTCCGAAGAGGACTTGTGAAACCACTCCTTGGCATTGGTGATCATGCGCTTGAGGTAGCTCTCGAGCTCGGACAGATTCTGAAAGTCGCCATCTTGCAGTTTCTCTTCAATTGTCTCGAAGGAAATGGGCATGCGCGTGCGCGCGTAGTATTCCTCGTTGCCTTGGCGAGGTGGCAGAGTTTCGAAGTAGCCTGCTACACGTCGCCCGCTGCAGTTGTTAGCCAAAAAGCCAGATGAGTCTGCTGCAATGGAGCTTACCTCTTGTCTGATGTGCGACGGATTTGGTCGAGGAGGCTCAGGCCATAGGCCGTTGTAGACTCTCGGGTCTCGCCCTTTGAGAGGTCGTATGATTCCTATTGCAATTAGCCTGGGGTGAATGTGGAAGCGATTGCGATTGAGACTGGAAAATTCCGGCGATCACTTCACTTATGTGGAAAGGTCATGTTCCATAGGCGGGGCTTGGTGTGACCTACAGCTACTTTGCGACGCTTCGCAGCGCGATCATCGTAGTCTGGGCTGGCAGCCCCGTTTGCTTTGCGCTTCGAGTCCATACTACAGGTATGTACGTAGGTCGGCAGATCGCGCCCGACACTAGCTTGCGTTTTGAGATTGACACTCTTCTCCCGAAATAATACGATGCTGGAACGCAAAAACGGTCAATGGACCGGAGGTCTTTCGATGGGAGCTGGAGGACGCGTGATGGCGCAAATTGTCAACGCGTTGGGTGGTTGGCAGCTCAGTACGGCCGGTCGCAGTGCAATCGCAATAATCGAGTAAGATTGAAAAACGGCTCGAGGTAATCGATTAGATAGACAGGCGCCTTCAATACGACTATTCTTGTTGCAGTGGTAGGGCGCGACGTTGGAAGTTGTCGCGGATGGTCGTCGCGTACCTGAGTCTTGAGGCAGGGCAATCGCAATTGACGGACGTGGGAAGGTTTTCTGGATCAGAGTGCTCAGGCAGGAGGAGCGAATGACGCTAGTCCTCATTGGGTGATCACACATGTAGCACATGCTCCCTGCAAGCTTTCGGCTATCTGTGTGAGCGGATCTTTGGAAAAAGCACATTTAAATTGCCATCCAGAAGAGAAGAATACAAATACTAGCTTGTCTGAACATGATTTTCATCTGTCCTTCACTCGGCCTGGCTTGGAAAACTCCAAAGCTCAGCACGTGGACGTACACGCTTGAGTGAAATCCCTGCCCCGAACGGAATCGTGGGGAAGGTGCAGTAATCCTGCCCCTCTCGGGGTTGCGTTGGAGCTCAGTAGTAATTATTCATAGAACGTACATAGCTCCAGTCCCCAAATGATGCCTTCGGCTCACATTGCAGCATCCTTTGAACTACCCTGACTGCCTGCAACATCATGGCCGACAACGAGAAGGCTGGCGCAGGCGCCGGCAAGTCTGATGTTCCCATCCGCCAGAGCGCACCGGCTCGTCGCGCTCCTCTGCCCCTCGACGTCCCCATCATCAAGCACCTGAACAGCAAACGAACGATTCTCGCGTCCGCCTCGCCTCGTCGCAAAGCTCTGCTCGCGCAAATGGGCCTGACCAACCTCGAGATTATCCCCTCAACCAAGCCAGAGGACCTCGACAAGTCCGCCTACGGTCCGCATGAATACGTCGCGGCCACAGGCCGTCAGAAGGCGCTGGACGTCTACGAGACGGTGCTACAGACGCATCTAGAGAGCATACCAGATCCAGACATTGTAATTGCAGCAGACACAATCATCGTCACACGAGATGGGCGCGTATTAGAGAAGCCAAAGAACGAAGCCGACCACATCCGAATGATCAAGCTCATGAGGGATACCAGGATACACAAGGTCCTTACATCGGTGACAGTGATTGCACCTCGCGAGGACGCGGCCTACCCGGGCTACGCGATTGCTACGCACACGGAAGAGACAAAGGTCTTCTTCTGCCAAGAAGACGACGGGCTGCCAGATGATGTCATTGAAGCCTACGTCAAAACGCGTGAGGGCGCTGACAAGGCCGGTGGGTACGCGATCCAGGGAATCGGAGGCATGCTGCTCGTTGAGAGAATTGAAGGCAGCGTGGACAACGTGGTCGGCCTTCCCGTGAGGAAATGCCTTGCGTTGGCAGAGAAGGTGATCTTCCAGCAAGATGTAGAGGAAGTGGCAGAAGAAGACGAACCAGCGGACTATTGATCTAGACGGATCGAATGAGCTGAGAGTAAATGGGATAGAATACTAGTGAGAAGGCAATGTTGCACGGAGATATTCACAGGCGTTTTGGTCCTGTCACATGTCAGTCCCGGCCACCGAACGCCAGGCGCCCTACGTACGTGTATTAGCTACAATAAAACCCGTAAATACATAGCTTGATCAATTTCAAATATCATGTTAGCTGCTGTTGCTGTATGCTGAGTTCTGTGTGATCCGAGGCTCTGTTCGATCTCGCCCCGTTGGAGGGAGTGGCCGAGGAACGCTTCAACATCCTGCCTTGGCTTCAGTGGTAACCTGTCCACCTCTCTCAACGGCACGCGCACCACGTCCAACTTGTTGTAACCCCACCATCGCTGGCTTAGATGTAACCGCCAACCATCTGAGCAACGCGCTATAGCATTGCACAATCTATTCCAAGCAGTCCGCGGCCGCTCCCCCTCACATTCGGCAGCTTGTCTGGGAGAGACTGGGACGTTGCGCATCATGGCCTCACCAGCAAGATCCGCGCCCGCCGACCAACAGGTCGGCAATTCATCCAAATCGCCTGACGGGCAAGATGTCAACGATCCGAACAGCACTGAGGAAAAGGCCCGTCTGACCGTCGAAGAGAAGAAACAGAATCACATCAATTCTGGTGCGTGCCCACCTTCTGGTGCCTGTGAATGAAGGCCGGGACACATCGAATGTTGACACGTGAACGCAGAGCACAAGCGCCGCCAGAACATCCGCGATGGCTTTGATCGCCTATGCGAGATCGTCCCAGGACTCGAAGGCCAGGGTCGCTCAGAGGGTCTTGTTCTGAAACAGACAATTGCCTACATGCGAGAACAGATCCGCGAGCGAAGGGCGATGATTGAACAGCTTGAGGCCGCTGGCGAAACAGTCGACCCCAAGCTTATAGAGTGAGTTTACTCAATGACCGAGTACCGACCGGTTTTCATGCTGACACACTAGACCATTGGCTGCGTTTGAGAAGTACGAGGCCGAGCACAAAGACAGTGATACGCCCGAGTTGGACTTTGAGCTTAAAGCGCCAAAGAAGGGCAAGGGGAAGAAGAAATCGAACGTCAAGGACCAACAGACCCGCGAAGATACTGGTAACGATGATGAGTCGGGTCAGGACGAAGTGAAGCAGGAACAGCCTCATCACGATGTGTCAATGGGTTGAACAGTGGAGGCATTTGCGCTCACTCATCCTTTGACAAGAACGCTTGAAACCGGTCAGCAGTACTTCCGCCGGCTCTCATGAGACAAGTGGCGCGAAGTAGTTTTCGACAAGCGAGGCGTTGGGGCATTATACAGATTTTATTACATTTCTTATAGAAACTCTATTGGAATGTCTCTACCATGTTGATCATGCGATCTCGCAGTGCCTCGGCGCTGAGGCGCTCCTTGCCTAGGCTGACGATCTTATCTTGGACGTCTTTCTCGCCCACAACAAGCACAAGACCATAGCCTGCCGATTTAGCTTCGCGAATCTTTGTCCCGAGTGGGCGCGCCGTATCATCTACGTCGACAGCCAGTCCTGTGGGCCGCAGTGGGTGTTGTTCAGATGGTAGCTTGCCCGCCTCGAGGGCCTGGTAGGTCGCCCCGTCATTACCAACGAGGACATCCTTGGCCTGGCGCGCCCATTCCAGGACCGCCGGCGAGGTGGTGACCGTCAGAATGATGGCCTGCTTCGGGTTGAGCCAGAACGGCCACTTGCCATTGTAGCTCTCAATCAAGATTGCCATCAGTCGCTCCACAGAGCCCAGCACGGCGCGGTGCACCATGACGGGTCGCACAGGGCCATACACTGCCAACTTCTCCACGTGGTCTGTGACTTCGCCGCGGGCCTCGTGCTCTGGTGCAGGCGCTTGGTATTCCAACTCGAAGCGCTTGGGCAGCTGGAAGTCCAGTTGCACCGTCGCCGTCTGGTGCTCCTTGCCATCAGAGTCTTTGAGCACAATGTCAATCTTGGGGCCGTAAAAGGCACCGTCGCCCTCGTTGACCGACCACGGCATGCCTGACTTGTTCAGTGCACGGCGCAGCGCATCCTCGGCGCGATCCCACTCCTCCACGGCACCGATAAAGTGGTCCTTGGGTCTCGTCGAGAGCGCAAGTCTGTACTCCACACCCAGCCGGAGCGCTGTGTACACGACCTTGACAAAGTCCAGCGTTTTCCGTATCTCCTCTTCCACTTGTATCGGCCGGCAGAAGATGTGCCCATCGTCCTGGTGAAACCTCCTCACTCTCGTCAGACCACTTAATGACCCGGAGTTCTCGTTCCTATGCAAAGGGCTGAAATCAGCGTAGCGAACTGGCAGGTCGCGGTATGAGTGATGCTGGCTAGCAAAGATGATGCAGTGGCCAGGGCAGTTCATCGGCTTCAGCCCGTATTCACCGTCGTCTTCGCCCTCTTGCCCATGTGAGCAGGTTTCGTGCTTTTTCGTGTATCCAGTCACAGAGTACATGTCATCCCCATAGTTCTCCAGATGGCCACTTTTGGCCCAGAGCGCCTTTTTGTAGATGGTGGGTGTGATCACCTCTTGGAACCCATATCGCACATACTGCTTGCGGAGAAAATCGACAAGACGGTTGAATATTCGGGCCCCGCCGGGCAGAAATATCGGCGAGCCAGGGCTGTATGGTGATGTGGTGAAGAGGCCCTGCTGGACGCCGAGCTTGCGATGGTCGGGAGGTCCAGTCGCTGGCGTGGATGGTTTTTGGGTCGACGCGAACCGGCGCTGTTGGCGAACGCAGAGCAAGCACCTGCCTCGCCTTGGTGCGAACGTACCAGGCGACACGCGGGCTATTCGGGGGCGCATCATTGCGACAATGGCTGTGGATATGGAATGGACGTCGTCAAGTCGCGATATGGAATTTCTGACGCGCGACGCAGGCGATTGGAGCTACTACCGTAATAGGAATAGCGCTTCCGCACAGCTATAGGTAGTATCCGACTCAAACTCACTCGCACTTTGACATTCTGCGAGAGGGAGGCGATGTGGTCGTCAATATCATTGTATTATCGTCATCATCTATGTGCAGACCTCGAGCATCTGCACTGGTCCGCATGCCAATCACTGCATAGAGTTGGCAACCTCTCTGAACCTCATCATGACATCTCCATCCACGTTGACCGCCCACTGCTCCTCAAAGGCAGCCTCGCCTCCCACGCGCGCCACAAGGTCCTGCAATCTCTCCCTGACAAATGCGTAGGCATGGATTGTATGTATAGGATCGCGCATCATCATCCCTCGCTCTGCTATCAACTTTGGGGTATCATATTCCGTAGGCTCTGGTGTCTCGAGGATGAGACAGTCCGTCGCATTCTGCCGGCCGTCTTGCAGCTCGGCGATCACGTTCGTCCACAGTAGAAAGTAGTCTTGAAGCTTGCCGAGAGTCAACTCCTGGACCGGGGACGGAAGTTCGAGGAGGCGCGTGAGGGCGAGGAGGTACAGCTTTTGGCGCTCAATGTTGTCCATGTCGTGCGCCTGCTCGAACCATTCTGCAGACAGCCAAGACCAAGTGCTCTCCAGACCGCCCAGAGAGTCAATCATCTGGGTGAACACTGTGGGCTCGGCGAGCGCGAGTCGCGCTATGATGGCGAGGTAGTCGCTCTCAGTAACCGTGTTGAGCTTGCTGATCTTGCGGTTCGGCCCTGTCGTTTGATGTGCCTCCCAGGCATTGTGCAGATCGCCCAGAATCTTCTGAAGGAATCCCAGCTCCACCATGTCCTGAATGATCAAAGTAACGCCACTCGAACCACCAAGATCCACAGCCGATCGGATGAGATATTCGATGCAGGTCGTGCCGCTGCGAACTTGCTCCCGGCTCTTAGAGTCCAGGATGCCGAGAAGGGCAGTCAAGGTGGGACGACGAAGCCTGTCTTCCAGCATGGCGCTCGGCGCAAAGAGTATGTACGATTCCACGGCGTTGAGTGCCTCGCCAGCTGTGAGCGACGAATACTCCAGTAAGGGCAGCGCCATCTCGGCCAGACCAATGAGTTCCGGTGACAGCGGCGCTGTGCTTTGCATGAGGACGGCGTTCCAAAGCTCGAGTGACTCGTCAATGAGGTGCACGTGGAGATCAGACCCTTGTCGCACTGCCTCTGAGATCAAGGGCACCATGAGGTGCTGGTAGCGCTGCGAGGCAGTCCCCATGCTCATGACCAGGGCCGCAAAGATAGCAATGACAGCCTGCTTGATCATGTACTCTTCGTTGCCCGTGTTCTCCCAGACAGACGGCAGGTTTGACATGAGCTGGTCGCCAAATTGAGATACTTGGTCTTCCATACGAGTGACAATGATACGGACCGACTCAAGAATGGCGAGTTTTGTCTCGTCAACCTCCACATGCTGAATCAGCGTAATAAGCTGGCTCAGGACGTCCGCCGTGTATGGCAAGAATGAGTCCACGCTGAAGTCGAGCTCGTCCGCGATCCACCTCAACTGTCTCGCTGTCGTGATCCGCACCACCAAATCGTTCGCTTCGTCGTTGGGGTCCAGGAAGTGGCGAAAGATCTGGTAGACAATCGGGCGACTCTCGTCGGCCAATTTCACCGGCGCCCATTGACTCAACAAGATGGCTATCCTCCGTCTGAGGACCTTGTTCAAGGCTCCTGTCTGTTGCGCGTCTTGCAGAACTGTCGTCGCCAGGAAGGCATCAAAGTCAAAAACATTGACAACATGGGCCGCGGCGTTGCCCATGGCCGTATACACGGCTTCCTTTGTCGCAATGTCGGACTGGGGATCCTGTGCCGACTGGAAATATGACATGAGTGGCTGGATCAGAAGATCCTTGAACTGAGTGAGCAAGTCAAGGAACAGCCTCTCCGCACATGGCCGGACCTGCCATTCGTATGCGTCACTCTCGCTTTGCTGTTCTTTCTCCCACTCCTCCGGATCCTCCTCCCAAGCTTCGAGATCTGACTTGCGGAAGACAAACAGATATGTGATGATGCAGTTCACGATCTGTACCACGAGGTCAGGTTTGAACAGTTCCGTCTTGATCATGGCCCTGGCCGCCTCTTGCTCCGCCTTGGTCTCCGGACTACGGTACTTGAAGGTCTGGACGGGCATGAAGGCTATCCGCACGCAGGCCCGCAATAGCAAAAGTCCCTTGACGGCCAGCTTCTCGGGTAGCGGGCCCTCGACCTTGGCCTTGGCACTTCCTGAGCCACTGTTCTGTCGGATGCCTCCTGAATTCCCGTACACTTCGGCAAATTTGGACACAAGGTCCCAATAGGCGTGTACCAGAGACAAGGAGTCGGGTAGGTTCGCAAAGCTTGCCGGATGTTGCTCGGCCATGTTGATGTGAAGCTTTGTGAACTGAATCAGATGGCCGGCCGCAACCTTTTGGAACTGTTCTGGCATGCCAGCCTCCTCGCTGACGAAGCCCAGCAGTTTCCCAAACTGATTCTGCGACAATCCCCAGAAGCGTGTCACTGTCTCGTCGCCATGCGGCCTCTCGTAGCCTACGAGAACTAGACGTCGCAGAACCTTGAGGGCGATGAGACTGTTTGACATGGCCAGGTAAGCCGCCTGCTCGTCGCCCTTTCGATTTGTCAAGTAGTTGATCCACAGCTCCGACCTCTCTGTGTATATTTCCAACAAGACATGCACAATCTCGGGAGTGACTGATTGCAGTGCCGTCTGGCTCTTCTTCAACCTCGCCGTGCCCAGCTCCTTGACCACCTGTAGCAGAATCTGCAGGGACCCAAACAGCTTCCTCTGGTCGCCGTCCCTCGAGGACCGGAGAAGGGAGATGATCTGTGAAAGCGCGTCCGGCCAGTCGCTCGGGTAGTCGATGCGCACAATCTTGGCCGTTACATATGCGTTGTGTTCGGCGAGACGCTCCTCGACCTCGTCAACGGTGCCTTCGAAGAGGCGCTGGCGGATCGCGTTCTTCTCGTCAGGTGATATTCCCTGCTTGGTCGCGGCGTAGTGACGCCAGTGCTTGTCGATACCATTTTTGAGCTGGATGACGGCCTGGAAGCGTGGCTCGATGGGGAGCGATTTGTCGAGGTAGACGGCCTAGCGAGAAACTCCTTCAGCGCGTGTATCACCAGCACTACTCTCGGCCAAGGCTTACCTGGAGTGAACTGTAGTATCCAGGCGTGGTCTCCCATGATGTCAGCTGCTGCTCGGCCGCTTGTCGTTGTGCATAGTCGAGTGAGGTTGTCGCCGAGCTGAGTGTTCGGCAGAGATCCTGGAAGCTCAACGGGTTGGCGCCGCCCGGCACCTCGATGGCGAAGCTCATGCTGTGTCCGCTAGTGCCGCCTGAGCGGCTGCAGTTCTTCGTCGTCGGTCGGTTTTCGTCTTCTAACTGTGCATATCCGAATGAACTGGATGCAATGTTGACACACTACGCCGTCGCTGATGAAAGACTCGGCAAAAGCAGGGAAAAAGTTCAGGCGCTGGTTTACAAGTCGAAGCTGAACATCTGTACTTTGTAGGCTGTGATGGTTCCGCGGGGTCACATTTTCGTGGTGGGGTTCGAGCTTCGGGACTGGTTGTTCCACAGCCTACCCTACACTCCTTTCTGGCAGCCCGAGGTAACAGCTAGACTTCCCTGTTGGACAATAGATATAAGATGCCTCGAATATGATTGACGATTTACTACGTGGTTAAAACCCCATCACCTCGTTGCCGTACTTAAGCATCACCCTCTCTCCTTCATTCCTCCCTTCACTAACAGCGAACGGTGCCAGACCAAACCCGCGCAGGGCATCCTGACCAGCCATCGCCATGACCGCATTCACATCAGGTCGCCCAACATGCTGACTTTCGCCTACACCCCCTGGGAAATCAGCCGGCGGGATCCCCTGTAGGAATTCCTCACGCTGTTGACGCGCATACTCCACGTTGCTTTTTGTCATGGGGCAAGCAGGTATGTACATGACGCTCGAGTCCGACTGGCCCTCATGGACCATGTCAACCGCATGAATCGTATCGCAGTGCCATGCCACATAGTCTCCTGGCTTGATCTGAGGGACGTGCACCATGGTGTGGGGCAAGTCGAGGTGAGGGTGCCATGTGTGGTTCAGCTCCTGACTGTTCCCGGGCCAGGCACCTTGAATGTTGGGTGACGTTTCGTCTGCCCAGACCCAATTATCCGGGGCCAGGTATTCAGAGAGGTAATCTGACGGGCTGCTAGGCTGAGTCGGCTGGCGTTTCGGCGTGAAAAAGGGTCGAAGAAGGTAGTACGCTGTGGAAAGTGAGAGCAAAGGGTTCACCAACAGGGTGCCCTCGCGTGGGCCAGTGTGCGACATGCTCAGCCAGCCCTGGAACATGCGGAACATTGAGCAGGCTCCAGCTCCCTGGTATAGGTCTTGTGTCGCGTCGAGTCGGGTGCTGAGCTCCCACGGGTCAAACTCCTCCCACTTGCCCTCAAACACCTTATCGTATACGTGACCCTTGCCGTAGCCTTCCTTCTCCCACCGCTCAACGCTGCCACCGTCGATGTGTGGTCCTAGAGCAAACCCGGCGTCTCCAGGTTGACGGATGCGAATGCGGTCTGCGTACACCAGAGGCTGCTGTGTTGAGCACATGGCGTGTGGTGTCTGAGAATGGTAATGAGACATCAGGAAACGCTGGACATCCAGCATGTTCTGGTGAAGGCGACCCGCGAGCTGAGGTCTCGACCAATACAGCTCGAAGACGGCCGGATTATCTGCTGGGAACGCTGTTGTGTGTCAGCTGAAGATCAAAACACACCACATGCCAAAGACAAGAAGGCTTACCCTTTGTGGAAGGATTTGCTGCTACGTATCGCTCAGTCTCCTCCTTGAACCCACGCGCCTCCTTTTCAGGAACTACGCCTCTGACAATGGCGACTCCACGCTTCCGGAGGGCTGAGCTGAATTCGCTTGGGGCATTTTGTATATCCGCAAAGTCAATTTGAGGGATGCAGCTCGAGCCTTGCGCCTTGACGATTTGTGTCTCGTCTCTGAGCTTCACCAAAAGCCGGTCCCAGCTTGCATGGAGAGCATCCCTATCTCGGACCAGGGATCTCTTCACATCCGCGAAGCGCTGGGGCAGTCTTTCCGCTTCATCGCTGCCAGAGAGTGAGCGGAACACTGACGATATGTCGCCTTCCTTCCTGGCACCTGCGGTTTGAGTTGCAATCGTCCTTGTCCCGGCAAGGGTAGTCGTCAACCCTGCCGTGCCACACCTCGCAATGTTGATAGTGCGCGTCCGAAGCATTGGGGCAATGGGGCAGTTCCTGGCTCGTTGAAACAGCAGAGTTAAGATTGAAGAGGAAAAGAGACACAGCAACCTCTGTTCAAATGATTGCACTTCTCTTTTATCTTGGTAGACATGACGTGAACCACTTATACCTTGCGCGGTGCTACTGCTTCAGGTCATCCCCGCAGGGCGGTTTCCTAATTAGGAAGCCGTCCACTTAGTTCCACGAGCATTGGCTTCCGACGTGTGCGACGTGGATTTCCACATTAGGAAGTTGTCCTCGAATCTTAGTAAAGGGGATCTCCAACAAGACGCAGGTCGACTGCACATATTCGATCTATGACTCCAGATCAAGATCGGCAAACCATGACTGAGTACACAGCGGCTGTGTCGGGTCCAAGTTGGCTGAGAAGAGCTGGTCAATGCGATCCAGGTCGAATCTAGGATCGAAGTTGTTGAATAGCTCCGCGTCGCCAATGCAGTCGTTGATCATGGACGGTGAGTCGTTCCAAGGAAGATCAACTAAAGCTTCAGACGAGACCATGGCAGGCTGAACAGTTTGCCCGATGCCTTGCGTCTCTTCGCTCGACGCTTCCTGCAGCGCCTCTCCCTGTATACGCTCTTCTTCGCCTTCTGCAGCAGGTCCCGTGCCGCTGGAAGTGTCCCGCGTAATCGATTCCGGGATTTGATGCCTTCGCCTCGCCTTGCTCCTGTCGGCTGCGACTCGTTCTACTTCCTGCATGGTATCTGTAGCAAGCTTCGCCACTGCTCTTGCCGAAGCAAATACCGAGCTCAGGTTGTCAAGAATCTCACAGCTACCATGGAACAAAGCATACGCCCTTTTCCGGCGATATACCATGGCGCTGTTCCTCAGTGTTTTATAGGCCACAGAAGCGGCCAAGGATACCGCATATGGAACGATGGGCAGAAGCGTTACCGAAGTTTTGAAGTCTTCCAAGCTGATGGCAACAATACTCGTGGCGGCGAACATCTGAAGCTCACTGCTAGGCGGCGGTTGTTGCCGCTCCACGTGTTCTCTTGGCCGATTTTGCAGGATGACAACGGCAAGATAATAGACTTCAATTGTGGCTAGGGCGAGAGTCAGCTTTGCATTTGCGACCTGGAAGAATTCATTACCTAGAAGAGCATTGGACACCGTGGACGCCCCTGTCTCATGCACAAGGGCTTCAAACGTTGTATTGTCAGGTTGCGGCAGAGTTTCTGCATCTGCGGATCGTGGCCGATACTGGGCAATGACGGTGTCAAGGAATTGCGAGACCCTGATGAGGAGTCGAAAAGCGGGTGCCTGTTCGACAAAAGACGCGAGAATGGTAGCCTCTATGTCTTGCCGATGCATCATGATCGGTCTGCCGTTCGTGGCAGCATTGAGCCGATCAACGACCCAAACACACCAGAACAAGCGTTTGGCTTTCTTGGCTTGCGGGTCGTCGTCAGGCCAGCCCAGATGAAGCCCAAGTGTTTGCGTATGCTGCACAGCCTGTGAGGCGTAGTGTATGGATACTTCGCTACAGTTGAATTGATCGGCGTAGAACGCCATGAGAGTGCACACCTGAAGGATCACTAGCTTGTCTTGCAGGAAACCCATGTCAAGAGACTGCTTCACTGCGGCAGCCAAGTGACCCCGGAACTCGATTGGCGAGAGGATATGCTCGTTCGGGGGTAGCCGGAGGTGTTGTCTAGCCTTGTAGTCCGAGGCAGCCACGAGACAGAGGCACTGCGTCAGGGCAGCTTTCTCGTGTGGTGGTTGCGCATCGGATGCCTCCTCATGGAGAACAGGGAAGATAGGGTCGACTTTGGCATAGTATATGCTTTTTAGTGCGTCGATGTCACTAGGTGGAGGTATGAGAGACAAGCACTCCGCTCGAAGCTGAGAAGTGACGGCTTGGAGTGCCGTCAACCCAGGGCTTTGGCCTTTGCTGCTACTCCCGTGTTTATCAGTGCTTGCAGTCTGTGGCTTCTGTCCCAGCCATACGCCGACTTCGGCATGACGAGAAGTCCCGCTGGGGACATCCGCTCCCTCGCGCCGTCTAGTTGACAAGAAGGAGGCTTCTGGGCTCAAGTCTCCCACAAAACGTATGTACGCGTTGTTCGATGTGACGCCACGGTCAGTCGACGTTGGCGAGACCCTTGTGTGCAATCCAGTTCCTTGGTTGGAGAAGTCATTCTGCTTGTCCCTGGGCAGTGTTCTCATAGGTTCAATATCTTGGTCACAGGTGGGCGCAGAGGTTGATTCTGGTTGCTCGCCGCCGTTATACGGGATAAAGGTTGAGGCAACATGTGAGCATCGTCTCTGCAAGAGTCAGCATCCAACTCTCAAAGTCATTGAGGTATCGTTTGACCCACATGTCGCTTCCTGCAACTGTCGCAAGATTTGGTCAAGTTCTTTCGTTTCGAGCCAAGCCCACCGACATGATCAGGGACGAATCTGTACATATCGGCGTTGGCCTGAGGATGTTCTCGCAACGGTGAACTTGAACGGGGCCCGACGTGAGTTTGTGGATCCACAGGCACGCCAGCTGGGTTCCATCATTCCATGTGGGCACGGACGAACTTGCCTAGGGTGAAAGATGTGAAGACGGTGATTGATTGATCACAGCATGCTGGGATCATGATGCCATGGCGCTGGTCAGGCGCGTTACTCCAACTGCCAAGGCCAACAACTCGGTGTCGCGAGTCGCGACTGCCAGCTGAGAGCTCGAAAGTGGGGTTTGCTCAATCCCCTCACGTGATCTCCTCATCGACGTTGCTGGACGTTGAACGTGAACTGGCTGCCTCAGGCTGAAGTTTTCCCCCGCGTCTCGAGACCTGCCCATATGTTTGAAGCAAGCGCCCGCAAACCAGCAGCCACATGCAGCAGCCCGAACCCAGACCCAAACACTGACGCTCTCCACGAGGAATGATTGTGCGAGATTACGTCGCACACCATTGAGAAGATGGAGGGCGGAGGGCTTGTCCCAAAACTGCACTCCCCGACTGCATGAACCACTAGGGTCGCGATTGCGGGCACCCCGAGCACCACCTTCTCCGCACATCTCCACACAAGGTTCGCGGTACTTGACGACACCAGTGACAGGTCCCCCCACGACTGAGCTTCGAAACTCAATTTCAGGGGAACTGACCCGATGTCTGCCAGCCTTCCCCAAAGTACGACCAGCCCAGGTCGAGGTTGGCCGAGAAGATGGCGTCGATCCTGCCGAGATCGAAGCTTGGGTCAAAGTTTCCAAAGACGCCAGCTTCGCCGTCGAAATCATTGAAGAAATTGGGGTCGAATTGGTCACAAGTGTGGGCCAGTTGCTGATCCATGTTTGGGTTGCCGGGCCCAGCCTCCAACGGCTGTGACAAGCCGGCAGCCTGGGCCCGCAGCGACTGCGCTTGTTGGTCGACGTCTCGTGCGGCGTCCTGGGCACCACCGCGATCGACAAGAGCAACCTCCGTCGAAGGTCCATTGTCGTGCAGGGATCGGATGCTCTCTCTCCTCGTTCGTTCGGTCGCGACTCGCTCGACTTCCTGCATGGTGTCCATGGCCAGGCGTGCCATGGCCCGCGCCGAGAGGAACGCTTTGCTGAGTTCGTCCAGCACTTCGCAGCTGTCGTGGAAGAGCATGTAGGCGCGTCGCCGGTTGTAGGGCATGGGACTGTTGCGCAGGCTCCTGTATGCGACCGAGGCGGCCACGGTGACGGCAAACGGCAGTATGGGCCAGAAGACGAGGGAAGGCTTGAACTCGCCCGACGCGACGGCCACGATGCGGGCCGCGCAGTACCACTGGAGCTCCGAGCTAGGCCGTTGCCCGGCTGACCTTCCTCGCAGGACGACCACGGACAGGTAGAAGAGCTCGAGGGAGGCCAGCATGCCGTTGCCCAGGTTCTGCGCGCCAGTCGCCTCGACGAGATCCTCAAATGTTTGGTCCGCGTTCTCTGCATGAGCCTGCGCCGTGACATGGGGGCGGTAGAGTGATATGGTGTAGTCTAGGAACTGCGCGATACGTATGAGGAGCTTGAAGGGTGGCGGTTGATCGTCGACCGAGTTCGTCACCTTTCTGTCCATGTCGCGCCTGTGGATGAGGGTCGGGCGACCGTTGGTGGCCGCGTTAAGTCGGTCCAAGATGTAGACACACCAGAAGATGCGACGTGAGCGCTCACCACCGGCCTTTCCATCCGGCCATCCGACATGAAAGCCGAGCGTCTGCTCGTGGAGAACTGCTTGAGCGCAGTAGTACGTCGATAGCTCACCGAAGCCTTCGTTTTCCACATACATGGACATCAAGGCACATACTTGCAGCAGCACCACCTTGTCGACGATGAAGCCCAGATCCAGGGACTGCTTGACTGCGGCGGCGATGCGCGCCCGAAAGTCGATTTGCGACAGGGTGCCTTGTGTGTGGGGGAGCCGAAGGTGCGGTCGCAGCGCGGGATCCAAGGATGCCACCAGACAGATACACTGTTTCAGGGCCACTGTCTCCATGGTGCTATGTTTCTCCCAGGGCTCATCTCTGAGGAGCGGGAAGATGGGATCGATCTTTGCGTAGAACAGGTCAAAAAGCAAACCAAGCTCGTACTCGGGGGGCATCGTCGCTATGCACTCACGCCGCAACGCTGGGCGCAGAGCCGACAGCAGCATGGGTTGACCAGCATGGCCATCCAGTACCTGCGGCGGCACATGGACGGCTTCATCCTCTGTCTCGCCGCGAGACGTGGCCTCCTGGGATGTCTGGTTGTGTTCCTGGCCAAGCCACAGACCTACACCATGCGTGGATATGCTGGGGGTTCCCGCCCCCCGTTGACCATTGATGATGAAGGCGGATTCCGGGCTCAAATCGGCCACGAAGCGCAAGTGCGCCTCTTCCGACCCTCCCCTTGGCTCCGAGGTGGACTTTGGTTGCGGCGCATGTCTTTGCACCTGTGACTGCGTGTCCGCCTGTGGCCTCGCCCCTTGGGCATCCGCAGCTCCCTGGAACTGGGGCCAGCTCGATGCATCGGTCGAGTTTTGTCGTGGTGTGCTTCGGGGCGAATCTGGCGATAGAGCCAGCGGGCTTGAATTCCTTGGGTCTCTCGTGTGAGGGCAGCGTTTCTAGCAAGGTGTTATTAGGTATGTATTCGGGGATGCACCATTCGACGGGGTCGAAAGCCGGCTAGCACTCATTCTACAGGCACTCTATACTCACATGACGGCGCTTGCAGGAGTCGCACGACCGGGGGCTCTGTTTACGTTTCGTCCCCACGCCTCCGACGTTGTCCGCCACGAACTTGAACATGATGGTGAGACAGAACCGTGAGGGACCAATGGCCACCTCGCACGGCCTCGCAAACGCTTGGTGCGTAGGAATGACAATTGAGGCTCCGGGGCTGCCACGTGACGAAGCTGCGCAAGCACAGGTACGGAGACTGATGATGGATGCTGGGAAGACTCGACTGCTTGAGTCGTGGTCCCCGTGACACGAGAACATACATGAGCATGAGCTGTGGTGGATCATACTAGTCTCGGATGCCCACTGTGAGGGGGACACCGGACACCCACACACACACCCGCTAAGAAAAGTTGCGGCTCGCGGCAGGTCAACACACATGACAGCATTATTATTGAGTCGGATGGTTTTGCGACAAGCCAACTCAGCCACCTAACGACGTAGTGTCTTGGCCTCGACGGCCATGACCATAGGGGCAGCTCCCTGCAGCTGGCATCAATATCGCCCGGGTTGGCCGTGGCTTTTGCGTCTACCTCGACAGCCAAAGAAGTTGAAAATTCACCGGGACAGTCCGGGCCAGGTCAGGTGGTGGAGGTGTCGAGTGGAGTCCCCGGGGGGTGAGAGTCAATGTCGTTTGGAACGCAGACGTCGTTTCCCATTTTTTGACTCGCTGAGAGTCCTATCATAGGATGGAGAATCTGGCCCACGGGGTCCCCATGGTCTCTCTGGCTTCTCGAACAACCTTCTCTCGGGGCGAGAGGAGTGATGGGGGGGCGTTGACTGGAGCTGCCCGACGAAGAAACCTCCCGCAGCCAATGGCCTCGACTAGGGCTCCTCGTTGGAGAAGAGCAATGCGGGACACGACCGAGAGTCTCACCGGCACCAGACTTCCATGGTCCACTAGGCCGTCATCATAGGCCAAGGACAGAGACGCTGGTGGGCCGGCCATCCCGGCCTCGACGGCATCCAGGTGCGCAATTTACCGCTTCGGGCAGTGTCCGCCCGCGTGCCATCGCCTATTGCCGCTTCGAGACTTTGTCCAAGTCGCGAGATTGGCTCCTCCATGCCATGCGACTCATGATCGTGTTGACGATGAACAATGGGGAAGTGCTGGTGGAATTGCATATATATTCGCGCCCCCAGACTTTCTCCTCAAATTCTCCAGAAGCTACTCCAGGCCTTCCCCATATCAAGCTTCCAACAGTCCATCTGGCAGCCCAGGAATCACTCTTGTCCTCCTCTCTTGCACTTGACATATCCCACAGAACGACAGCAAGCAAACAACAACAACAACACAACCTTCACCATGGGTCTCTTCAGCTCGTTGAAGTTTGACTGGCGGTCTCACAAGTGGGCGCTCTTCTACTGCCTCGTCTCCTCCATGGGTGCTCTCCTCTATGGCTACGACAACACCTACTACAATGGCGTCCTAGCCATGCAACAGTTCAAGAACCACTACGGAACCCACTTGGATGCCGACGGCAACAAGGCGCTCCCGTCCTCCTTCCAGTCGCTGACCGCGTCCGCCATCTACATCGGTGACCTGTTTGGTGCTCTGCTGGCATCGCCCATCAACGACCGCTGGGGCCGCAAGACGGTCTTCTGGCTGGCTTCCATCTGCATCTTGCTCGGCGGCATTGCGCAGGTCGCTGACACCAACCACGAGGCTGTCATCGTCGTCGGCCGCGCGGTCATGGGTCTCGGTGTCGGCCAGTTCACAGTCACGACCCTGCTGTACGTTGGAGAGGTGGCGCCCGCGGCCATCCGTGGACCAGCCCTCATGTCGTTCCAATGTGAGTTTCAAACGCCCTGGCCTCTCGTGCCTCATTAGCGGGACGAACTGAAAACCATACTGACAATGCCCAGTTCTGCAATCCATCGCTCAGCTCGTCGCCTCGGCCATCACCCAGGGCACCGAGAACATCAACGGCCCCCTCTCCTACAAGATCCCCATGGCCGGCCTCATCTTCCTGCCCCTGGTCATGTTCATCGGTCTCCCGTTCATCCCCGAGAGCCCCATGTGGTACGTGCTCAAGAACCGCACCACCGACGCCGAAAATTCCCTGCGCCGCATCCACCAGGACCAGACCAACTACGACCCGGCCGAGGACCTGCACGTCTTCCAGGAGAACAAGCGGGTCGAGGAGCAGCACGCCGAGGAGTCCTCGTGGAGGGCTCTCCTGACCGACCCCATTGAGCGCCGCAAGCTCTTCTACGCCTGCGGCGCCATGACCAGCTCGCAGATCTGCGGCATCCTCTTCTTCTACGTCTACGGCGTCGTCTTTGCCCAGGCCATTGGCATCGAGGACCCCTTCCTCATCCAGCTCATCACCAACATCCTGCAAATCTTCGCCGTCGGTGCCTCCGTCGTCACCGGTAACAAGGTGCCCCGTCGCATGAACCTGTTCGTCACCAACAGCATGATGCTGGTTGCCTTCATCGTCATTGGCGGTATTGGTACTCAGGGAGCGAACCCCTCGACGGCCGCGCAATATGTCATTGTCATCTTCTCCTACTTTGTCATCATCGGTTCGTACCCTCCAACACCTCCTCCTCCTCTTGAAGAACCAGACTAACATGATTGCGACCAGGCTACAACTACGGTATCGGTACCCTGGCCTACACCATTGCCCGTGAGATGTCCGTCGGCACGAACCAGAACAAGATCATGTCCTCCTCCATCGTCGTCTTCTACTTTGTCACCTGGGCCATCTCCTTCACTGCGCCCTACTTGTACTACGACGCCGGCCTCGGCCCCATGATCGGCTTTGTGTACGCGGGCACCACGGCCCTGACCATTGTGTACACCTGGTTCTGCGTCGGCGAGACCGCTGGACGCTCGACCACCGAGATCTCCCGCTTCTTCACGGAGCACGTGCCCGTCCGCCAGTGGAGGACGCACGTCTTCGAGTCCCTCTACGAGCACGACATGGAGAAGAAGGGCCAGAGCACGATCCACGAGACTGGTGTCTCTGACCATGTGGACCAGAAGGTCTAGAGTCTGGGAAGATGGGATGTACTACTTATTATATACACGGCGGCCACGTGGCCAAACTATGTGGAGTCTTATGATTGATGAAGATACACTTTTTCTGTTACGTCTCTGTTACCTGTGTCTCATCCTCTTGTGAAGGAACCAGTGAAAATGCTCTCTGCTTTAGTGCATTATCTTCTATGATCGTCTATACATGTATTGAATTTGTCTAAAGCCCTTGTACCTCAAGCCTCGCCAGAACTCTTCTCCTCTACCACACTGCGGTCCGCCTGCTCCGCAACTCTTCTCGCATCTGCACACTGCTTGCGCGCGGACACGACAGTGCCCACCAGCCCCAGCAGCCACCAGGTAAACAACACGGGCAGGTTGATATGTAGAGTACGCGTGCAGCCCGTCCAGGCCCGCACCTCGAGGGAGTAGATATTGTACCCGGGCATGGCATACCCAGCCCTGTAGAAGCCCGGTGCCAGGAGCAGGGGGTTCGCCGCGCTGGAGACGTTGGCCAGCACCCATGTCAGCATGAAGAACGGGGCGGCCGGGAGGGGCAGGAAGGAGCCGATGAGGGAGTCAAAGACCTGCCAGTTGATGTCCATCTGGAACCAGATGATCATCCACGTCTTGGGGAAGGCCGAGGCCGAGACGGCCCAGTCCTCGCGAAAGGCCCAGATGTAGCCGGCGATGACGAGGGCGGCGAGGAACGTGTAGACCTTGGCGATGACGAAGCGCATGACCCAGATGTCGCGCCAGTGGAGGCGGGCGAGGATACCCGTGCTGCCCATGATGCCGTTGACGGCGAGGAGGAAGAAGAAGGCGAGCAGGATGGGGAAGACGACGTTGAGGGTGTTGTAGTAGGCCCGTGCGCCCTGCGGCGTGGGCGTGAGGATCTCGGGGCTGGGTCGGATGGGGTTGAGATAGGCCTGGACGGCGGCCGGGTTCGAAGCGTTGAGCTGGGCGAGGGCGGACTGGCCAGCGTCGGTTTGGTACCATGTGCCCCTAGAGGCGGCGATGAGGGCCTCGAGGTTGGAGCGGATGAGGCCGTCGGCCATGTTGGCGTAGCGCGCTGCATTGTAGATGTAGGAGATTGTGTCGTTGGGGTTGTACTGCATGGCAGAAGAGGAAGAGCCGGCCACAGCGTCGGTGAGGCGGGAGGAGGCGCCCGGGTGGACGTACATGGCTGCCCAGTAGCCGTCCTTGCACACGGCGTCTTGTACGTCGCCAGGTTGTGCGTACCGCGACGAGGGGTCCTGGAACGTCAGGGTGGGAAATGTGTCGCCCTTCATGGCGTCGTAGGCGGACGAGAGGGCCTGCGTGACGGAGCCGTCCTAGTCAAAGTCGACGACGAGGACGTTGAGCGCGTGGGTGCGATAGCGCTGCTCAAAGCCGGCGCCGAAGAGGAGAGACATGTTGCTGAGGAAGCAGAGGAGCAGGGCGAGACCAGCGGCTGCGAGAGGCACAAGGGTCTTTTTGCGATTGCCTTTCCATGATTCGAGACTGCTTGTTGTTGACATGGTGAGGATGAAGGACTGGCCAAGCTCAGGGGGGTGGATGGATGTTTCTCCAGTTCAGGTGACTTTGCAACACGAAGATGGGCTTGCTGCTTGATCTTGGAAAGATTCTCTTACTCCTGCTACCTGGAAAGATATTGAATGTTGATGCTGGTTGTGGTTATAGATGTCTCTCGTTCCTTGAATTGGCTCTGGGACTGGAACATGGAGGACAGGAGGTCACGCGTCTTTAATATATTCAAGATGGCTTGCAACACGAGACAGCCCCTATCACAATTAGTAATCGGGCATGGGGGCGTCGGACATGGAGACAGCGCGCCAAACACATAGTTTGCACGCTCGCTTCACCAAAGAGCGACGCGCGGTCGGACAAGAGCACAAAGGCCGGAAGCGAGATCCGTACTGTACAGCCCTATTGGCCGGGACCCCTGTGAAGTCTCGGACACGGACACAGTGAGGTCAGCGCCGTTGATAAGCATCCGAGTCATCGTAGAGTTATTAGTGACGGTCGCTTTGATGGCCGCGCCAAGTGAGACGGGGTTTGGTGGGAGCTGGCTGCGCGAGCGCTCGCCTCGCCTTTACTCGGAATGCCGAGCGCCGATGGATTGCATTACCCACAACCGGGGCTTATTAATGATAGTTGCAGCCCAAGGTCAATCAAGGGGTTTCCGATCTGACTCACGAGCATAGATTGAGCCTTCAATGTTAATTTTAAGCTTCTGGAGGTCTAATAAAACGCTGACATGCAAATTGATAGCACTCAGCACGAGGAAGCAGATCCTGAGCTCACGAAGCCATTTGATTTAGGCAAAGCTATCGAGTTGTCTGATTGTTGATGTGAAGGGGTTGAACCACGCGTGACGAAACGACTAACGTTACCTACCGTGTGTCGTTAATAGTTAGGATTAGTGTCGAGAAACGAACCAGCTCAATGAGTGCAGCCAAACCCAATATGATGAATACTCGGTATGGGTAAGCCGTCAACTGGCAAACTATTCGCATTCACGGCACTGGCTTTAGGGTAGGCAGGATATTGACGGTAGTACATGGAGTCGGAGGGGCCAGCGTGAGTGAGTGCAGTCAGCTCTCACGAAAATGGACGTTGGGAGGACCTACGAACTTATATAGTCCCACTCGTCGGCAACCTACAATTAAAGCCTTTGGTACTGTAATTATTATTACTACGCATGTAGTAGTTTTAGTACGCACCTATAGCCGCCAAGGGTAGCGGCCTCGGCCATTGCCGTCGCTACCCCAGACTCTCACTGTGCCTCGGCAGGAACGATCGAGTTGCTCCTTCCTTCCCCCACGCCTGCCCGCATTGTGGAGACCAAAAGTCCAACGTCGTCAGTCAACTCGAGCAACTCCAGCTTCAGCGTCTGCTTCACTCATCGCCAACTTATTCTTATCATTGCAATCTATCGCTTGTTGGATATTGTTTTCATCGTCTATAGGCTGATCCTCAAACCATCACAATGCGCGGCATCCAGGTCAAGGCATATGTCAAGGTATGTACGTCCCCAGGACCCCAACTACCCCATACCCAAACGCAATGGGCGTGCTGAGTGCTGACGACAACATCAGAGCCCCAAGGAGCTCACCGTGACAGACCTCCCAGACCCCCAGCCAAAGAGCAATGAATACCTCGTCCAGGTCCACGCCGCGGCCACAAACTTCTTTGACATCCTACAAGTCCAGGGCAAATACCAGCACCAGCCTCGTAAGCACCACTAACTACCAAGCAAATACAACACGAATGGAGCCTGTGCTGACAAGTCACCAAGCCTTTCCCTGGGTTGCAGGCGCCGAGTTCGCCGGCGTTGTCCTCGCCACGCCCCCCGGCGCAAACAACCCTCGCTTCCCCGTCGGCGCGCGCGTCTTTGGCGCCGGGCAGGGCGCCTTCGCGACCAAGCTTACCGTCGCCGAGACATCGCTCCTCCCCGTGCCCGAGGGCTGGTCGTTCCAGGAGGCCGCCGGCCTCTTCGTCACGGCGCCCACGAGCTACGGCGCCCTTGTCGTGAGGGCGGGCATCAAGAAGGGCGACGTTGTCCTCGTCCATGCCGCCGCTGGCGGTGTCGGCCTGGCTGCCGTCCAGAGTAGGTCTCCCTCTTTTACGTCTCTGCTGGCCATGAAACGCTGACGAAAGAAACAGTCGCAAAGGCATTTGGCGCCACGGTCATTGCTACTGCGTCCACAGACCACAAGCTCGCCATTGCCAAGCGCTTTGGCGCAGACCACATCGTCTCCTACAATGACCCCTCGTGGCCGGCCAAAGTCAAGGCCCTGACCCCAAAGTCCGCCGGCGTGGACATTGTGTACGACCCCGTCGGTCTGGTCGACCAGTCCACAAAGTGCACCGCCTGGAACGGCCGCATCCTCGTCGTCGGGTTCGCGGCGGGCACCATTGAGAAGGTTCCCACCAACAAGTTCCTGCTCAAGAACATTAGCCTCGTAGGCATCCACTGGGGCGCGTACGCCAAGTTTGAGCCCCAGACGCAGGTGACCGTGTGGAAGGGCATCATGGAGCTCGTCAAGGAGGGCAAGCTCAAGGGGACCGAGTACTCGGACGAGGAGTTTGTCGGGCTCGATCGGGTCAAGGACGCCCTCGTGGCCCTCGGCAGCAGAGGTACCTGGGGCAAGGTCGTCGTCAAGGTGCCGCAAGACGGCGGCAGCAAGCTATGAGCGTGGCTCGTGGGCATAAGTATGTAGTAGTGTATTGCACTAGTGACCAATGGCTATGTCTTCTTTCACCCGTATCTTCATGTTGGGTCTGGTCCCTCCCTTGTCATGCTCCGATGATCGTAGCCCTCGCTCTGAGAAGAAGGAAAATCAAATAAAAACAAGACACGCACCACTCCCTCCTCCACCTCAGTCTGTCGCCGTCAAGAGGTACTCTATGGCCCCTTGTACGCTGCCTCCACTGCGGCGCAACGCAGCCACGTTGCGATCAAAGTCAAAGAAGCCCATGTCGTTCAGCTGGCGGAGCTGGTCGGCGTAACGCTCCTCGGGAGGTCGGTTGTCGGCCGGTGCTTGGGCGCCTCCAGCGCCGGCACCGCCACCTCCGAGCATCTGCAACATGTGCTGCATCATTTCGGGGTTGGGAGGGGGCAGTCCGCCAAAGCCACCAGCGCCAGCACCAGCGCCGCCCGCGCCGCCGCCTCCGCCTAGGAGCGCAGCAAATGGGTTACCCGCAAACGGATTCTGCTGAGCACCCTCCTGTCCTTGGCCTTGTCCTTGTCCTTGGCTCTGGCCCGTCGCCCCTTCTGGTGTCGCGCCGGCGCCCTGGTTTGGGGCCTGACCAGTCGCGGTGGCGCCCTGCCCAGCGCGCATCATGTTAAAGAGGGCGTCCATCCCCTGGCCACCCTGACCAGCACCGCCCTGTCCGCCCATCCCGCCCATCATCATATCGGCCAGCGACGGCCCGCCGAATGGATTCGGCGGTTGGCCTTGTGCGCTCGCATTGTTGCCACCATCATTCGCCGCCGCCCCAGACGGGGTTGTGTCCGTCGCACCGGGCGCGGGAAAGGCTGAGTTGCCCCCCGGCTGCATGTTTCGCTGCATCCGCATCGCCGACCGCATCATCTCGGGGTTCGTCATCATCTGCCGCATGAACGGCGACTGCAGGATCTCGCGCGCATTGGGCACGTTGCGTAGCATGGGGTTGGACTCGATCATCATGTTGATGAAGTCGGGGTTGTTGAGAGCCTCGTTCATCTGCTGCTGGACGTTGGGGTTCTCCATCATACGCGATATGCTATCCTCATCCATCATGGGCCCGCTCATCTGTAGGAACCGTCAGCCGCTGTCACACATGAAATCCGCCGATGCGTCTGGAAGAAGGGAGTAGTTACGTACCCCGCCGTCAGGGCCAAACATGTCCATACCGGGCATGTTGATACCATGGCCAGCATACCGCGCACCCGTGAGGTTGGCGAGCGGGTTGTTGGCCGTTCCCGCCGCCATATTGGTTGGAACGCCTGTCGAGGTGGGGGTCGAGCTCGCGGCGTTCGCAGGCTGGGGCGTGGGGTTGCTGGCCGCGCTCTTGACCATGTGGATTGTGTTGTTGGGCTTGATCTTGTACGAGCCCAGTGTGTCGTCGTTCTTGAGCACGCGTCCCGAGTAGATGAGGCGCTGGCGCTCGACAGCGATGTTCTCGTAGGCTTCGGTCGCGAGCTTATTCTTGAGGTCGAGCACGGTGGCGCTCTCAGCCATGATGATTGTGTGGGTGTGGTCGCCCGAGGTCTTGACCTTGAAAGTGACCTGAGCATCGCTGCTCGCCTCTGTGTTGTCGGCCATGCTGTTGTTCGCTTTCTGCTGATGTGACGAGACGAAGAGGGGTGGCGGGGAGTAGTGACTTGTGCGGCTGGGGTGGGTACCAGTATTAAGCAGTAGCTACCTCGCACTCTGCTCGTATCTTCTCTTGACCTTGCGTGTCTTGTGCAAGAGTATCTGGTAAGGATGGAGAAAGATTAGATGATGGAGGTGGGAGGAGAGTTGTCAAGAGTTGCGCTTTGGCTGGGGGCAATCTGGGCTGTTCTCGCCCGTCGTTGTTTCTCTGTCGACACACCCCGAGGACAAACGTGGGGCAGGCCTGCGTCCAATGACGCATTGCAGCGTAGTCCGAAATGCCATTCATTAATCATTCAGGGACACCAGCAATTGGCCGATCCTAAGGTATCACGCAAAGTTCTGTCTACTGGTAGGAAGGTAAAGGCTCACTCGACGCAGCATCTCACTACGCCTGCTTCTTCAGTATTGAATCATACTTGTCCTACCAGTGATCTTACCTTGGCACTTACCTGAGGTACACTTCCATCTTGGTCCATGTGATTCTCCACTGGTAAGTTGCTGGGTCTGGCGTGTAGGCAACAAACTTACCCTAGAGCTCCGATGTAAAAGCGGGTCTCAAGACAGGTCGCAACATCAGCTCTCATCGAGTCACCAAACAACAACCAGCAACCTCAAACTGAGCTCACTCATGACAGTTGCGCGTACCCAGAACCACGCCTCGAGTCGCTTTTCTCACCCGACGGCTGCTGGACAATGAGCCTCCCGGATCCCCACTGACCCCTACGCGCGCCCTGGGCATGCTGCCACCATGATTCAAGGCATCTTCTACGCCCGCTTCTTCCCTCAGGAAGGGCCCCAGATCGTCGCCCAGTCGCCGCCCGGATGTATCACCACCAGCAGCGACACTACCCTGCCGCCTCGCCCACCGCTGATCGACTTTGACATTCTGCGCGAGTACATCATCCCGCGACAGGCGTTCTGCAATCGGTACCTGACCATCAACTCGCCCGACAACAAGTACGCCATCCTCGGCCACCCAGTCGTCATCCCCCACGCCAAGTACATGCGCAATGAGTTCATCTTCAACTTTGGGCTGATCCTCGATGTCGACGTCGATCAGGTCCCCTATGAGCGGGTGGTGCGACGGCTGGCGACGACGTTTAGTGAGATGGAGAAGCAGAACGAGTACCTGAGCCAGACTGAAGGCCGGGCCGACGAATCCAATGGTCGCAGGCCCATCGAGGGCTTGCTGGAGATTGTCAAGGAGGACCTCAACAACTATGGCGAGTGCATGATTCCCGTTGGTACGTTTTCCTTGTCCGAGCACCCACGACGATGCGAGACTGACACGCGACAAGACGAGGCTAATACCCTCAACATGAAGCTCTTCCCACACCATCCCAACCCGCCCGTTGTCAAAGGCTGGCACGTGCCCGTCTCCAAGACTAAGTTTGCTGACATTATGGACCCGACCTGGGACCTCACGCTGCAAAAGGTCATCTCCCACATTGATGGCGTCTCGGACGTCCGGCGCATCGCCCACGCGGCGAGCGTGTCCCTCGACCTGGCCAAGACGGCGCTGCGGCACCTGCTGTACTACGACACCATCCTGCTGCTCGACATGTTCTTCTTTGGCGCCTGCTACGCGAGCAGACCCGGGATCCACGACTTTGTAAGCAACGTCGACGGCATGGTGGAGGAGTGTGCGGGCTACGTGAGCCACGCAGGCCGGCGGCCGAGCAACTTCCACCTCATACGGCTCATGACTAGCTTCGTTCCCGGCAAGACGGTCCTCGAGTGGCTGTGGGCCCATCACGAGGCGGGCTTCGAGGTGCTGCGCTACATTGACGTCAGGCGTTTCGTGCAGTTCGGTCTGATCAAGGGCTGCCTGTACCGCGTGCACAAGCACGTCGTCTCGAAGCAGTACCTGGCCGGCCTGGCGACGGGCCAGAGCCGACCGGTGGAGGGGGCTGATCCGATACAGCAGTATACGGACGGGTGTCATCACTTTGACCAGATCATCACCGAGCAGGACCTGACGGACGAGGAGATTATGAATAAGCTTAAGACGCTACCCGTCCCAAAGGGAGACCTCGCGCTCTTCTATAGATGAAGGGATCCGCGCCCCTCCACACATACATAATGTACAGATCTAACTAGGACAGCATTGCTAGTAGTAATGTACACCCAATTATACATCCAGGATATCATACAGGCAAACCAAGACCGCCATGTCACGACGACCGGCTCTTGGCCTTTTCCACCTTCTCTTCGGTCTTCTTGAGACGCATCTCGGCCTTGGAGAGCAGCTCAATGTTGGGGTTGTTGGCCACCGTGGGGGCGTCCGCGTCCTTGAGCTCCTTGAGCATTCTGCGGATCTCCGCCTCGGACAATTCCTCGCCCTTGGCCGCGTAGTCCTCCTTGAGCTTCTTCACGACGCGGCGCAGAGTCCCCGTGTAGGGCTCGCCGGGGTAGACCTTGCCACTCGCCTTCCACTCCTCGTCGGGGACGAGCTCGATGATGCGCACATTGTGCTTGCCCTTGCGGAGGATGAGGAGCTTGTTGTCGATGAGGAATTTGAGGCTGTCCTCGGGATACCACAGCTCCATGGGCGTCCACGAGAGGTTGCCGGGGACGAGACCGCGGCGCTGGCCGGGCTGGGCGGCAACGTAGGCCCCCTTCTTGGTGAGGAGACGATGCCCGTCGCTGGCGCTGCTGGCCAGGCCGCATGCGTAGAGGATCTTGGCCGGCGGCAGCTTCATGACAGACTCGGGCAGCTGGATGTCGGAGCGAGGGGCGTTGTTCGAGGTGATGATGCCGCTCTCGTCGGACGGGACCTTGTCGATCGTGGGCAGCTCACCGCCGAAGCGGAACTGATGCTGCTGGGCCTCTTGCAGGGCGCGCTGCGAGCCGTACACAAGCGACAGAACCTCGAAGGCGAGGTGGTGGTTGGCAATGCGCTTCGAGGGCTCCCGCATGTGCTCCTCCATGATCTGCGAGATCTGCTTCAGGGGCATAAAGGTGAAGAGCTTGAGCAGCTTCTCGAGATCCTCGTCTGGCCGGCGCATGAAGTACCCGTACAGCTCAAAGGGCGACGTCTTGAACTCGTCGAGCCACACGGCATTGCCAGCGCTCTTGCCGAACTTGGCCCCCGAGGAGTCGGTCAGCAGGGGCACGGTGAACCCAAACGGCTCGTTCTGCCAACTGTTGTCCATCTTGAAGTGAGGTGCCTCCTCGGATTCGCGGACCGTCTTCAGCACCTCGATACCCGAGACGATGTTGCCGTACTGGTCCGAGCCGCCAATCTGGAACTGCACATTCTGCTTGTTGTGGAGATGCCAGAAATCCCACCCCTGGAGGAGAGGGTACATGAACTCGCCGAGAGACATGCCTTCTTCTGACTCGTTCAACCTGCGCTTGACGCTGTCCACTCATTAGTTCACTGCTTCTTCACTTCGGCAGGCAGAGGGGCAAAACTCACGTGTCGCGGCTGAGTAGAGGGCCCATGCGCATGTTCCTCGCCAGTCGTTTGCTGAAATCGTACAGCGTCAGGTTGCCCAACCACATATTGTTGTTGTATAGCGCCCTCTTGGCGGCCCAGTCGTCCTCGTAGCCGTACTTCTCCCTCAGCTTGACCACGTTATCCCACAGCCGACCCAGCTGGTAGTGGATCTTGGTAATGTTCTTGCCAATCTCGGCGTTGGACAGCACCTTTCTCGAGTCCATGCGGTCGGTCGGGTCGCCTATCCTCGCGGTAGAGCCTCCCAGCAGCAGGACAGCCGGGTAGCCCTGCATCCACATCCAGAACAAGGCCATCATGGGGAGTAAGTGCCCGACGTGCATTGAGTCGGCGGTGGGGTCGACGCCAACATAGCCTCCTACTCGCTTGATGCGCAGGATCTCTCTGATTCGGTCGGGGTTGCCAGCGACGTCTTTGATGTAGCCTCGCTCGTTCAGGATGTCCCACGGGTGGGTGATCTCGCCGGATGAGATCTTTTGTGCCCTCTCTTCCCATCGCTGTTCGCCTGCTGCGACCTTGTCGAGGAAGGATGTTGCGATTTGGCGGGTCGCCTGGGCATGAAGGGTTGTGCTGCGTCCGGCGCAGAGGGCGCATTGTTGTGCGAGGCGGGGGAAGCTTCGCACTGACGCTGGTATTCGGGGCGCCATCTTGATTGAGGTTGCTCTGATCTAACCATGTGCTTCAAGCGAAGCATGCAAGACAGCCAGACGGACCCTGAGCGAAGCTACCAAAAATTCAACGCCAAGGCTGGAGCGCGCGTATCTCCAAATCGCGCCCGAAAGGGAAACGCGTCGTTCGTGCTGTGTCGGGGAAACTACTATTCCGAATGCCGAGTCGGCTTCACGAGCGTCTTACGGAATGCAACTGGCCAATCAGACGTCTCGTATTGTCAGTTCCTCGGCAATACGTCCGTCTTGCTTCATCGACGAAATCATCATTGCCGTCATTTGATCCTGCCTGTCACTGCAATCGAAAGTCGACCGGGACGAGCGACGAAAACGAAGACGACGGGACGGAATCACACATCACAATCGCAATGGCTTCCCTCATGCGTCCGACCACGCTGCTCAGGCAGACAGCGCTCGCGTCGCGCTCTGCGGCGTTTGCTCGCCCTGCTGCCGTAAGGGCCGCTGCTTTCCAGACGTCGAGCAGGAAGAGCGCCATCCTGCCCGCTGGGCCTCGTACGTAGCCTGATCCGTCGACTATATCTTGCAATGGAGCTAGATTGCTGACATTTTCTCTCGCAGAGGTCATCCAAGGCGGAGGTACGAGCTTCACCGGAACCTGCGCAACCGTGGGATATCCAACGGGCGCATGCTAACTAGCCACAGTCAATGATCCCGCCCCTATCCCTACTCCCAGCGCCGCGCACGGCTCCTACCACTGGGCGTTTGAGCGCCTGGTCGCCGCGGGTCTCGTCCCCCTCACCATCGCCCCCTTCGCCGCGGGCTCCCTCAACCCCACGCTCGACGCCATCTTCTGCGGCACCCTGCTCATCCACTCGCACATGGGCTTCCAGCAGGTCGTTATTGACTACATCCCGCAAAAGGGCTGGCCCAAGCTGCGCAAGGGAGCCACGTGGCTGCTCAACCTGGTCACCCTTATGGTCGGTGTTGGTCTGTACGAGTTTGAGACGAACGACGTCGGCATCACCGAGGGTGTGAAGAGGGTCTGGACGGCCAAGGCGGGGACTGAGTAAAATCCAAGGAGAACGGGACGGGGAAGGACATGGCGCTGTATGGGATATGACAAAGTGCTTGTGGGACACTGCACGTGTATAGATTCCCTTTGTTATTCCGATGGCAAACCACAATACCAATGAGCTTTTGAATATGCGCTGGGTCTACGATTGCTCTCTTTCGCAGCAAGGAACGGGTGCAAAGTCGGGTAACGACGAGTGCAGGATACTTGTGAGGTAGTGGGATGCATGGCGGGAGCTAACGTCACTTGATAATAGAGCGGTTGCAAAGCGAATGGCATTGGTATCTTCAGTTATCATATCTGCGTGTCGTCCTCGTATATGTTGTATATAACATTTTTGAACATCTCCCGTGTGCATGTAATTTCATCAAACCATTTTCATTCCCAGCTTCGATTTCAAGGGAAGTCGTAATTAGGCACAGTGTTGGACGGCACCCTGTTTCTCCATCTTCGCTGCGTGACTGACCTAAATCGACAAAGGAGGCATGTCCGAGTTGCCGATGCGCTCCATCTCAGGGGTCGGCGGGGGCAGGTTCTCCGTCTTGGTGCAGATCCAGCACGAAGCGTACATGTTGACCCTGTCGATGCAGGCGCCATTCTCACGCGCACCATGCCTCTTGGCGGTGAAACCGTGCGCCTCAAAGACCTTGATGTACCAGGGGCTCAGGGCCGAGGAGCGCAGCATGACACGGCCGCCCGTGGCCAGCGCGCGGTTGAGCTTGGTGACCTGGGCGGCGGCGGCGTGGGAACCCGTGTCGAACCAGTCCATGCTGTCCATGACGACGGCGACGGTGAGCTCGCCAGGCATGATGCGCGAGATGACCTCTTCAAACTCGTCGGTGTGGATGCGCAGGCTGTCGAGGGCACCTGGGCGCGAGAGCTTGGCGTGGTTGCGCGGGCTGAGGTAGTCAGGGTGGCACTTGCGGGAGAACTTGCCGGCGAGGCAGACATAGTAGTAGGGATTGTCCCCGGCGACGTGCGTCTGCTCGGCCATGGGGTCCAGGGTGTTGACCATGTAATGCCAGATGGCGTGGGAGCGAGTGTTCTTGGCCTGCCCGGACTTGACGGCTTCAGAGTTGGCGTGGTCGTGCTCGATCATGGCCAGCTGGTTCTTGGGGACGCCGAGAGCAGCCCAGAGGAAGGATTCCTGCGCGACGACGAGATTGCAGACAAGCTTGGATAGGAGGGCGGGGCGAATCTTGTTGCGCCAGATCTCGCGCTGCTCGTTCAAAGTCGGGGCCTCGAGCATCTTGTTGACAGCCGCACGCAGACCAAAGACGCGGGCAACCCAGCGGAAGACGCGGATGGCGTGGCGTGAGCCGCCTGTATCGTACAGACCGTAGCTTGACGAGTTCTGGAAGACGTGGACGTTCTTGAGCCAGTACTGGAAGGCACGGCTCGACAGGTGCGGAGACAGCTTGGTGATAAGGAGCTCCCGGAAGTTGGGGTGCTTGCCGTCACCAAAGATCATCCAAAAGTCCTCATACGGGAGCGAGGTGTAGGCGGCCGCCTTGAGCTCCAGAAGGTGGTTCTGGGTGGGGTTCAAGTCGACAGCGTGGACGCGCGCAGGACTCTGTGTGAGATAGGACAGGATGTTGTCACCGGCCGAGGTGATGGCGATGACCTTGTCGTCAGGGCCCAGCTTGAGGATACGCTCGTCGACGCGTGTGTCCTCCCAGGTGAATGCGTAGATGTACTCGTCGTTGAACTGCTTGTGCTTCTGAAGTTGATCATCGTAGTAGATGCGCCAGTGGTGGTTCTGGTAGAAGAATGACGGTAGGGGCAGATTGGCCGAGAGATTGGAGACCGCGGTGAGGAAAGCCTTGGAGCGGATCTCAGGGGCGGAGCGCTCAATGGCGCGGGTGAGAGCGTCACCTTGGTTCTTGGGGAAGAGGTAGGGAGACTCGGTAGCCAGGGCGTCAATGCGCTCAATGATCTCATGAGGCAGACTCGATGGCGAGAATGGCTTCTTGTGGCAGCCGACCCAGATGTAGTACGGGATCGAACCAAGGGCCTTGTTACGAGCGTTTAGGTTGAGGACGGTGCCATACTTGTACTCCAGGTAGTCGCGGCGGCTAGGCTCCAAACCAACGCGGTCGAGGTCGAACCAAGACCGCCAGAAGCTACGGGTGAAGAAGTTGGTGTGGCGATCAATGAGACCACCAGTGTAGTTGCGGAACGAGAAGTCGACCTGGTTCTGGACATAAAAGTCGACGACGCCCATGATTCCGTGAGGAGACAGCAGCGAGCCAACAGAGTCGACGACTGAGTAATAGTCGGGCTTGCTCGGGTTAGCCGAGCCATTGCAGCCAGCGCGCAAAGAAAAAGGGGTGAACTCACAATCATGGACAAGCTGTAGGACATGGTGACCAAGTCGGCACCACCATGCTCAGGGCGCTTCTGGAAGTAGCTGAGCGCAGGCGAGCGCATGGGGCTATGGACCAGGGCATTGCCCGACTCATAGTCCTCGAGGCGGAACTTGCGAGCATCCTGGCAGACGACTGTCACATTGTCCCATCCAAGGCGCTCGAAGCGCTTGCGCGCAACCTCGCATAGCGAGGGGGAGAAGTCGACGAGGTACACGCTGGAGAAGAACTCGGACACATTGACGAATTGGGACATGGCCTCGATGTTCCAGCCGGTGCCACCACCGATCTGCGATCATTAGCATTGCCGTTTGTGTTAGTGTAGCAGTCGAGGTCTCACATCAACCCAAATGCGTTTCTGGCCGGTGCCGGTGGCATCAACCTTTGCCTTCAGCTGAGCCGAGACGAGCGCCAGCATGTCCTCGCGTCCTCGGAGAAGGACCTTGCGAGTGGCGTCGTAGGCTCCAGCCTGTGACTTGTAGAAGCTCTCCAGGGCATCTTGCTGCGTGCCCTTGGTATCGCCCTGGTGGGGCTTGAGGAAGGAGGAGTAGAAGAAGAGGAAGAAGGACTTGAGAAGCCCAGGGGCCTGCTCGTCTTTGGCAGGTTTGGAGATGAGTCTGGAAGCGCAGACACTGCCGATGACGGCAACGGCGATTCCAGCGTAGAGAGGGTTGACATTAGTGCCGAAGGGCAATAGGTTACCACCCTGTCTTGGTCAGGCTGGGCGTCAACGACCGGGGACTGGGACGCTCACAAGAGAAGCCATGGTACTCTCTCATTGTACGTGGGCAATGAGATTAGAGATGTGGGAATAACTCAAGAGACGTGTTGAAGACGCTCGCGTGAGTTGAGGATAGTAGGAACCAGAAAGAAGAAGGGCCAGGGACGGCAATGGGAGGACAAGCCCAATATATCCCGCTCAGCCTTCGATCTGGCCACTCGAACCCCTTGCCAGTGAACAGCCATGGTCAATGGGCCGTCGTGCACCCGTACAGATGCCAGGTACATACGTGAGGGCGCGTGAAGAGAACGCAGTGCTGTCCAAAGCTCCATCGTCTCTGGAGCCGTACCCCACCATCGAGGTCACTGCTATCGCGTCTCTCAACAAAGTATACAGGCGAAAGACCCCGCGTGCTGGCCCTGCGTAGACCAATGGCTTGGCCACATGCTGGAGAATGGTTCTCGTGCGTGGTCGCGCGACTCGTTGCCGAACCGCTACGAGCGCTCAGGGGATCCAAGCAGGCCAATCAGCCAAGGGTCTCGCGCTGCATTGAAGACGGATACATGAGGGATCAGAGAGGGGCAGTATAGTGGAATCACACTGTCAAGTGTGGGAGTCCAGCGTATCGTATTGGGACGGCCATGGGACGCAGGGTCTTGACGAGGATCTTGGGGGAAGCTTGACGTCGCCCAGATGCCCTTTGGCGCAGGGCCCCACCATCACCAAGACTGGCGAATAGGATTGGGTTCGTCCACCACATGCATCGTCTGGCAGCCCAGGATTGGGACGAGGCAGATATGCTTGAGCTTCGCAATGGAGGGTAGGGCTGGCGAGGCGAGGCGACGGGCAGAGTCGGGCTGTCGCCGTCGATCTGTAGCTCGAGGTGGGCTCGGATCGCCAGTGTCTGTGGACGAGCTGTGGATGGGTTGATCGACGAAGAGTGAGTTCCCGTAATGGGATGTTCACACGCCAAGTTATACCAGCTCAATTGCCTCTGTTGAGGCTTCATCTACAGAGGCATGAATTTTCATGCCCTGAATTTCTCGATGCTAGCCATACGTGCGTTGAAACTTGGGCTATTACATTCATGTGTTTCCTTGAGACATGAAGACAGTTCAGGTGTGTTTTCGGTGAACAATTGATGCCTGCGAGACGCCGGGGCGGACTTTCGTTGATGCGCTCTCCTGGCTCCGCACGCGGCGTCATCGGAGGGACAATTGATCGCGACTTAATTGGGTAAGCTCGACCGTGCGACGCGACAGCGCTCTTGCACTTCATCACGAAACACTTGAACGACAGACCGACATCCCCCAAGACTCGAGGCTTTCTGGACCGTCCATCGCAATGCCTCCGGGCTCACAAAAAGGCACGAGCAAGAAGAGCGGCTCGGCGCTACCAAAGCCGAGTCGCACTTCGACACCACAGCCACCGACAGGCAGTCTACCCGAACAGAAGGCGTACGATCCCGACTACCTAAACACTCGGGTCATTCTACTGGAGAGCAACCTTGCCTACGAGGATCTGGTCGACTCTGTGTCGTCCAATGCTGCGGTACCGGACTCACGTAGCATTGATGCGCTCCTCGCCAAGCTCAAGGACCTATCGTCGGTCATTGAGAAGCGCACCAATTTCTACGATCGGGGCATGCGCTTTCTGGCCGACGAGCGCAAGAAACGACCGGACGACTATGTGCCAGAGGACGAGGGCAAACGGCCCAAGCACAAGAAGAAGAAGACCTCGGAATCACTAGCGCCCCCAGAGATTGGGAGCACTAGTAAAGATGGTATGTTGACTCTACAATTCTCTTTTAGTCTTCGACACTAGGCAGGCCCTAACAACCATGAACAGGCCGTCCTTCTTCCAACCGTGGCACCAAGAGGAAACATTCACGAGAGCCGAGCTCCTCGCTGTCCCCAGTCGCAGGCCGATCACCCTCGGCGATGGATGTGGACACGAAAGAGAAAAAAGACGATGAGGAGGACAAAACCGACAAGAAGGAGGAAGAAGGAGAGTCAAGCTCAGAGGACGAAGGCGCGCCACCCCGGCGAGAGATGCCTGCTCACCAGACCTTTGGCGAAGATCCATCGACGTTCCCCGACCCAACCATATATGAGATCCGCGAGATCAAACCAGAAATGACAGAAGAAGAGAAGAAGGAGATTTACTCGGTCGCTGGGTATCCCGCGAGCGATCTGGCCGACTTAATCGCAGGCGACCCTCCAGATAACGACTACAGCGTCGCCAAGCCTACGTCACAGATCAACTTTTCGACCTTTTCGTCATACGTGGAGCCTTACTTCCGGCCGTTTTCTGAGGAGGATCTAGGATTCCTACGCGAGCGGGGAGATCGAGTCACGCCCTTCCTGATGCCAAGGCAAGGGAAGCGCCACTACACTGAGATATGGGCCGAGGAAGATGGGGGCATGTCGATGGACTCGCCCGACCAGATGGACCGACTGCCAGCAAACATGCCCCGAGGCACCATTGAAAACATGAACGACACTGTTGCCGAGACGGACGGGCTGTCGATAGGACCCGTCGCTGCGAGGTTACTGCAAGCTCTGCGGCCTGAGAACCGCGCACCTGCCGAGGAGAAGCCTGCGACAAATGGCGCGACTAACGGGGACATTGTGATGAATGGTGATCCGAACGGCGAGGAACCCACAGAGAACGGCGCCAATGGCCCGAATGGCGAGAAAGCCAAGGACCCGATTCCGCCAGCGACCTTTATGGATGATTCGACCAGCGAAGCATGGAAGAAGGCAACATACCCCAAGCTAGACTACAACCAGGTAGACGAGCGGCTGAAGCAGGAGTTGCGGCACATTGGATTCCTGCCCCCGGACGGCGTGGAGCCAGATTACGATGGCGCGTTCGACGACGAGGTCGCTGGGCGCATCCGCACGCTGCAAGAACGTCTGCGTGAGCAGATGCTCATCAACGGAGCGCGCAAGTCCAAGCTCACCGAGATCATCCGCGAACGCATGGCGCACCAGGAGTACAACACGATCCTGGAGGATCTCGACACCCAGGTGCAAGCGGCATACACCAAGCGCACGCGCACCATGGGCAAGAGCAAGAAGGCGAAGCGCCCCGGCGGTGCGGGCGGGGGCAGTCACTTTGTGGGGAGCGGCGCGCAGGGCACGGCTCGCCCTGGTATTGGTGACTTGACCAAGACGCTGATGGAGCGTCGTAAGAAATGGATTCGGACGATTGGGGGGATCTTTGACGATGAGACGCTGGCCAAGGTGCCGCGCATGTCGGATCCTGACAGCTCCATATTCAAGCCGACGGAGATGGGCGAGTACCTCAAGAAGGAGAAGCAACAGTGGGACGAAGAAGTGGAGGATGAGTAGCGTGGGCAGTTGCTGCTTATGCCGTAACGATGTAGTCTCGTTTTCAGGATGGGCGTTTTGGGAGGGTAACCGTTGGATGAGCGACTGACTGGCATGGCACCGAATGATACCACTTGTACCGCCAGCGTATTGCTGCTTCTGGTCCTTGTTCAATGACTGAACGTTTGCTTATTCCATTCACATTGACACAGCCTCCAGGGTCCAGTCTCTCTCCCCTTTTGGGCCAGTGACTTAATATAATTGGGCAATGGCTGCGATCGCTTATCCGCCATGCGGGGCTTGAGCTTCCCGTCGTTATCAGTAGCGTCGGACGACTCTGGACTCGCACCACCATCGTCGTCGCTTCTCCATGCTCAAAGTGCATCGAGATTCATACTCACATCACGTCAGTTTGAGAGAAGCGATCTGAAGCCCGCTCGTTCAGCGCCAAGATGCATCTCATTCCACGCGAGGCAAACTCCCTCTTCCCCACATGATCCAGCTCCAGCTCAACTAACCAAGGCAGCTCGACAAGCTCACCACTTCTCATCTGGGCTTCATCGCCCAGCGCCGTCTCGCCCGCGGTGTACGCCTCAACCACACCGAGGCCGTGGCCCTCATCGCCTCGGTGCTCCAGGAGCTCATTCGCGATGGCAAGCACAACGTCTCGGAGCTCATGGGCCTTGGCGCCACCATGCTCGGACGTAGACACGTCCTGCCCGCCGTGTGCACCACTCTGCATGAGATACAGGTCGAGGGAACATTCCCAACGGGCACGTATCTGGTCACTGTGCACGACCCCATCGCCAGCGACGATGGTGACCTGAGCAGGGCGCTCTATGGCAGTTTCCTGCCCGTTCCTAACCCCAGTATCTTCCCACCCATCGTCAAGGATGACTATGCGGCGCTCAAGGCCCCCGGTGCGGTCGTCGCGGTCAAGGGTCGCATCACACTGAATGAGGGGCGCAGGCGGGTCAGGCTGAGGGTGACGAGCAGAGGAGACCGACCCATTCAGGTGGGATCGCACTATCACTTCATCGAGACCAATCCGCAGCTCGAGTTTGATCGGGCCAAATCATACGGCTGTAGGCTGGACATCCCCGCTGGCACGTCCGTTCGGTTCGAGCCGGGCGACACCAAGACCGTCACACTCGTCGAGATTGGTGGGCACAAGGTCATCAAGGGCGGTAACAGCCTCGCGACGGGGGGCATGGAGCTCTGGAGGGTGGACGACATTGTGAAGAATCTCCAAGCGGCCGACTTTGCGCACAAACCTGACCCAGCTGCGGATTCGACGCTGGTCGAGGCTTTCACCATGGAGCGCACGGCCTACAACACCATGTTCGGCCCTACGACTGGGGACATTGTGCGCCTGGGGCTGACTGATCTCTGGGTCAAGGTGGAGAAGGACCTGACAGTCTACGGCGACGAGTGCAAGTTTGGCGGCGGCAAGACGCTGCGCGAGGGCATGGGTCAGGCCACTGGTCGTCCCGACGCGGAGACACTGGACCTGGTGGTCGTCAACGCGCTGATCGTGGACTGGTCGGGGATCTACAAGGCCGACATTGGCGTCAAGGACGGCATGATTGTGGGAATTGGCAAGGCTGGCAACCCGGATGTCATGGATGGCGTGACCACCAACATGGTCGTGGGCTCGGGGACAGATGTCATTGCTGGCGAGGGCAAGATCATCACCGCTGGTGGAATCGACACACACATCCACTTCATCTGTCCGCAGCAAGCTCAGGAGTCCCTGGCCTCGGGTGTCACCACCATGCTTGGTGGCGGTGTTGGTCCAAGGTACTTACTTCCATCCACTCTTCCCCTTGAATATTTATCTAGCTACTAACGCGGAGCGTAGCGCTGGCACATCGGCCACGACCTGTACCCCAGGGAAGAACTACACGAAGCTCATGCTCCAGGCGTGCGACACGTTGCCCCTGAACATCGGCATCACGGGCAAAGGCAACGACTCCTCCCCGACGGCGCTGCGCGAGATGGTCGCCGCCGGCGCATGCGGTCTCAAGCTTCACGAGGACTGGGGCAGCACACCGGCCGCCATCGACACGTGCCTGTCCGTCTGCGACGAGATGGACGTCCAGTGCCTCATCCACACCGACACCCTGAACGAGTCCGGGTTCGTGGAGAGCACCGTCGCCGCGTTCAAGGACCGCACCATCCACACGTACCACACCGAGGGCGCCGGCGGCGGCCACGCCCCAGACATCATCTCCGTCGTCGAGCTCCCCAACGTCCTGCCCTCCTCCACCAACCCCACGCGCCCGTACACGCGCAACACCCTCGACGAGCACCTCGACATGCTCATGGTCTGCCACCACCTGTCCAAGAACATCCCCGAGGACGTGGCCTTTGCCGAGTCGCGCATCCGCGCCGAGACCATTGCCGCCGAGGACGTCCTGCACGACCTGGGCGCCATCAGCATGATGTCCTCCGACTCCCAGGCCATGGGCCGCTGCGGCGAGGTGATCCTCCGCACCTGGAACACGGCCCACAAGAACAAGGTCCAGCGTGGCCGCCTCCCGGAGGACGAGGGCACCGGCGCGGACAACTTCAGGGTCAAGCGCTACGTGAGCAAGTACACCGTCAACCCGGCCCTGGCCCAGGGCTTTGGCCATCTCATCGGCAGCATCGAGGTGGGCAAGCTGGCGGACCTTGTCGTCTGGGATCCGGCCTGGTTCGGCACGAAGCCTACCTTGGTGGTCAAGTCGGGCCTCATTGCCTGTGCGCAAATGGTACGTCCACTGAATCCTTATTGCTTACAGGAGTATACTGACGACAGCAACAGGGCGACCCGAACGCCTCCATTCCCACCATTCAGCCCATCATCGCCCGACCTATGTATGCGCCCCTCGTGCCCTCGACGAGCGTCCTCTTTGTGTCCGAGGCGAGCATCACCTCTGGCGCCATTGGGAGCTACGGCCTCAAGAGCCGCGTGGAGGCCGTCAAGGGATGTCGCACGGTCGGCAAGAAGGACATGAAGTTCAACGATGTGATGCCCAAGATGAGGGTGGACCCGGAGAGCTACACCGTCGAGGCGGACGGCATGGTCTGCGAGGCTGAGCCGTCCGAGACGTTGCCCCTGACACAAGCGTACTTTGCCTACTGATGAACGGGTCAGTCCCTATGACAAGAATTATGCACATACAATGGACGGGACTGTTCCATTCGTATCCCTCGTAGCATGCTAAGGAAATCATACATCCGATACAGTCCCTAAGCCACCACTTGTCCCACGCCGCATAATGACTGCAGTCTTTTCCCTCCTCCTAGCCATTGGACTTGGACCCGAGAACCAAACAAGCAACCAGCTGTACACCAAAACACCAAGTATCAGTATCACCACAAAGACGTTTCCCTAGATTCCAGACCCCCGGGGGTATATCACAATCACGGCCCCAGTTTTCGCTCCCCGAAGAAACACCCAAACGTAGAGAGGAGCGTCTAGGAGCTCTTAGTCTTCTTACGTCCTCCCTTCTTGGGCTCTTCGACCGCCTCGGCAGGTGCCTGCTTGCCTGACCTCCGACGCTTCTTATCGGGGCTGGCGGCGCCAGCCTGTACCGGCGTGCCCATGTTCGAGGGCGCCTCGCCCACCTCGCTCTTGCGCTTGCGGCTGGCGGCGGCCTTCTTGGGCGTCTTTGTGTCGTCAGGCATCATGACCGTGGCCGGGCCGACTTGCTGCTGAAGCTGCTGAGCGATCGCATCCTGATCATTCTGACCGGCGTCCTGAGCCGCGGCATCCTTACCGGTAGGCATGGGAATGTTGTTTGCTTCGGCATAGGCAGCAGCGTCATCGTCAGACATATCCTTGGCATCGGGATTGCCCGCCTTGTACGAGGCCATGCGGGCCTGGTACAGGCGAAGGTTGTACTGGTATGCGTGGTTCCAGCCGTCCTTCTCCTGCGCCGACATGGAAGCCCAGCGGCGCTGACCCTCCTCCTGAACGGCGCCCTTGGGCGAGTCGGGGCCCAGGTCATTGGCGATGATGGAGCGAGCGTGCTGCATGTACAAAAAGTACGGAGTCAGCGGACGCTTGGGGGCGTTGGGGTCATGGCTACGCTTCTTGCGCTCCTTCTTCTCCTCGGCGGGAGCCCCCAAGTCGAGCACTGGGTTCACGCCAGCCAAAAGCTGCGCAGCGGCGGAGTCAAGGTTGGCAAACAGATCAGGCTGGGGAAGCTCGGTGGGGTTATCGCCCAAGAGCAGATCTGTCTGATACTTGTAGTCCGCAGTGAACTTGCGGAGAAGCTCAATCATCGTGGACATGCGAGTGACGGCCTGAAATGACTAGTTAGTGACAGTTTATAAACATGTTATCGAGCATATGGTAAAGTGAAGCTTATGAGCGCTGTGGTTAATAAATGATCGCTGTCGACCCACTGAAGCGTTAAGTCGACCGCCCAGCTAGTGGGGCGTGCGCAGCGGTTGCCCGTGTATGTAAACAGGGACGCAAACCGCGCTTCCAGAGCGCGACGTGACGAATGAATTCGTCTGACCCTGATATACGCGTTCACGTATCAAGACCGTGAGACTTTGGCCATGTTGCGCGCACTCGCGACGGCCAAAGGCTGCAGTAGACTGTTTGCGACACTGAGGCTTCAAGATTCTGACGCATACCGCAGCGCGTCTTGCACTGACGCGCCATAGCACCGCAGAAAGACGCCACAGCACGACGGGTAAAGGAAGAAAAAATTGGCTCTACTTACGGAGTCGCGCACTTTGCGGAAGTTGTCAGCATCAATGACCTGGGCACGCCCGGCTTGCACGGGCTGCTGTGGTGGTGGCTGCTGGAATTGCTGCTGGTGTTGCTGAGGCTGTTGCTGGATTGGCACGCCCATGGGAGGCAGCTGCTGTTGGGGCTGCTGAGGCTGCATCTGCATGGGCATGAACTGCTGGTGCTGCGGAAGCTGCTGATGTTGCTGAGGATGGTGATATTGTTGCTGCATGTTGCCTTGGTGCGCCATCTGGTTAGGATTGGGCATCATCTGCTGAGGCACTGGTTGAGGCGCGACGTTGGCGGGAATAGGCTGCTGTTGCTGTTGCTGCTGCAGCTTCTCGGCCTGAGCTTGCTGCGCCTTTTTAGAAACACGAGGCATAGTGAGAGGCGGGTAAGGGCTGTTGTGCTAGTATAGAGGTGGAATTGTGAGGCGGGCGTGTCAGTGAGTATAAGAAGTATACAGCTTATAGTAGCGCGCGCGCACTGCTGGAGCCGGATGCTGAAGGCTGGTGGTGATGTGTTTAGGTGTTGGAACGCCCTGGAGGTGGACGCGTTGAGTTGTTATGATAGCTAGCGAGGATGCGCTGAGGTGCGGGGGTTTGGGGTGACGGCGCGAGAGCGCGGCGTAATGGATACAGAATGCCCTGGCTTTTGGACTGCGTTGCCCTGGACGAGACAAAGGCAAGGATGATTGCGTGTTGCAATGGCGGCCGTGGCGCGTTCAGTTGCGGTGGATTTTTAGTTGCGATTGAGCGTGCTGGAAGAGACAGAAGACAGCGGGAACGAAAGGTGCTGGAAGACGGGGGGGACGTTGACGGGCTGGATATTTCGGGCAGGGGCGGGGGGGCGATGCCATTTTTTGTAGGCACCCGCCTGGGCTGCAATCACTCAGCGCGTGCGACCTGAAATGGCCAATCAAAATCCGCTGTGGCCAGTGGGCCCCACTGCTAGGGTGCACCGTGCCAACACGAACCCGGGCGAGCCGCCCTCCGAAAAGGGCCAGGCCTCGAAATCTGTGCGAGGCCAGGCCTGGGACGGACTGGACTGGAGGCCACCAGCCAGCCGGCGCCGGTGTGTCGGCGCTCAATTTGTCAAGCCCTGTACGAGGCGCCCGAGCGGCTGAAGAGTGGTTGCTTGATGGGAGAATGTCAACCAAAAGTGCGCGCACGTCAACCCCGCCTGACCTCGCTGTAGGCAGGTGCCAAAAAGACAGCTGCTACTTGAGAAACTGCCACCACCAGATTGTCATTTTAGCCCATCCAGTCCTGTTTTCCCAGGCCACCCGTTGTCGCTGTCGTTCGTCGTCCCATTTTGAATTCACGTTCCCACCAGCTCACGGCGCCCTCCACCTACGCGTCTGGCTGTGTCTCTCCAGAGTCCAGAGTCCAGACTGGTTCTAAGGCCGGGTCTACCATGATCAGCCTTCGTTTGCGATGAATACTAGGTAAAGATAATGATGCGCATGTAGATAAAGAAGTCAACTATCATTTTACGCATAGAACCCACGTCAATGGAGAGGTCGCTCGCTTTGCATCTTTGCAGTCATTGGGCCAGTAGAACAGACGAACGACAAACCGCCGCTCGATATTATCGCGTGTCATTCAGAACGGTGTTGTCGCGAGCTAGGCAGTGCCAGCCGCTGGAGCTCCAAAGGCTGGCTCAAGGGCCCTGTTTCTCATCAGTTGTTGTTTCCCGCTCAGATCGTGCACGTCACGTCCGGGTGTGTTCAGGCCAGTACCTCACAGTAAATAGAGCGACATGGACTCATTCATTCCCTGAGGCAGATCTACTACTAACAACGTTAGCAGCCATGAAAGACAATAATGAAGCCACCACTGGATCTTGACGCTAGACAGTAGACACTCGAAGCCACGGCCCACGGCTACCGTAGCGACAGCGCTTGATAGCGTCTCCTCGTCAATGAAGCGCCCCTTGGACTGTGTATGATACGTCTGCGACTGATCATATTTCGCACTTATCGACGCTCGGTGGGCAAATTGGCTTCCGTACACTTGCTGGATCATGGCTCGTCATGACCACGAATGCCTTCACTGTCTGTGTTACACAGTGAGTGAGTGATACATTCAACAGAACCTCTGTCTCACCAAGGTGCGTGTGCCACTCACCCCGCTAGTGAGATCCAGGGTTTCATGCGAGCCCCTCCGAACGACCTCAGCCCGCCATCATTGGACGTGACGGCGCCTGCAGTGCCGGTCGCTGTTGTCCGCATAGGCGATATCATGCTAGAGAAGAACGCCAAATTTTGAGACGTCCTGCCCACAGCCTGCATCATGAGCAGAACGCGCGACTCACGGGGACGGTATGCCCCCAGCCCCAGCACCACCTCACTCACTGGTGGCAGTGCTCCCCAACCAGACTGGCGTTTGTGTGCGTAGCAGCGTACGCAAGACGATCGACAAGTCCCGCCTCGTAACAGTAGGGGTCGATCCACGGAACCACCATGCAAAGCTCCAGTTGGTCCCCTTCGACGTCACCTGGTTCATGCTTGAGCTCCCCACATCGATCAAGCCGGCACCTTCAGCTGCTGCCCCTCTTCGGCATCAGCACATCAAAACGCCTTGACAACTCGCCAATTTTTCCCTCCTGTCCTTAGTCACAACCTCTGACCCCTTTGCCAAACATTCACACATCACAGAGCTAGAGCACGCTGGCACGATGCTCCGCTTTGCTCTCCTTCTCACCCTCGCTTGGGCCATAGCACCAGCAGCAGCCTTTGGAGCTGGCAACATTGCCTCGATCGCCAAGGTCGAGGGCAAGAACTGTAGGTCACAGCAGGCACAAGTTCACGCGTTCCCCTGCTAACGGTTGCAACAGGGCGCCATGGTGACATCGAAGACATCCTACTCAGCATCGCCGCCGCACATGCTTACAACGGAGGCAAGAAATTCTCCAAGCTCATGATCAAGCAGACCTACTTTGGCAACTGGGCTCGCGACTACTCGCAGGCCATCGATGTCGGCACCGTCAAGTCTGTTTCTGCCGAGGCCATCCGACTCCTGCTCTGCGTTCTCGGGTTCATGACCTTTGGCTACGGCTCCCGCGAATTCGAGGTCACAGCCGACAGACTGGGCTGCTATCGCCCCGAGGAACACATTGACAACCCCAAGAACTACGCTGACAATGAGGATGCACGTCAATACGACAGGCGTCTTCGTGGCCCTGTGGATGAGGAGCGGGAACTATCAATCGACCCCGCCACGGGCATGAAGAACTACATTGCCAACGAGCGCGCGGGCATCATGACTTCGGCCAAGCTCATCAGACGGCTGTTTGGCGGATGTATCGAGATGGGCAGGCGCTACAAGGACAGTGATGATCACAAGGATCTACATGAATCCCTGCGTCTGCTCGGTACCGGTCTGCACTGTCTGGAGGATTTCTACGCACACAGCAATTACTGCGAGCTAGCTCTGATTGAGATGGGCGAGCACGATATCTTCCCCCACTGCGGCCGCGACACTCAGATTGAATTGGAGGGTGCCAAGGGACCCGTCTACCCAATCGTCACGTAGGTTCATTGGTTATCGATGCTCATCCCGGAACGATTCAACTGACTGTTTGGAAATAGTGGTACATTTGGTGGTGTCGACTTCCTTCACAGTGTTACCGGCGAGGTCTCTGACAAGTTGACGCAAAACGAGATTGACGAGCTCGAGGGCACTCTGCAGGAGAGCAGCACTGCTGACACGAGCATGCTGCGTGATCTTCTGGACAAGATCCCCGACGGCTTCTTCGGCGACAAGCACGAGAGTGACAAGGTCGAGGAGATCCAGGCTAATGCCAACAATGCCCAGATGCAGAACATGTCCGTCTCACCCAGGGAGCCTGAGGAGTTCACAGAGTACGTCCAGCAGACCTACAACCAGGTTATGCCTGCCATCGAGTTTCACGACGAAGTCATGCAGGCCATCACGGCTGCCATTGAGAAGATCCCTGTGTTGCCCAAGATCGTCGAGCAGCTGGAGGAGGAGCTGTCACGCTTCGTCTTCTCTGTCATTGCACCCTTTGTCGTGCCCCTCATCCAGAACATCAAGAGCGAGCTGATGACCGGCTCGGATGCTATCATTCAGTCCTCGGAGAGGGAGCAGCACATTGTGTTCCACGACGACAACTCGACCGACCCTACCCACTCCATGCTGTCCAAGGATCACTTCTCCAACATCCTCAACGAGGTGGCTGGTCAGTGTGCCGCCAAGATGGTCCACTGGGTCACTCCCCAGCTCATGGAGGCTATCGACGACGAGAACGTTGACGTTGACCGCCTCCTCGACCGCATCATCCACGGCATCATGCATCACCCTGCCCAGCGTGACATGGGCGAGGATGGCGCTCACGAGGGTCGCCGTCGCGTCTACCAGTCCGTGAAGGAGTGGTGGCGCGAGATGGGTGACGATCAGCGCGAGGATTACCGCCGCAAGCTGTCTCGCGATGGCGTGGAGAACGCCGAGAACCACAAGGAGGGTGTCTATGATACCGGACACGGCCACGGCTGTGGTGGCAAGCTCAAGATGCAGAAGCTCTACGGCGGTCCCGAGACCACCGAGGATAAGATTGCCAGTGCTGCTGCCGGTGTCATCATCGAGGGCGTCTCGAACGTCTTCAACAACGGTGGTGGTAACGGCGGCGGTAGCAAGAAGGAGGAAGGCTTGGGCGGTCTGATCGGTGCTGCTGGGTCCTTGCTAGGCCTCGGCGGT